CTAGAGAAAAGACGCTCCATTGCAAACATAGGCGGTTTGTTGATTTAGAATTTTGATGCAGTCTGTGTCTACACGACAATCCTTTCATGTCGACAGGTGACCTATTTTATCGCGTCCTGTGACGTATGTGAAGCATGACGGGATGGATAAAAGACGACACGACAACCGGAAGGGAATGTTGTAATCCAAGTAACAAAAGACTTTAAAGAAGGGAGAAGTCGGGTCATTTTCAATGTAAATAGGCCTACACTTTATAAAAGAGTTTATTTCTTTGTATTATCCTATTTTTTGTTATTAAACAATATTTGTGATGTATTTAATTTAAAAAAACACGGACCAAAAACAGCTGTGGTAGCATTTTATAGTATTTCACAATTTCAATAGAGAAAATTGCTTTGAGATACGAGCAATTTGACAAACTAGCATAGTTAAATACGAAACGAGTTAGGCTTCTCTTCCGCTGTGCCCCTTTCTCCGCTACCCCCCCCCCCCCCCCCCATTGAACGAAATATAATTTTTATATAAAACACGTACTATTACCAGTGTTCGCCCGCCCCCCCCCCCCCCCCCACACGGAAGATTTAGTCCGCCGCCACTTCCGAAAGCTTCAAATGCCCTCCCCCACCCGCCGTAGAAAAAAGGAACACTGGCCATAAACCCCAAGAATGTCAACCCTCCAGGTTTTTTGCTACGTGTTTTTTAATTCGAAATGTGAATTTTAAAATGAAAAACATGTTTTAAATACACTGCTGCTGCAAAAAATCTAAGCGAATTCTGTTTTAAAAATACCTTTTAAAATGCAGAAGTCATACCTCCCCCCCTCCCCCCACCCACACCTCATCGCCACACATTACACTACTACGTGGATTGCACAAAGTGCAGGTAAGCTTTGAAATTTCTAGCGCTAGATACCGCCTCAGCTTTAGAGACAGAAACAAAGTGGCACCAAAGTTAAATGAGCAAACGTTTGTTGTTTCCTGGTCAGTCTGATGGTATCGTGCTCCGTGCTAAGTAGAGCCTTCAAAAATTTACCCACATTTTTTCCCTCTGTCGGTGTAAATTTTCATTTAACAATAATTTGTATATTGATTAAAAAATCTTATACTAAACCATGCATTAGAATCACAAAAAGGCATACATTGACATCATTATTTCAAGTGCCCAAACAACAACAGAACTTGATAGATTAAGAAACATCGGGCGTGACAAAGAGACTTCTATTAGCACTAAGTTAACTCCTGCGGTCACTGGTCATGTCTGTCTACATGTATGGGTGAGAGACATGGACCCTCAACACTCAACACATACCTTCCAAGAAGGGTCCAAGTCCTGGAAATGAGATTTCTATTTTTACGCAGATTCCTAGAAATCTCATACAGAGATCAGATAACTAATAAAAGTCAGTGAAAGAATCACTAATGCGATTGGTCCCTTCTTAGAGTCTACTGAGAATAGTCATAACAAGAAAACTGAGTTGGTGACACACGAGCCTGTCCTGAACCATAATGCCTGGGCACGGTGCCTGGAGGAAGAAACATTGGAAGGTAAAGACGTCATTGGGTGGATGACATCAAAGATTTGATTGTTGCTCGTTGGGGAACTACCCAGGTCAGACCTTGACAGATGGCGAAAAACTATGTGAAAATCAACTGTGGTGTGCTATAGACACCAAGTAGGGGATAAGGGACGATTGATTTATTAATTTATATTGCAGACAACATTAAGTGACCCTTATCAATAAGTCATGTATTGACCCCTGAAGTCATGTATTGACTCCTATCAATAAGTCATGTATTGACCCCTATCAATAAGTCATGTATTGACCCCTATCAATAAGTCATGTATTGACCCCTATCAATAAGTCATGTATTGACCCCTATCAATAAGTCATGTATTGACCCCTATCAATAAGTCATGTATTGACCCATGAAGTCATGTATTGACCCATGAAGTCATGTATTGACTCCTATCAATAAGTCATGTATTGACCCATGAAGTCATGTATTGACTCCTATCAATAAGTCATGTATTGACCTCTATCAATAAGTCATGTATTGACCCCTATCAATAAGTCATGTATTGACCCCTATCAATAAGTCATGTATTGACCCCTATCAATAAGTCATGTATTGACCCCTATCAATAAGTCATGTATTGTCCCCTATCAATAAGTCATGTATTAACCCCTATCAATAAGTCATGTATTGACCCCTATCAATAAGTCATGATTGTATTGACCCCTATCAATAAGTGATAACCTGTGGATTAGCTATTGGGCCCTGGTACGAGCCAGATACTAACTTTGTTTATTCGTTTACAGTTGGCGTTAGATTGTTACAATGTTAAAATAATTGTTTTAGCTAATCTGATTTTAAATATAAAGACAACGTAAAAATGTTTTAAAACATAAATTTCACGAATTACGTTTTTAAAGTTTGGATTAAGCACTGACATATATTGTGTGAAATGTTTTCCCCATGTGCAGTTGTTTATTTATTCTTGTAATGCAAATCATGGATTTATTTTATGGAACACCTACAAGATCTTTAAACTTGATTTGTATTTGTATAGGCAAGTATATTTGCCACATTGGCCTTTTCATGTATTCTCTGAATCTTCCAGCCAAAATTCAGCTTGTTTCTTTTTCTAATCCAACTCTACCCACCTTGAGTAGCCTTAGAGAGACTGCGGTCAATACATCATGACCATTACTCTCTGACGCGACCAGATTGGCCATACTTCATGGCAGTCATTTCTTAAAACGTTTAATTAAAAAAAATTATTAAAATCCATGAAAACCTGCAAGGGTAGCCATGTAGGCATGTAGCTATGTAGGCAGCCATTTTGTAGCCCGACGTCTATCTAGTTGTAGATAAAATACACACCTCTCCACTCGCGCTTCTAATTATCTCGTCTCTAATCAACGTTCACTGTTTTTGTTCAGATTCTTTACAAATGTAAACCAAGAAACAATAGTTACGGTGTATTTAATTTCTAGTTATTATAGACCCGCTTATACGCCCTTGATTTATATTTATCCGCTGTTGAGTTTTAAAAACTTAGCCGCCAGGTTTAGGTTAGACTAAAACTTAACGTTTTATTAAAATTTAATTAAATGATGTTGATTAGTACATAATAAGTAATAATTTAAAAAAAATTAAGTTGCCATATCTGATCTGACGGCCAGTAGTGTTTATCTGCTGAAGGTGTGGTCATCTCTATGACCCACTCTTACTGACCCGAATGGGAAAGTGCTACTGCCTCACGTTTATCACTCGGCCACACCTATGCCAACAAGACATATAGAACATTAATGTATTTTAAACTCCAAGGGAAGCGAGTTTACTTTATTGCCTGTGCCCTAAAGAAAAAATAAATCATAGGTTGCATGTATCTGATTACATGGTATGTGAACAGAACTGACATTAGGAATACTACTTTTATTTCCTCAGCCTTAGGCTCAACAGTAGGCTCAACAATAGACTCAACAATAGGCTCAACTTTAGGCTCCACCATAGGCTCCACGCAAGACATCCTGGGTGAGACATACTCATCAGTACACAACATCATCAGTACACAACATCAGTACACAACATCATACGTACACAACATCACCAGTACATAACATCATCAGTATCCAACACCATCAGTAAACAACATCATCAGTACACAACATCAGTACACAGCATCATCAGTACACAACATCAGTACACAACATCATCAGTACACAACATCATCAGTACACAACATCAGTACACAACATCATCAGTACACAACATCATCAGTACACAACATCAGTACACAAAATCATCAGTACACAACATCACCAGTACATAACATCATCAGTATCCAACACCATCAGTAAAAAACATCATCAGTACACAACATCAGTACACAGCATCATCAGTACACAACATCAGTACACAACATCATCAGTACACAACATCATCAGTACACAACATCAGTACACAACATCATCAGTACACAACATCATCAGTACACAACATCAGTACACAACATCATCAGTACACAACATCATCAGTACACAACATCATCAGTATCCAACATCATCAGTACATAACATCATCAGTACACAACATCATCAGTACACAACATCATCAGTACACAACATCATCAGTACACAACATCATCAGTACACAACATCATCAGTACACAACACCATCAGTACACAACATCATCAGTACACAACATCATTAGTACACAACATCATCAGTACACAACATCATCAGTACACAACACCATCAGTACACAACATCATCAGTACACAACATCATCAGTACACAACATCATCAGTACACAACATCATCAGTACACAACATCATCAGTACACAACATCATCAGTACACAACATCATCAGTACACAACATCATCAGTACACAACATCATCAGTACACAACATCAGTACACATCATCATCAGTAAACAACATCATCATTACACAACATCATCTGTACACAACATCATCAGCACACAACATCATCAGTACATAACATCACCAGCACACCACATCATCAGTACATAACATCACCAGTACACAACATCACCAGTACATAACATCAGTATGCAACATCATCAGTACACCACATCATCAGTACGCAACATTATCAAAGCAATATTACCCTGAATACATAAGCTTCAGCAATTATAATATTAAACAACTTTTAAGGTGAGCGTGGTTGTTACAATACTTGTTTAGTTATAGATTTGGGGGGGGGGGTGAAGTTTGTCACATAATTCTAGAATGGGGATCATTGGGGGGGGGGGGGGGCACTCTCTTTATATAATAACTGGTTGGTGTGGTGGGTAGACAACATTCGACTAAAATTATTTTAGTTTTTTTTTTCTTGGTTTTTTACAAATTGTTTTTGTTCATGTAAGAGTGTGTTTACATAAAAAACAAAACTGAGAAAATGCCTTGCTGTCTGCACTCTGTTTCTGTGTCTGTCTGTTGGTCTGTTGTGTCTCGTACGTTCCTAAAAGATGATGAATCAGACTGTTACCGTGAATATCCCAGGAGGTTGCAGCTTTGAAAGCGACATCTGTTGGTGGCAGACGAGCGGCTGGTCACGGTACCCAGGCCCCAACCGTCCAGTTCCGTATGCACCCCTGAGTGACCACTCAACGAACTCGTCGGATGGACATTTCCTGGTAGCCGACCTCGCGAGTGGCCAGGCAAATGTCGCGAGCTTTTACAACCAGGTAGGGGAGCTTATCTCAAGATTTAACTATCTTGATGGTGATTCGGTTAGTTAATCATTTATGATTTGGGAACAAACAAACAAAAATTTAAAAAACGACCAGAAAGAAAGTTAATTTTTGGACGTCGCTAAACCATAAATCCCTATCTATCTATACCATATAAGCAAGGTTGTGTTATTTCGTATTTTGTTTCATACATTTCATTCTCAAGTAAGTCAAGTGTTGAATTTGCAATCGATTTAAGTAATGTTTGGCGTTAGGATTTAAAGGGTGCAGTTGTGTGTTGAAGGAGGGGAGTTAATCCCCCACTGGTATCCGCTGTGTGCGTCTGTGAGAAATCTTACCAGAACTACACACTAGTATTAGCAGTGGGACTAAATTGCCCCTGTACGAAGAACGGTTTAGTCTAAAGCGTTCTTCGTACAGGGGCAAGTTAAACACACAGCCCACACGTAAACCTATGTTAAATATCTAACGGCAGTATTGTATACTATTCAAATAACATTGACCCAGCACAAATCTTGCAGCATGTGCCAGCGACATCAAACAAATCCCAGTGCCTGACCTTTTGGTACTACCTGTTTGCTCAAGATCGACAACTCGGCTACCTACGGGTCATAGCGGGAAACAGTTTTGAAAATGAAACTATCGAAAGGTATACAACACGGTTTACTCTAGGAATCGGGCATACAATTATTTTTTTCACGCACGTTAATTAAAATAACATTTCTGTTGGCACCACCCCTCTAATTATATATTTCTAAGGACTCCACCCCACACCCCAACCCCAACGGTACAAGTAGGCCTGCTAGCTCGTCATGAGTGGTAATCTATTTTTTTTAATATGGGAATTTGTGTAAGCCTACAATATTATAAGGAAAACTGCTGGTATCTTCAATAGAAATAATTGTTATCCAATATGAAATCAACATAATAATAAATATTGTTTTAATTGTATCACTTTTTTATGAATAAATAATTACAACCTTAAAAATTCGAAATATCAAAAATAAAAAGTAAGAGTCATGTTATATTTTCAGTTTTGCTAATAGTCTAAAGTCTAAACAAACAAGTCCGAACAAATAGTTTACTAAACAATAGATTCTAGGATCTAGATCTCTAGATCTAGATCTAGAATCTAGATCTAAATCTAGATCTACATGTATTTAGAAAATTAGTTTTTTTAAAGGTGTAGACTAACCACAAATCCTTAATAATTAATAAGTTCATTTAATAATTTAGTTTTGAAAAGAAACAAAGTATCGGACTGCTATTCGACAGCTGTCTGCTAAAACAAAATCAAAGGCGTAGGCTAACAACAGTAACAACAAGGCTAGCAGACAGCAGTTACTAGATTTCTAATTTCAAGATCTATCTATTCTAACTTTCTAAGTCATCTAGATTCTCTGTCTAGATCCTCGAGATTCTAGTGTTTAATTAATTAGGCCAACACTTCACTACTTTATCAATCGTCATTTCTGCCATGTTTTATCACCACCACTCACCACATTTTTACTTACCGCTTAACGCAGTAGTACGGCAACCCACTGTGACTGTATAGAGATTAGATCTATTCTAGAATCTAAATCTATTTATTATAATTTTATGGTAGGTTTTCATTTGGCAGGTCAAGTAGGCTCTGCTTATTTGAGAAATAAAAATGTATAATTATTAATTACAGCAACACAATATTGTGGCAGTTGAAAGGTCAATCAGACAACAAGTGGCATTTTGCTCAGGTCAACATCAGCAGGATGTACACAACCAGGTCATATAAGGTAATACAACTTGACCTCAACAACTTGGATATTCAGAACTTCAATAACAAGACTAAAAGAACTTCAAACTCATATGACCATGTCTTGTAGTTTTAAATGACATTTTTTAGTAAATTAAGGCCTTTGGCATGTGAGCTGAAATTTTGGTTTTACTGAGCAAATAAAACTTAAAACTCAAAACTACCTCGATTCTAGATTCTATCCAGTAGATTTAGATTTAGATCTAGATCTATAGGTAGGGCCAATTTTTTTTTAAAATAGGCAGATGTGATTGGCACCAAGGTTCAATCTTTTAGGTTTTCAGATGATTATTATACATAAAAAGTTACAGTTTCCATCACATTGTTTTTAATGGCTACTTTAAAAAACTACTGCAGTTAATATTTGAGACCAACATTGTTTGTAATGGTTACTTTAAAAAACTACTGCAGTTAATATTTGAGACCAAAATTGTTTTTAATGGCTACTTTAAAAAACTACTGCAGTTAATATTTGAGACCAACATTGTTTGTAATGGTTACTTTAAAAAACTACTGCAGTTAATATTTGAGACCAAAATTGTTTTTAATGGCTACTTTAAAAAACTACTGCAGTTAATATTTGAGACCAACATTGTTTTTAATGGCTACTTTAAAAAAACTACTGCAGTTAATATTTGAGACCAACATTGTTTTTAATGGCTACTTTAAAAAACTACTGCAGTTAATATTTGAGACCAACATGTTTTTAATGGCTACTTTAAAAAACTACTGCAGTTAATATTTGAGACCAACATTGTTTTTAATGGCTACTTTAAAAAAACTACTGCAGTTAATATTTGAGACCAACATGTTTTTAATGGCTACTTTAAAAAAACTACTGCAGTTAATATTTGAGACCAACATTGTTTTTAATGGCTACTTTAAAAAAACTACTGCAGTTAATATTTGAGACCAACATTGTTTTTAATGGCTACTTTAAAAAACTACTGCAGTTAATATTTGAGACCAACATGTTTTTAATGGCTACTTTAAAAAACTACTGCAGTTAATATTTGAGACCAACATTGTTTTTAATGGCTACTTTAAAAAAACTACTGCAGTTAATATTTGAGACCAACATGTTTTTAATGGCTACTTTAAAAAAACTACTGCAGTTAATATTTGAGACCAACATTGTTTTTAATGGCTACTTTAAAAAAACTACTGCAGTTAATATTTGAGACCAACATTGTTTTTAATGGCTACTTTAAAAAAACTACTGCAGTTAATATTTGAGACCAACATTGTTTGTAATGGTTACTTTAAAAAAACTACTGCAGTTAATATTTGAGACCAACATTTTTTTAATGGCTACTTTAAAAAACTACTGCAGTTAATATTTGAGACCAACATTGTTTTTAATGGCTACTTTAAAAAAACTACTGCAGTTAATATTTGAGACCAACATTTTTTTAATGGCTACTTTAAAAAACTACTGCAGTTAATATTTGAGACCAACATTGTTTTTAATGGCTACTTTAAAAACTACTGCAGTTAATATTTGAGACCAACATTTTTTTAATGGCTACTTTAAAAAACTACTGCAGTTAATATTTGAGACCAACATGTTTTTAATGGCTACTTTAAAAAAACTACTGCAGTTAATATTTGAGACCAACATTTTTTTAATGGCTACTTTAAAAAAACTACTGCAGTTAATATTTGAGACCAACATTTTTTTAATGGCTACTTTAAAAAACTACTGCAGTTAATATTTGAGACCAACATTGTTTCTAATGGCTACTTTAAAAAACTACTGCAGTTAATATTTGAGACCAACATGTTTTTAATGGCTACTTTAAAAAAACTACTGCAGTTAATATTTGAGACCAACATTTTTTTAATGGCTACTTTAAAAAACTACTGCAGTTAATATTTGAGACTAACATTGTTTCTAATGGCTACTTTAAAAAACTACTGCAGTTAATATTTGAGACCAACATGTTTTTAATGGCTACTTTAAAAAAACTACTGCAGTTAATATTTGAGACCAACATTTTTTTAATGGCTACTTTAAAAAAACTACTGCAGTTAATATTTGAGACCAACATTTTTTTAATGGCTACTTTAAAAAACTACTGCAGTTAATATTTGAGACCAACCTGGGATCCCAAGAAACAGGTGTGGCTGCAGTGGATGACACACTACTGGAGATCAAAGACTGCTCCACATCTCCAGACATTGCTCAGCCTACACCTCCATGTATGTTCTTTTCTTTCTGATAGGTTGACATTTTCATTATTTAGTTGCTTATTCATACATCTATACTTTGTTCACATCATCAGTACCTTCCATTTGTTATTTACCTGTTAATTTATCTACATTGTTCTCGATGTTGTTACCTTCCATACGTGAGATTGAACAATCTCTGTGTTCACAGCAGTGGTAGATTGTAGTTTTGACAACGGCCCATGTGACTGGCAGCCAGCCAAAGGCATTCCTTACAACTTCACTTATACAAACACACGCTATGTCACAGGAACTCGTAAGTATGTTTGGTCATCCGTAGTGGACCATATTGTCACCACTGGTTGTACCACCAACTGGTCATCTGGTTATGTAGTGGATTGTACAGTCACCACGCTATAAACTGGTCATCTGGTTATGTAGTGGACTGTACAGTCACCAACTGGTCATATGGTTATGTAGTGGACTGTACATTCACCAACTGGTCATATGGTTATGTAGTGGACTGTACATTCACCAACTGGTCATCTGGTTATGTAGTGGACTGTACAGTCACCACAGGCTGAGATTTAAACTGGTCATCTGGTTATGTATTGAACTGTGAAGTCACCACAGGCTGAGCTATAAACTGGTCATCTGGTTTATGTTTCCCCAGCTCTATTGGGTGCTGTTATCATATGGACCTGAAAAGTCATCTAGATTTGTTCTGGTTTCTAACTCACTTTAAAATTTTTTGAAAAGCCTACACTAAATAATGGATGTTAGAATGAATGACAAAACTACTTTAATATGCTGATACACTAACCAAACGATGTAAGAATGAATGAGAAAACTACTTTAAAATGTTGATACATTAAATAATGGATGTTAGAATGAATGACAAAACTTACTTTAAAATGCTGATACACTAACCAAATGATGTAAGAATGAATGACAAAACTCCTTTAAAATGTTGATATACAATTGATGTAAGAATGAATGACAAAACTCCTTTAAAATGTTGATATACAATTGATGTAAGAATAAATGACAAAACTTACTTTAGAATGTTGATATACAATTGATGTAAGAATGAATGACAAAACTTACTTTAAAATGCTACTACACTAACCAAACAATGTAAGAATGAATGAGAAATCTAGTGTTAACTCAACAGGCTACTACCTGTCAGCTGACAGCTCAGTGTTGCCAGAGAATTCTCTGTTGTATCTCTTGTCACCAACTTTACCACCAGCAAACATTGGCTGTTTCACCATGGTGTACAGGTACCCTTTCCCTACAGTTTAAGTTTTTTGTTAGCAACATAAAACTGTCATTGTTTTTCTAGTGTTAAATATATGAGTGTTATACACCAATATTTAGATAGGAAGTTAATTTCCAGTCCACATTAAAATCTTGTTAACCTGTATTGATTGATTGTTTACTCGTGCTCTCTAGGGCAACCAATACAGGCTTCTCTGACATCAGTTTGCTTATGTTGACTGGATCCTCCAGTATTGCTGTGTGGCGCCTTCACTCAAACAATAACAGGTGGCAGTCAGCCAGTGTAAACATAGCAAATAAATGGGATCATAAAGTGAGTACGCTCCCCTTTTTTATGTTAGTAAACATGATTTTAATTTTTAAGATATATTTGATAAATATATATTTTTTTTTATCATGATTAATAATTTTTAAATTGGCAATAAAAAGCATATATTCTAAATCTATACAAAACATAATCTGCAAAGTTTTTTTTTTTTTAAAGCTTATGTTGAAAGTGAAAGTAGGAATTCCAGTCTATGGCAGTGTGGCAATTGATGACATCAAACTTAACCATGGAGCATGCAAGAGAGGTACCATGCCAGATTATTTAATGACTCAAAGATATATCGTTTTACTGTTGTAGTGTATTAAAACTCTGATACTTTTCCTTCATTGAGACAGAAAAATGTTCTAGTTAGTGTATCATTATTTAATGGAGGCCTATAACTTTATTGTAAAAAGATATTCAGCTAAAATATATATGAAATTAATTCACTTCAAATTTATTTCATTAATCATATTGTGCCATAATACACACAATAAAAAAACTTCTGTCTTTAATTCTTTCCTTAGAGGGTATATACAACTTTGAAGATGGAAACTCCAATGAGTTTACACAAGTCCCAGCCTCTGACTTTCTGTGGCCAGTGAAGAGGGCAGACAGTACAATACTTGCTGTTGATCACACCTACACGTCTCCTCTAGGTGAAATTGTTAACCTGCTTTAGTGGCGCTTTTTAGAAGATATTTTTAAATTAAATGAAAAAGTCCATAAAATTTCTTCGCATGGTCTATAAAGAGTAAATTAAAACTTCCAGGCCACTTCCTGCAAGCGGATCTGAAGCCTGTGTTTGCTGGCTCAAGCTCACAAGTTGAATCACCTTACTACCCTCCCACTAGGGAGGAATGTTTTTTCTTCTGGTACGTCAAACTGGGATCTAACACAAGCACCTTGTCCATCCTCAAGTCTGTCCAGAGTGTAGGGGAAGAGGTGGAGATGGAGGCATTGTGGGATACTGTGGGCAGTACCACTTCCTGGACCAGAGCATATGTGGATATCTTTTCTTCAGACCCTTATAAGGTATGTGGGATACTGTGGGCAGTACCACTTCCTGGACCAGAGCATATGTGGATATCTTTTCTTCAGACCCTTATAAGGTATGTGGGATACTGTGGGCAGTACCACTTCCTGGACCAGAGCATATGTGGATATCTTTTCTTCAGACCCTTATAAGGTATGTGGGATACTGTGGGCAGTACCACTTCCTGGACCAGAGCATATGTGGATATCTTTTCTTCAGACCCTTATAAGGTATGTGGGATACTGTGGGCAGTACCACTTCCTGGACCAGAGCACATGTGGATATCTTTTCTTCAGACCCTTATAAGGTATGTGGGATACTGTGGGCAGTACCACTTCCTGGACCAGAGCATATGTGGATATCTTTTCTTCAGACCCTTATAAGGTATGTGGGATACTGTGGGCAGTACCACTTCCTGGACCAGAGCAGATGTGGATATCTTTTCTTCAGACCCTTATAAGGTATGTAGGATACTGTGGGCAGTACCACTTCCTGGACCAGGGCATATGTGGATATCTTTTCTTCAGATCCTTATAAGGTGTGTCAAATACTCAGACCAAAAGTTTTCACTAAATAACTAAACATTTCAGGAAAATAAAGGCTACATTTTATTTCATTGAGTTAGCTTCAGGTGCAGAGATAATTTATGTGTGATACTGCAATTAAACAAATATGATCAGATATTGTCTGATATTTTAATATAGTATCACTTATAATATTTGCATTCCTCATAACCCATTGTGAAATAAAACAAAATAAGAACACATATTTTACAAATATACCAATAGAAAATTTTCTTAACTCAGACAGCTGAGTAAATGTTATTAAATGAGTTATGAGGCTATAGGTGAAAATTAATTTTCCTGGCAGCTAATTTTTCAAGTGGATGTGGGCATCAACCATCTACATGACGAGGTCTACCTGGATGACATCAGTTTCAGCACGTTACCTTGCCCAGAAATAGCTGACTGTGACTTTGAGGGGAGTTTTGTCTGTGGTTACACAAGTTCCAGTGCTGATGAAGTCTTGTGGCGCCTGGTCTCTGCCAGCAACCCTGACACTGTCATGCCAGTTGATCACACCACACTGTCTGACAGAGGTCAGAACATTCTAGAACATTTAGTATCAGCTATAAGGGGTGCTATATTTTATCACAGATTATTCATCCCTGCAGTTTTAATGCTTTAGTTCATTTGTTATCCAAACTTGTATTTTCCCAATGTCCCACAGGTTCTTACATGGAAGTTGACTTTCCAATGTCCACTCCTAGGAAATTGTCCATCAGACTTACCAGCCAGCCCCTGATAGCAGCAGCTGTACGCTGCTTCAGTTTTTGGTTCTATGGGAGAGGTTCAGGTGAGTCTATGTTTGTGTCCGAGCATTTTACTGTAAAGTCTTGGTGTTCTGTACCCTGAACACTGAACACAACCTTAATTTCATTATTTCTTACAATATAAATTACCCAGCTAATAGTTTGATATGTGAATATTACCAAGTTTTGGTCCATAAAATAAAATAAACAATTGTGTTAATTTTTTTCTTATCGTATGAAAGATTATAATTTTATACTTTCTAGGTGTAAGGCATACATAGACTATTTTAATTTTACATCCAGGTGTACTAAAACTATATATTACAACTGAATCGTACGAAAGCATACTTCTAGAAAGAGCAGTTAGTGATGACTTTAAACACAGAAGTGAGCGCACTTGGAGGAATTTCCGTGTGGACATCACAGACACCACCTTGCAGTACACAGTTACCATTGAGGCGGATGGTTATCCCAACTCATCCTTTGCTGTGGATGACATCACGTCCGTCCAAGGCCAATGTGTTGATATGGAGAAAAGTGGTGACATTCAAGCCAACTTTGGACCCCAGCTTGACCGTATGATTAACTATAGGCCTTTAACTTGACCGTATCATTAACTATAGGCATTTAAATTGAATGTATGATTAACTGTAGCCCTTTAAATTGACCATATGATTAAGTACAGATCTTAGCTTGACCAGTTTTAAAATATATCCTGTTGTGTTTTAACAATAAAAGTAAAAAAGTAAAGTTTCCATTTTGGACCTGGTGGCCTATGGGCAGATAAAGTCCTGTGCTCTACTGTCCTGTATTAAAGGCCTGACTTTTATTTTATGCCTGAACTTAATATAAAAACCTATTTTAATAATGCCTATATAAATTGCCTGTGTTTGGTCCTCCCTGAACTGAAGTAAGTCAACTTGTATTTACAGCTGGCAAAAGAATGGTTGGCTGTGACTTTGAAAATGGAACATTGTGTGGCTTTCAGCCTGATAACAAAACAGACTTGAACTGGTCAATATTTTCTAGTTCTTCTAGACATACTAAGAGTACTGGACTAAACTTTGACCAAACAACAAGCAGTAAATTTGGTAAGATCTAATTGTTTGATCTAGATCTAAAGTATGGAGTCCTTTAAAAATTACTCCCTGCAATGGTGCTGGTTATCAAATTATCAAATCAAGGATTTGTTCTTCAATATTCTTCACTTGCAAATCCTACTATCACAATAGTTTACTGTCAAAACAATGTGAGTTACTTGTCCCTGTTGGAAATAACCCACATCTAATCTAGTTTGACACACAACCTTTTAAGTTACATTGCTGAAATATTTGTTTCCATTAAACAAGAAGAAATTATTTTAATTGTTCAATAATTGATTACATATTGCTAAGAAGTATCTTTAAACATTTTAAAAGGTTATGATTTTTAATATTTATTTATTCAGGACACCATATTTATATGGATGCATCAGACAAAAACATGATGATTTTTTATATTTATTTTTTCAGGGCACCATATATATATGGATGCATCAGACAAAAACTTGATGATTTTTAATATTGATTTATTCAGGGCACCATATTTATATGGATGCATCAGACAAAAACTTGATGATTTTTAATATTGATTTATTCAGGGCACCATATTTATATGGATGCATCAGACAAAAACTTGATGATTTTTAATATTGATTTATTCAGGGCACCATATATATATGGATGCATCAGGCAAAAACGTGTCATCAGTAGCCAGGTTAGTGAGCCCTATTGTCAACACTGGAGGTAAAATCTGTGTCAGCTTCTATTACGGGATGTACGGGTCAAGTGTGGACAGGCTGGCCTTGTACGTGAGACAGGCTGGACAGGGGGAGAAACTTTACTGGACCAGGTCAGGTAATCACGGCCAGAGGTGGATACACCAGATGGTGGAGGTGGCCGGGGACTACCAGCCCACACAAGTCATCTTTGAGGGGGTGGTGGGGAGGACTGCGGAGAGTGATATTGATCTAGACGAGGTGTGGATTTACAACCAGCCCTGTCCACCTAATGGTGAGTCGCTGTAGGACCAGCTTGGGCTGATGAGTGATTAGGCTTTTCAAAAGTTGGTATCATCATTTTCTAACTATGTGAAATTTTTCAGTTTTGTTCTTATATTAGTATGGTCAGACTTAGCCAAATGTCAGAGATGAAAACGCAAGTCACTTGTATTTTTAGGGTACTGTGACTTTGAAGATGAAGAGTCATGTGATCTTGAGCAAGACAACATGGATGATGATGATTGGACATTTCATTTCCTAGCCAGCTCTCTGCATAGATTAGCTCCCCTTATAGACCACACATATGGAACAGGGGAAGGTAACTAATGGATTTTTAACTGGATTTAATATGGTCTGATTTATACCATAAATGTACCCACATATTTGAAAATACAAGATATTACATTTTATTTAAACATTCACATTATTACTTTACCGTTTCAAATTTACACTGCTACCTATATAGATGGGTTTTTTTTCATTTTCATTACACTGTTATTTGTTTAAAGAATTTTATCTGTCTTGCAGGCCATTACCTGTATAAAAATCTAAGCACAGAACAAACAACTGGGGAGCTGTCCAGACTGCTGACCCCATTACTGGACGCTGCCAGTGTCCACTGCCTGACATTTTGGTACTACATAAGCAACCCCCCTCAGCTGAGCAGCAGCCATGTCCTGGCTGTCAGAACCAGAGATGAGAGTGGACAGGAGACTGACCTAGGAGTCTTAAAGGGCAGGGGACTCAACACATGGAACTCTGCACACTTTTCTATTGATCACAGGTCTACGGAAAAATTTCAGGCATGTATTTCTGGTACTTTTGAATGCAGAATACATTTCTTTTGATAAAGGTTGTTTTTATTTAATTTTGTGTACAAAAATGATGCATATTAACAATAATTAAATCTGCTTTCAAATTATATTTTTCAGATAATATTTGAAAGCCAAAAAGTTGGGAGTTATGGGGCTATTGGTATTGATGATATTGAGGTAATATTATCTGATGATTTTGTTTAATTTACTTGACTTGTGTAACATTAGGGGTGAAGTTATCTCCCATTGATCCCCTATTGTTTTCAGTTATTGACAGAGAGCTGCTACACCCTTGTGAACTGTGCCCTTGAAACAGACACAATGTGCAACTGGCATCAGTCATCTACAGATGCATCACCACCATGGGAAATAATCCAGGATGGTTTGTAATTTTCCTTGTTGTTTCCCTTTACTCACTTTTTACTCTATGCACATAAATTAAATCATTTAGGTTTCCTGTAAGGTAGATAGCCTTATGTTATTTTGTTCTTTTATTTTGCATGTGTTTTCTTGTGTCTTCTGATTAAATTGTTAATTACCCATCACCAGACCACTACATGCGGGTCAGCTTCACCAACAGACCAGGCCCACCACAGATCTCCACTGTAGTATCGGAACTTGTACCTAGCACACACCTGGCTGAGTTTTGTTTTACTTTCAGTTACATGATGTTTGGAGATAACATTGGCTGTCTTAATGTTTCTTTACATGTAAGCTCCTCAAACTTTATTTTATTCATTACTTTGTATTTAATTTTAATGTTTCCTTCAATTTACCTGTGTTATACACTATTATTAAATAATAAGTAATGCCAAAGGGCATTTGTTTTAGATATTTTTGCCTGAATTTAGGTGGAAAAACTATATTTCAATTACATTGCCATTTTAGAATTAAGAATTAGTAGTAATTAAGTTTGCTACATTATTAACAATTCATTGAACATATAAGATAAGTTTTTTAAATAGTTGTTTGTTTCTTTTATAATGTTTATTCTCATGTGCTGTTGTTTTAACTCTGTCATACAAATATCTGACTGTTAACCTTTCACCATTTAAAACAACTGACTGTTAACCTGTCACTTTCTAAAAAACCTGTCTGTTAAACTTGTCCGAAACACCTGCATGTTAACCTGTTCAAAACACCTGCCTGTTAACCTGTCAAAAAACCAGTCTGTTACCCTGCCAAAAACACCTGCCTGTTTACCTGCCAAAAACACCTGTCTGTTAACCTGCCAAAAACACCTGCCTGTTTACCTGCCAAAAACACCTGTCTGTTAACCTGCCAAAAACACCTGTCTGTTAACCTGCCAAAAACACCTGCCTGTTAACCTGCCAAAAACACCTGTCTGTTAACCTGCCAAAAACACCTGCCTGTTAACAATGTTGCAGGACGTTGCCCCAAGCTCCCAGACACCACCTCCACAGGTAGACCTGACAGTGTTGAGTGAATGTGGTGAGCAAGGAGTCAGCACATGGCACACAGCTCACATCAACAAACCCCAGACCTTCAACAGCACAGAGTTCCAAGTTAGTCATCCTTACTGTGTTGTTACTGGGGCTAACCATAGTCATAACTTTTTATTTAAAACATAATCTTTAGAAAGTTATAGTAAAATATAATGGCCCAATACAAGGCAGAAGATTTTTTTAATGGTTGAAATAGCTTTTACTGCACTTAAAAATGAAATGAAAATACCCACTCTACAGATTGCCATATCAGCCTCATCAACCTTACAACCCAATAGCACAAAACTAGGGGAGATTAGAATTGCTAACATACAACTCTTCCCTCATAGTTGCTTACAAGGTAGGTCAGTTTTTTTTAAACTTCTATTATAATAACAACAAGATTATTTTTTTTTTTTGTTTTTTTTTTTCAGTTATATTTTCCAATAATTTTGTGGTGTTTTTTTTTTTATAAAATAGGTTAAACATTCAAACAATCATATGAAGACTTCAACAAGTCTAAATGTATTAGAAATGGTTTCAGGTCTCCAAATTAGTGTCTTGAAAGTAGATTTTACATCAATTTTTTTCAATATCACTGACTGGTATTATTTACTTGCCCCACTTTAAATTAAACATGTAGAGAAAGCTAGAGAGAAAGTGAGGTACAAATTTGTTGAACAGATGTTATTTTATTGTGGCTGCCAACTGCTTAAATACTAGTTTAAGTCCCAATAGTTCTTTTCACATCCTTACAACAGAAGAAAATGTGAACTACACCTGTAGAGACAGCCAGACTGTGATCAGTTTATCCAAAGTTTGTGATTTTATCAGAGACTGCCCTGCTTCAGATGATGAGGAAAATTGTGGTGAGTCACTGTGAGCTTTTTTGGGAGGAGGTGGGAAGGATTGGGGTAATGACAAGTCTTAGCAATGTTTATGATTGTTTTAATGATTTAAATAAATATTTAGGCACCTGTAGTTTTGACAGTAATTTCTGCCACTGGGTGGATGCCAGCTTGGGCTCAGAGAAGTTTGGTCTAGCCTCTAGTATCCCAGGCAACAATATGCCGTTAAACTATCTGGGCCAAAATAAAGGTGAGACATTCGTCTATCTAACTTATATTTTAGCAACCCATTTCTGTGAGTCGAGGCGTCTACCATGTTATTTTTTTACTACATAAATTAATAAATATATCTTTAGCTAGACAAATATGTATGAAAATATTATGTTCTTAGTAAGAAGTTCTTATCTAAATCATCCCTTAACCCTTGTTGGGGCCCCACAGATTGGTGTGTCTAGGGCTAAATGTTAAAGCTAGAATAAGAATATAATCATTGAAATAATTTACTTATTTTCAATAGACATAAAAACTGAAGATCACATTGGATCTTTAAAATACACAATGTTTAAAAATATCAATTTACTATGTTAGTTATTGTTAAAGTACAATGAATCATTAGTGTTGATTGTTTAAATTTTAGCTTACAAAAAATAGTTAAAGTATATATGATATTATAGAGAAGCATGATAATTTTGTCAGGATATGATTGTAGTTGTTCTGTGTTCAGGTGATTATGTGGCTGTGGAAGGAGACCCTGACACATCACAGACTTTGATTGACTTGGTCCTCACCCAGGAGCTGGGTCCCTCACCCCCACAATGTGTCCTCAGATTCCTCTACTACCTCCACGTCAGTCTAGACTCAGGTGATGTCCAATTCCCCTAGATTAGTTACTTTTTTTTCTAATTACAGCTTTAAAAAGATTTTTAAATCAACAGTTCTATAGAAGTAGATATTAGTTTGTTTGGAATGTCAACATAAGAATATTGTCTAGGTACCATTTTACTAGGCTAGTTCTTCTATATCATTTTAGAGGGTTTTTTTTAACTTAAAAGACAAAAGAGTGATGTAGCTAATAATTTTGCCTTACTTGTCTAACAGAAATGTTTTTTTAACTTAAAAGACAAAAGAGTGATTCAGATAATGATTTTGTCTCACTTGTCTACCAGAATTTTTTTTTTAACTTAAAAAGACAGAAGAGTGATGTAGCTAATAATTTTGCCTTACCTGTCTACCAGAACTGGGTGATCTGTTTGTTGTGCTGGAGGAGGGTGGGGAGGAGACAGTCATCTGGAGAAGTTTGAGAGTCAGCAGCACTGACTGGCATGAGGCTCAAGCCATGATTGACAACATTCACTCTCGTTTCAAGGTTAGTTCATCAATCAGCACTCTCCCTTCAAGGTCACCTCATCAATAAGAATGTAGATTAAATTTCAAACCTGATTGATGACATCATTTCTTAACATTTGTATTAATTGCTCATTGTGTTTTAATTATTTACACAAAAACTGTTCCAGCTTCAGTGAAACTATTAGCACACACAAAAGGCCTCAAAGTTAAAGCTTAAAATTTACATGTTTATTACACAACAATTGTCTCAGGTTTAATATTATAGATTTGTTTAGTATAAATTGTTTTAAATTCACTTCAAAAGATTTAATTACATCTAGTTATAAACTGTTTAAGCTTCAGCTTAACAGATTTTTTTGTTGTAAATTATTTTAGCTTCACTTCCGTGCCAACCAACTCGGCTACCTGCAGACTATTGCTATTGACAACATAGAGTTTGTAAACTGTATGTTTCCAGGTATGTTCTGTGTATTGTGTTTTTTTATCTGTGCGATGGCATAAAACATGTTGACGAGTAATACTTAAATGTGCCGCAGGAAATGCATTCAGACATTACAATTAAGTATGAAGAAGAAGATAGAATACGTCTTTTGAGAAATGTTTGCATTTTATATAGCAAAAAAAAAACAATCTTATTTTGAAACCAGAAATTCTTAAATTGGATATTGATAATAAATAAGGAAATAATTTTTAAATTTTAAAACTTTTACTTTTGCTTGTAAAAAATTGCTGTTTAAAAAATTGTCCACTTCCTTACATGTGTGTGAACCAGTTTCAGTGTTCAGCAGTGGTGTGTGTGCCCCACCTATGTTTGCCTGTAAGACAAATGTAACTTGTGTACAGGAGAGTTCTGTCTGTGACTACACTGACAACTGTGGAGATGGGGCGGATGAGGACACCAACATGTGCAGTCAGTAGCTTTTATTTGTTTCATTCATCAAACTTTAGTACATGCTGCACTGGTATTTAGCAGTCACTGGAAGTTTAATATAATATGTTAGCATTCAGAAATATCTTTCATCTTTTAGCAAATTATTGAAATCAAAGATATGGTATCTAGGCTTAGACATTAATTTAAAATTTAAAAAAAAAATCTTATCAGCTGTCTCTATAAACCTGTACTGACACCATAAACTACTATCACCTGTAGTGGCCCCATAAAATCACCTGCAGTGACCCCATAAAATCACCTGTAGTGACCCCATAAAATCACCTGTAGTGACCCCATAAAATCACCTGTAGTGACCCCATAAAATCACCTGTAGTGACCCCTTAAAATCACCTGTAGTGACCCCATAAACTGCTATCACCTGTAGTGACCCCATAAACTGCTAACACCTGTAGTGACCTCATAAAATCACCTGTAGTGACCCCATAAACTGCTATCACCTGTAGTACCTCTCATGTCAGGTGCTTATGTCAGGGACAACTTTGAATACAGCCTGGGGAACTGGCAACAAGACCAGGGTGATGACCTTGATTGGCACCGTCACCAAGGTCAAGGGGTCAATGTCTATGATGGTCCACGTCGAGATCACACACTAGGAACTCATTTTGGTAAAATTACTCAAAACTTATGTGTGTACCTAGCTGTAGCTAAACTTTTGTTTGATGGATGACTAGTTGTAACTAAACTTGAGCTAACCAGATGTAAATACATTACAAACTAGCCAGATAAAATTTTTTGTCATCTCCTCAGGCCACTACATGTTGTTTGAAACAGCTGGACAGCAGGCAGGTCAAAGGTCACGGCTCCTCAGTCCTATGTTTGCACCATCTGACCAGTGTAAAGTGGGTGCTCAAATAGTTTTTGACAGTTTTTGGACACATCTTTCTGTCACACACAACAAATATTTGTTTCGTATATTATTGTCTGTATTTCATACACAACAAGCTTCTGTTTTTCATACACAACAATTGTCTGTATTTCATACACAACAATTGTCTAAATTTCATACACAAGAATTGTCTGTATTTCACACACAATGTGTCTCTATTTCATACACAAAAACTGCCCAATTAAACTCTATGTTTTTGTCTAGATGAGATGGCATGTGTACATGTATGGGACAAACCCTGCCCACCTCACTGTGAGCGTACGCACAACAGTGAGAGGACCAGAGACAGTGGTCAGTGAGTTAAAGGAGAGTCTGGGTGACACTTGGGAGTCACGCGTCAACCTGCTCAACATTCAAACTGACTTTCAGGTGAGCCTAGGTATGGGAGTGCCGCGTCAAATTGAATTACTTTCAAGCTGTCTTTCAGGTGAGTTTAGGTGACACTTGGGAGTCACGCGTCAACATCCTCAACTCTCAAACTGACTTTTTGGCGAGCCTAGGTATGGGAGTCACGCGTTAACCTGACTGTTTAAAACTACATCCATTTGGATGTTTTAAGTTGGAAATTTCACTTTAAGATGTAGATAGCTCGTTACTTAAAGTGTTACAGTTTTTTATCTAACCAGTGATAATAATGTATTCAATTGCCTTCAGGTGGTGATAGAAGGAGAGGCCACAGGCTTGCATTCTTCCAACATTGGCGTTGATGACATCAGTTTTAGTCTAGAGTGTGTGTTGTCTAACAGTAAGTGCTTTGTTCATTTAGTTTACATGTCTTTAAAACATTCTAACAGTTATAAGGTTGGTAGATTGAATAGTTTTAATAGGCATCCATTTCTAGATTTTCTCTACTCGAACTACTTATCATGTCTTACAAGACACTTGAGATCCTTTTTTTATCCTGGCTAAATATCTTTTAATGTAGAAACATAAATAAAACAATCAATTGTTATTTGATGATTGTTATTTGATGATTGTTATTTGGTTTATTATTTGATGATTGTTATTTTGATGTTATTTGATGATTGTTATTTGATGATTGTTATTTTATGATAATTATTTGATGGTTGTTATTAGATGATTGTTATTTGATGATTGTTATTTGGTTTATTATTTGATGATTGTTATTTGATGATTGTTATTTGGTTTATTATTTGATGATTGTTATTTGATGATTGTTATTAGGTTTGTTTTTTGATAATTGTTATTTGATCATTGTTTACTTTTTGTCTACCAGAGACACTTCCAGAAGGTTCCGCAGCCCCCACCTCCTCCCCTCCCTGTGGTGCTGGTCAGTTTATGTGTACATCTGGACAATGTATCAACCAAAGCCTTGTTTGTGATTTTGTGACTCAGTGCATGGACGCATCTGATGAAGCGCAGTGTGGTAGGTCAGACAGTGACAGTGTATGTCAGGTGATACACAGATGTATGTCAGATGACAGACAGATGTATGTCAGATGACAGACAGATGTATGTCAGATGACAGACAGATGTATGTCAGACGACAGACAGATGTATGTCAGATGACAGACAGATTTATGTCAGATGACAGACAGATGAATGTCAGATGACAGACAGATGTATGTCAGATGGACAGTGTATGTCATGTAAACTAAATGCCATGTCCTGTTGTTGCCTTAGGTTCCTGTACCTTTGAGGCAGGTGAGTGTGGCTGGACAGATGAAAGCCTTGGGGACAAGGTGTGGTCACTACTGGCTGCTGGGACAGTTGGCACACCCTACTCTGATCACACTTTTAGTGCCACTGCTTTCAAAGGTAACACTTGAGATTTTTATCTGACTTTATTGAAAGGTAATACTTGATTTAGTATGTCTGTATTTAAAGGTAATACTTTAGATCTTAATCTGACTTTTATGAAAGATAACACTAGAATTCAGCACAACTGTGTATAGCTAAAACTAAACATCTTGGCGCTTTACTTAATTCTTAGATTTTAGTATGAATATATCCTTTAAAAATTCATTACATTCTAAAAGACTTTTAAGATTTTAACACAAATTAGGTTAATAATAACACTTAGATTTTTAGCATGACTTTTCTGTAGGTAGCACCTAAGTAAAGATGAAAGTAAAACCGAGTTGAATATTTTAATTAGACAATTTATTTACGTTTAAATTTTGAAGGATTTATTGTGTTTACATTTTAAGGCTACAGTTACAAGATGTTCTTGTCTTGTAGGTCACTACTTGATGCTGGACCACGGTGTGGGCGTGGCTGACCTGCCTGCCTATCTGGTTGGGCCAACTCTGACAGCTACAGGCAGTGACTGCTCCATGGGGGTTTATGTTTTCATAGATAACCCAGGCAATGGTGAGTCTACGGCTGGAGAGTAGGCTACAGTAGTGGTGACTAGGTAACACATCAGTGGTGATACACAGAGGTATGTGGTGAGTACATTAGTGGTGACTCATGTAGGTAACAAGCCAGTGTTGACACACAGAGGTAAGTCATATTAATGTAGTGAGTGATAGGTTGGTGCATACAATAGAGGTGAATAGGTTAGAGCCTAGTGGTGACACATGGAGGTAAGTCATGTCACTGGGGAGTCATAGGATGGTGGTGAGCATATTAACATTTCCAATAGAGGAAATAAATAAAATGCTGCAATCAAAACATAATTATTGTATTGATGCTAATTCCAGTTGCAGTTGAGTTTGGATTAAGAAATGGCACAGACCCATTCAGAGCAGTGATAACCTTGACCTCAGTTCATATTGGACCCAGTAGTGTGCCTGGTGGATGGCTGAAGTACTCCTATCATATTGGCGCCCTACCTTCAGGGTCACAGGTAGGGACGGGATTTTAAATACACTTTAACAAGGGGAAATTTATTAAGAACATATCTTTTAGATAGATAAAAATATAATGACAACTTTTAGATTGTGTGTTTGTATATGAGCTTATTTAGTGTGTGTAGTGGGAGGGGAGCTTACTAGAGGTCTTAGATTGATCTTAAGATTTTTACTGTTTGCTGTTATTTAGGTTTTCAGTACTTTGTTTTTTAAGTAAAGCCTTTTAAATTGCAGAATATTTCATTGTAAGACATTTTTCATAAATTTTTACATTGATCTAATCTTGCTCATGGTTTTTTCTAGGCTTTTGTGAAGGCGAGTGTGGTGAACACATCAGCAACACTTCTGCCACGTTTACTTCTGGACGACATCAGCTTCAACAATTGCCAGCCAGATGTAGTCTCAAATTTAACAGGTAGGTACATACATTTACAGATAAAAAACAAAACAAATAAATCTATCATTTTTTTAATTTTGTATTTTATTACAATATCAATTCAACCCACTTGCCATTTGAGTAAAACCAAAATTTCTTTAAGATGAGCAGACTTGACCGTCTATCAACAGATGCAACTTGTGACTTTGAGCAAGATTTCTGTGGCTACTTCAATGACTACACACAGACTGGTCAGTGGGTGCGTAGTGTTGCCACTCCAGCCAAAAGTGGACCACAACATGACCACACCACAGGCCAGGGTTACTTCATCTACACCAGGTTTAATCCTGACTTTAATCATCAGCGTAAGTTGGTCTTTTTCTTTAGTCTACACTAATCTTGACTATAATCCTGTCATCCTGAGTAGAATCATCAGCGTAAGTTGGTCTCATTCTTTAGTCTACACTAGTTGTAATCCTGACTGTAATCCTGACTATAATCATCAGCGTAAGGTGGTCTTATTCTTCAGTCTACACTAATCTTGATTATAATCCTGACTATAATCATCAGCGGAAGTTGGTCCTTTTCTTTTGTCTACACTAGTTGTAATCCTGACTAAAATCCTATAATCCTTACTATAATCATCAACATTAGCCTACCTTTTCTTTAGTCATTTATACTAGTTTTAATCTTGATTATAGCCAACATTAGTTAGCCTACTTCTTTAATCAGTCATTTATAAAGACTAAAACGACTTATGTAAAATAATTTGTAAAATCCAGAGTACATAAATCATAAATTGTGTTTCATTTATCTAGAAACAGTGGCCAGACTTTTGACTGGCGTATTGGATGCCAGTGGCCTAAAAGATGGCTGCCTGTCATTCTTCTACAACCTGGTTGGGCTTGAGGTATCTTTAAATGTTTTCCTGGTGGAGGAGAGGAACCAAACTTTAATTTTCACCCAATCTAATGTGGACAACACTTGGACATATGGACAGGCTAGAGTCACCCCCACACAACAGTTTCAGGTGCACTTTCAATCAGCAGCATCAACATTGAATCTACATCATTCAATACACATTATTTGATCAATATTTTAACATCATTCAACACACATCATTTGATCAATATTTTGCTAACATCATTCAATATTCATCATTTGGTCAATATGTTAACAAATAACATCATTCAAAAGACATCATTTGATCAATATTTTAACGTCATTCAATAAATATCATTTGATCAACATTAACATCATTTAACCAGCAACATTTTTTAATTGTCCCAAGAAAAATTTATATTTGTTTCAGATATTGTTTGAAGCAAGTGGCAATTTTTATCAAACCGATGGTCACATCGGACTGGATGACATCCAGCTCATGACAACCCCATGCAGGCTGTCTGGTAAGTGACCAGTCCAGTGTGGACACAAGTGACCAGTTTCTCTTATGTTTAGAAACTGTTTGAATTTGCCCTTCTTGTGGAAGTTTGTTTTTAAATTGCTCTTTGACTGAGGAGAAATGTTCATTTCCAGACTTATGTTTTGTAAAGAATGAACAGTAAATAGATTGTGTTTTCTCAATACCAGCCCTGTGTAACTTTGAACAAGACATGTGTGGGTTTCACCAGAACAATTCAGGTGTGCCAGTTTGGACAAGAGAATCTGCTAGAGACCCTCCCATGGATCATACAACTTCTAATTTAAACGGTATACATTTTTGTTTTACATCCAATAAGAGTTGTATGTTTGTGTTTTTTAAATCACAATAGTTTTGCAACTTTTTTTTAGACAATAAATATTTTTATAATTTTTTTCAATCTACAACGTGGTCTATTAAAGAGCATGTAAATTTATGCTTTGTGATTCACAAAAGTGTTTCTATTAAAAGGAAAGTTAGGTCACTGTGTCATAATTAGTATGTCTGTTTTACCACGCAGGTCACTACCTGAAGGTAGACTTGACTGGACAACCAAGCCACACCCAAGCTGACCTCATCAGCCAGGAATACCCAGGTGTTCCTGGTCCAATGTGTTTGTCCTTCTGGTACTTTAAAGGTGACCACAACAGCTCAGGTCTCAGTGTTCATTTTGTCCCGACTGACACGATTGACCCCTCTGCTGGTCATCTTGACCCCTCTGCTGGTCATATTGACCCCTCATCCATCATCTGGTCAGATGCAGGTTTTGGTTCGACCTGGCTTTACGCACAGAAAACTCTCAACACCAGCTCTAACTTTAAGGTGAGTAAACAAATGTTTTCCTAAATATTTTAAGGTGAGTAAATTTATTTTTTTCCTAAATATTTTAAGGTGAGTAAACAAACACATGTTTTCCTAAATATTTTAAAGTGAGTAAACAAATATTTTCCTAAATATTTTAAAGTGAGTAAACAAATGTTTTCCTAAATATTTTAAGGTGAGTAAACAAACAAAGTTTTCCTAAATATTTTAAAGTGAGTAAACAAACAAATGTTTTCCTAAATATTTTAAGGTGAGTAAACAAATGTTTTCCTAAATATTTTAAGGTGAGTATACAAACAAATGTTTTCCTAAATATTTTAAGGTGAATAAACAAACAAATGTTTTCCTAAATATTTTAAGGTAAGTAAACAGACTACTGTTTTCCTTAAAAAAGTAACAACTGAGTTATACTTTCTGTAATGTTCTTCCACAGCAAAATAAGCTTTTTTTTTTTAAACACGACAGGTCATTTTTAGATTTAAAATTTTTTATCTTTTTTAAAAATGATGATCTTTTATAAACATTAAAGTAAACATGTATTGTATATACAACTTCAAAAAACTATAATACCTAATTGTATTCACATATTAATCAAAATATGGCATTCAGAAATTTTTAACCTACAGATATCAATTTAGCTGAAATAATCTGTTTTGATAAAAGTATGTTTATTTTTAAATTCAAATCCAATGTGTATAGGGAAAAGCCAATTTTAAGTGATACTGTCTTTGTTGTAAGATATATAATGAGTAGAGTGAATGTAGCATTTTACAGGCAGTAAATAATTATCTTGTTATAAATAAATGTAATTAAAATAAATTATAACATGATTCTCATTTTTCGATTCTTTGAATGCAGCTAATCTTTAGAGCTACAGCATCACCTACTGACCAATCAGATGTTTGTATTGATGATGTACTAGTTGAGCATGGAGAGTGCCCTCCCTTGGGGTCATGTGACTTTGAAAAAGATATGTGTGGCTTCACTACCAGCAGATACTCTTGGTACAGGGTTCAAGGACGTGATGGTGGACCACCAGCTGACCACACCACTGGCTCAACACAAGGTTGGTCTTAGTGTAAGAATATCTGGTACAGATTTCAAGGAGGTGATGGTGGACCACTAGCTGACCACAACACAAGGTTGGTCTTAGTGTAAGAATATTTGGTACAGGGTTCAAGGACGTGATGGTGGACCACCAGCTGACCATAGCACTGGCTCAACACAAGGTTGGTCTTAGTGTAAGAATATCTGAGTCAAGTATGATGTTCAGATTTAGGTATCTATTGGTGTTAACCTGCATAAAGTAACAGCCTTTATACAGAACTCATGAACATCCAGGTTACTTACTTACTTAAGTCATTAATAATTATTTAAGAGGTAATTAAATCAGAATTAAATGATCATTCTAAAGTAATAGCTTGTAGCCTGGAAGTCTTTAGGTAAAGAAGTATGTGATCATAACAAGTAGTTATGTCTGATAAGTCATCTTTGTTGGAATGTTTACAAATAAGAACATAAAAACATTGCAGGCTTCTCATTGGCTACCTTAGAACAGTTTACAAGTGGGAGTTTGTTCAGCCCCTGGCTGGAGCCTCTTGGTGAAGCTTGTCTGTCATTTTGGTACTACAGATCAGGGACTAATGGTAACTGTTTGATCAAGTCTTGTGTTTTTGATACAACTTTGTTGTGATATATGTTCTGTGTTTGATACAAATTTGTTATATGTTCTGTGTTTGATACAAATTTGTTATGATACACCATTGTAATACAGTGCACTATGAACTTCTTGCAATATTGATTTACCTCACGCTTCCTCTAAACTATTGTGCTCCACATTACTGAAGTTATTAAAACTTGATTCAACTTTTTGTCCTACCTAAATACCTTTTGAAAAAAAAAATGTTTCTGACCTAAGCAACTTTGATCTACCAGACTCCAGTTTTAGCCTATCAGTGACAAGCTTACATCCATCTGGTAACCAATCCATACAGCTGTATGATAGCAACAGACTTGTTCTCAACCAATGGCATTTGATTAGCTTAAACATCTCAAGCTCTGATTGGTTCCAGGTCTGTTCACTGTCAGTCCAATGTTTATCTATTATTTAGCAAAGTTTGGATGCATGCACAACTTTTTAATGATTTTATTCTAACTCTTTCTTGAAGTTTTTGATAAACGTGAGTGCCATGACTCCACAAGATGGGGGACTAGCTATTGACGGGGGTCTAGCTATTGATGATGTTCATCTGACCTCATACAACTGTCAGCAGCATCACCAGATAAAGCCAACACCACAAGCTGTGGTCAACTATCGTAAGAAACTTTGGTTTTACCAACAGCATTCAAGATTTAACTGCTGCACTGTTTTAAAATGTCTCTCATTTCAACCTCTAGACATTGGTTTTATAATGTGTGATTGTATACATTGTCATTATCTGTGGTCAGTCCTACATCTCAGAGTTTTTTCATTAAGCTTTTTCATACTAACGTCTCACCATCACACAAAAATTATGTCAACTTTTTCGTGCTAATATCTCCCCCATCACAAAAAAATTATTTCATGTCAACTTTTCCACAGCCCCCAGTAACCTTGACTGTACGTTTGATACTTTTTGTGGCTGGTCACATGACCCTTCAAACACTTTTGATTGGTTCCTCACATCAGAGAGGGTCAACACTTTCTCTGGTAGAGCCTACGACCACACGAAAGAAAATGAAGATGGTGAATATTTGTTTGTTTACACATTCGTTACCATGGTGATGTTAAAGCTGCCTGCCACATTATACTTGGTTTAATTAAGCTGACACAAATCACTTTTAGCAAATTAAATAGTAATGATTTAAATACTGTTTTTGTCTTTATATTCTGTAGGTTCATTTCTGTCAACAAATCCTGCAAGTGGCACAGCTGGTCAGTACGCCAGGCTACTCAGTCCAGCCCTTGAGGGTCAGGGTGTGAATGGAACCTGTCTCAGGTTCTGGTTCATCATGTCTGGGCCAGAGGTGGGAGAACTCAACATTCTCTTGCTCAAAGGTGTGTGTAAAACATTCTCTTGATCAAAGGTGTGTGTAAAACATTCTCTTGATCAAAGGTGTGTGTAAAACATTCTCTTGATCAAAGGTGTGTGTAAAACATTCTCTTGATCAAAGGTGTGTGTAAAACATTCTCTTGCTCCAAGGTGTGTGTAAAACATTCTCTTGATCAAAGGTGTTTGTAAAACATTCTCTTGCTCAAAGGTGTGTGTAAAACATTCTCTTGCTCAAAGGTGTGTGTAAAACATTCTCTTGATCAAAGGTGTGTGTACAACTTAACATTCTTGGTCATTTAACACATTCTCTTGGTCAAAGGTGTGTGTGTAAAACTCAACTTTCTTGGTCAAAGGTGTCTATCTTCACCCACATATTTTAAATATAAAGTCAGACTAACATGTTGTTTTGGAAGCTCTAATTGTGAGTCCAATCACATGCAGACCAGCAGCCCAACATGACAAGTGTAGTGTGGAGTAGGAGTGGGGAACAAGGGGAGGACTGGATCTTGGCATCTGTGTTTGTCTCCCCTGCTGAGGTGACTGAAGGTGGCCCTGCACTGGTCCAGGTTTGTTGTGTGGCTGACAGACGTAGGGTGTATGACTGGCTGATACAGGATGTATGTCTGAAACAGGTTATATGGCTGACAGACAGGATATATGACTTACAGACACAGGATGTATGACTGACTGACACAGCATGTATGACTGACATATATAGACATTATCCTTGAAAAAGTTTGTTTTTTTAACTTGGTTATTTTTTACCTAGTTCTTTTGTTCCTAAGTCATCAGTTAAAATGATTAAAAATTATTAAGATTTATTTTTCAAGTATATTTCATTAGCCAGACAATTATTATAAAGATTAGTGTTTGTTTCAAACAGTTTAGTCTGGTGAGAGGTGGGGAGAAGTTAAAAAGTTTGTGGTTGCTCTTAAATTTCTAGTGGGCAGACATTGGTTAAAGTGGATATTTCCTATATACATTTTTTGTTCTAATTCGTGGTGGGGGGGGGGGACATTCAAAGAGATGTGTAAAAGTAACAGCTTTTGTAACAGCTTTTTTTTTCCTGTTAGCTAGCTATAGAACATGTACTGGTAAACAACTATGCTGAAGATATTTTTTATTTTCCTGTATTAGCTAGCTATAGAACATGTACTGGTAAACAACTATGCTGAAGCTATTTTTTATTTTCCTGTATTAGCTGGCTATAGAACATGTACTGGTAAACAACTATGCTGAAGATATTAGAGTGGATGATGTATCCTCTCATGAGGGGCCTTGTGTTGAAGATTTAAGTAAGTCTTTGCACATTATAGCGGAATTGTTCAGTTTTTCACCAAAGATTTTCTAGATCACATATTTATTTTCTTTGTGTCAAAATTGTAACAACTAAATTACTTGTGTCCCTCTGAGAATTGGCTTGTCTAAATATTGTTTAACACATCCAGTCTTCAACACTCAGTTGTGTTAACCTTTCTTAACACTCATTAACCAACCTGACAACCTACTCATTAACCAACCAGACAGCCTACTCATTAACCAACCTGACAACCTACTCATTAACCAACCAGACAACCTACTCATTAACCAACCTGACAACCTACTCACTAACCAACCAGACAACCTATTCATTAACCAACCTGACAACCTACTCATTAACCAATCTGACAACCTACTCATTAACCAATCTGACAACCTACTCATTAACCAACCTGACAACCTACTCATTAACCAACCTGACAGCCTACTCATTAACCAACCTGACAACCTACTCATTAACCAACCAGACAACCTACTCATTAACCAACCTGACAACCTACTCACTAACCAACCAGACAACCTACTCATTAACCAACCTGACAACCTACTCATTAACCAATCTGACAACCTACTCATTAACCAATCTGACAACCTACTCATTAACCAACCTGACAACCTACTCATTAAAATGACAACCTACTTGTCAACCATCCTGACAACCTACTCATTAACCATCCTGACAACCTGCTCATTAACCAACCTGACAACCTACTCATTAACCAACCTGACAACCTACTCATTAACCAACCTTACAACCTACTCATTAACCAACCTGACAACCTACTCATTAACCAACCTGACAACCAACTTGTCCAGGAAACTGTGATTTTGAAAACCCAGCCATGTGTGGCTTTACACAAGATCCATACGACGATTTTGATTGGGCATTGACCTCAGGGGCAGTTTCTTCACAGTCAGGTCCATCAGCTGACCACACCTATGGCACCTTAGATGGTAGGTCTAGTCACTGATTATCTGACCACACCTTAGATGGTAGGTTTAGTCACTGACTATCTGACCACACCTTAGATGGTAGGTTTAGTCACTGACTATCTGACCACACCTTAGATGGTAGGTCTAGTCACTGATTATCTGACCACACCTTAGATGGTAGGTTTAGTCACTGACTATCTGACCACACCTAGATGGTAGGTCTAGTCACTTTTCTTATTTGCCCTGGGTTCTGTATTCAGTTTTATAAATACATTTTTAAATACCTTAAAAAATATTTAGAAGTTCTATTATAGTTGATAATCCTCATTATTGATATTATGAAACTGATGTGTTGACCTTTAAACCAGGCCACTACTTATACGCCAGAACCCCCCAGGGTGGCAGGAGGTTAGGGGTCATGTCTCAAGTCCAGGGACCAACACAAGGCAAATGTCTGAGGTTCTACTTCTACATGGGTGGCTCAGGATCCCTGTCTGTCAAGGTTCTCACTGAGGAAGGGGACGTAGCTCTCATATGGCAACATGTAGGGAGTGCAGGGGAGGCGTGGAGGGGTGCACAGGTGGATGTCAATATGGATGTCAACTTTCAGGTACTCTAGAACATTCATCACAGGTGTCCACTTTCAGAACTATTGTCATGGTGTTTTATGTTTTCAATATTTCTCCAGATACTCTTTGAGGTGACATCCAATGTGAATGATGTTGCTAGGGATGATGTTGTTGCTATTGATGATGTTGGTTTACTGTCCTGGGCCTGCACCCAACCTGCCACCTGCAGCTTTGAGACCGACATGTGTCTGTACCACAATATCAGAGACACAGATGGCTTTGACTGGCTGAGACACAGGGGTCCATCTGGTGCCAGAGTGTCTGGTCCAACACTAGATCATACAACCAACTCAACCCAAGGTGGGTCATACAACCAACTCAACTCAAGGTGGGTCATACAACCAACTCAACCCAAGGTGGGTCATACAGCTGACCCAAGGTGGGTCATACAACTCAACCCAAGGTGGGTCATAGAACCAACTCAACCCAAGGTGGGTCATACAACTCAACCCAAGGTGGGTCATACAACCAACTCAACCCAAGGTGGGTCATACAACCAACTCAACCCAAGGTGGGTCATACAACCCAACCCAAGGTGGGTCATACAACTCAACCCAAGGTAGGTCATATGACCAACTCAACCCAAGGTGGGTCATACGACCAACTCAACCCAAGGTGGGTCATACAACCAACTGTAAAGATATAAAATCTTGGCTATGTAATACTTTATAAGGTACACTAAAGTTGTTTTTTGAACTGCTTTTCAGGCTATTACATTTACACTGACTCCATATCTGCCAGACAGCGTGGAACATCTGCCAAGTTGGCCTCAGAACTTTTACCCAAAACCACCGCAAGCTGTTTGGGTTTTGCTTACAATATGAAAGGTCAAGGTAAACTGCTTGTCTGGTTGAATCTGGTCCAGTCCAGAAACATCAAGCAGCTGTTGACCTTGGTGGACGACACAGGTTAGTTTGGTGGTCAAACTGGTCATTTCTGTAATACAGGTTAGTTCAGTGTCAAACTGGTCATTTCTGTAACACAGGTTTGTTCAGAGGTCAAACTGGTCATTTCTGTCCATCCTATTGTATTGAATTTTAGTCTGTCAGTGTGACTGCTTTAACTACTCTATATTCATTAGCCTGGTAGCGTTATTTAAAGTTTGTAAAATTGACATGGTGAGTGAATACTTTTAGATGATTGAACATGTGAGGTCTGAATCTTTGCACCAGGTGGAGAGTGGAAGGAGGCTGTTGTAACTGTGGACAGTGTGGAGGACTTTGTGGTTGTGTTTGAGAGTGAGCTGACAGATGGTGTGGCAGACACAGCGTTGGACGACATCTCCTACACTGCTGGCCCCTGTCCCAACGACATTTTGAGCCAGCAGTTCATTTGTTTAGAGAATCATGTCTCTGTGCCAATTTTCAAGGTAGGTAACTTTTGGTTTAAAACAATTTTTTTTACGGTTTATCTTTGTGCTCTTAATAGGTTTCTACAGTAATTTTTTTTTTCTCAATTGATATGGATGTCTACTTTCAGATTTTGTGTGTTATGGTGTCAATGGCTGAATGATTGGTTTGTTTACTTCCAGAAATGTGATTTTGTGTGGGACTGTGTCAATGGATGAATGATTGGTTTGTTTACTTCCAGAAATGTGATTTTGTGTGGGATTGTGTCAATGGATGAATGATTGGTTATTTTACTTCCAGAAATGTGATTTTGTGTGGGACTGTGTCAATGGATGAATGATTGGTATGTTTACTTTCAGAAATGTGATTTTGTGTGGGACTGTGTCAATGGATGAATGATTGGTTTGTTTACTTTCAGAAATTTTGATTTTGTGTGGGAATGTGTCAATGGATGAATGATTGGTTTGTTTACTTCCAGAAATGTGATTTTGTGTGGGACTGTGTCAATGGATCTGATGAATGATTGGTTTGTTTACTTCCAGAAATGTGATTTTGTGTGGGATTGTGTCAATGGATGAATGATTGGTTTGTTTACTTCCAGAAATGTGATTTTGTGTGGGATTGTGTCAATGGACGAATGATTGGTTTGTTTACTTCCAGAAATGTGATTTTGTGTGGGACTGTGTCAATGGCTGAATGATTGGTTTGTTTACTTCCAGAAATGTGATTTTGTGTGTTATGGTGTCAGCTGATGAATGATTGGTTTGTTTACTTCCAGAAATGTGCTTTTGTGTGGGACTGCGTCAATGGATCTGATGAATGATTGGTTTGTTTACTTCCAGAAATGTGATTTTGTGTGGGATTGTGTCAATGGATGAATGATTGGTTTGTTTACTTCCAGAAATGTGATTTTGTGTGGGACTGTGTCAATGGATGAATGATTGGTATGTTTACTTTCAGAAATGTGATTTTGTGTGGGACTGTGTCAATGGATGAATGATTGGTTTGTTTACTTTCAGAAAATTTGATTTTGTGTGGGACTGTGTCAATGGATGAATGATTGGTTTGTTTACTTCCAGAAATGTGATTTTGTGTGGGATTGTGTCAATGGACGAATGATTGGTTTGTTTACTTCCAGAAATGTGATTTTGTGTGGGACTGTGTCAATGGCTGAATGATTGGTTTGTTTACTTCCAGAAATGTGATTTTGTGTGTTATGGTGTCAGCTGATGAATGATTGGTTTGTTTACTTCCAGAAATGTGATTTTGTGTGGGACTGTGTCAATGGATCTGATGAATGATTGGTTTGTTTACTTCCAGAAATGTGATTTTGTGTGGGATTGTGTCAATGGATGAATGATTGGTTTGTTTACTTCCAGAAATGTGATTTTGTGTGGGATTGTGTCAATGGATCTGATGAATGATTGGTTTGTTTACTTCCAGAAATGTGATTTTGTGTGGGACTGTGTCAATGGCTGAATGATTGGTTTGTTTACTTCCAGAAATGTGATTTTGTGTGGGATTGTGTCAATGGATGAATGATTGGTTTGTTTACTTCCAGAAATGTGATTTTGTGTGGGACTGTGTCAATGGATCTGATGAATGATTGGTTTGTTTACTTCCAGAAATGTGATTTTGTGTGGGATTGTGTCAATGGATCTGATGAATGATTGGTTTGTTTACTTCCAGAAATGTGATTTTGTGTGGGACTGTGTCAATGGATCTGATGAATGATTGGTTTGTTTACTTCCAGAAATGTGATTTTGTGTGGGACTGTGTCAATGGATCTGATGAATGATTGGTTTGTTTACTTCCAGAAATGTGATTTTGTGTGGGATTGTGTCAATGGATGAATGATTGGTTTGTTTACTTCCAGAAATGTGATTTTGTGTGGGACTGTGTCAATGGATCTGATGAATGGGACTGTGGGAACTGTACCTTTGAGCGTGACCTGTGTGGCTACTCAGACACCAGTGATGGCCTCTTCCACTGGACTAGGGCCAGCAGCAGCTCACTGAGGCCATCAGTGGTCAGTCAGCTTGGACATGACCACACTTTAAGTATGGAGAGTCCACTGTTTTATTCTGTAGCAATGGCAATGAAGAAGTTGGAAAAAAAATTCCAATACATTTTTTTTTTAAATTTATATCTTTTTTAACTGCCCAATATGATGTATGTCAAGATGATTTTTTTTTCTTCAAATTTAAACATACTCTGATTCTAAATACTTCTGTTTTCAGATTCAGCATCCGGTCACATGGTGTACGTCAACAGTGACAGGGGCCGAGACAACGACCAGGCATACCTTGTGTCCCCCCTCCTGCAGAGATCATACCAAACCTGTGCTGTCAAGTTTTACTTCAAGTTCTCTCAGATCTCTACTGGGCAAATCTCTGTGTACATTCAGGTCAGCTAGCAACACTAGACACTAGTTAACATGATTGTTCTCTCAGATCTCTACTGGGCAAATCTCTGTGTACATTCAGGTCAGCTAGCAACACTAGACACTAGTTAACTTGATTGTTCTCTCAGATCTCTACTGGGCAAATCTCTGTGTACATTCAGGTCAGCTAGCAACACTAGACACTAGTTAACTTGATTGTCCTGGTTTAGTGTTTTAACATTTGTCATTTCTGACAATAACCTTTGTAATAAGTCTGATGTGCTTGTTATATTTCTTAAAATATATGTCATGGTTAATTTTAATGAGGAAAATTAAAATAGGATTACTTCTCTATTGCAATAATATTAATTTTAATTTTTAAACCAAATTTTGAAATAGTCCATTTTGCTATGAACATTTTGAAATTCTACTTAAAATATGTCACTTATACATTTAAATCCCACTTAAAATACATTCCAGTACAACTGGGAGAGTAGGTGGTCAAAGAGTTTCTCCCAGAGTAGAGTCTACAATACAGATTCCTGGCATGAGGCTAACGTTCATATTGGGTACATGGCGGAACCTTTCAGAATAGTTATCACAGCTTCTAAGATGTTGATGTAGGTAACTTGTTTGTTAACATGGTTTAGTAAGTTCAAGTAATGTTAAGCAAATGATTGTCTTCTGTTAAAAACTATTCAAGGTTTTGTTTTACCAACTCTGCTGTCAAACTTAAGTGAACAATCCTTCTCTTCCCCCAGGGGTAATGGGACGATGGCCGTGGATGATGTTCAGCTGGTGGGCTGCGGTCCCCCCACACGTGACACCCTGCCCTGTCTCCCCTCACAGTTCACCTGTGCCAGTGGCTACTGTATAGACGGGCGAGCTGTCTGTGACCTCTCACAAGACTGTGGGGATGCTAGCGATGAGACCAGCTGTCAGAAGGTCTCTAGTCTACGTCATTTTATTCTTAGAAAGTTGGTTTTGTGCTTTAGAGATATCCATTTCCTTAAATGAGAAGTTGTGAAATTTTACAACATGACAAAACGTAAGGGGTATACTAGTTACTTGTGTATCAAAGGTTTTCAGACAAGATTTTAGATGTTGAGTATTTTTGACATGTTAGAAGTAGATGATGTACCAGATGATGTGACTGTGATGTTCTTACTTACTTACTTAATCCTCATCACTCCCTGTGGAGTATAGGGCAACAACAAATCTCCGCCATTCCACCCTGTTCTGGGCGAGCCACTTTAGTTCATGCCAGGTTTTGCCAGTAGCCTGTACTTCTTCTTCCATCTCCCTCCTCCATGTTCCCAGTGGTCTTCCTCTACTTCTCTTTCCGGGTGGGTTCCACTTCAGCGCCATGTTGGGGAGTCCTTTTTTGCTCATGCGTAGGACATGGCCCAGCCATCTCCATCTCCTCGTTCTAACTTCTGAGACTATGTTGTTTAATCCTGTCCTTCGCCATATTTCCTTGTTCGGGACTTTGTCGTCCCACTTTATCCTGAGGATGCGTTGGAGGGATCTTCTTTCAAAGCCTCTGAGTCGGCTGTCTACTTTCTTGTTTAGTTTCCATGACTCTGCAGCATAGAGGAGTACAGAACGTACATTAGACTTATAGATCCTTATTTTAGTTCTCTGCTGCAGTGAGGATGATTTCCAGATCTTAGCGAGTCTGTTGAAAGCTTGTGCTGCCATTGCAATTCTGGTGGCAATTTCTTTCTCCATGCTGCCATTTGCTGATATATAGCTGCCGAGGTACTTAAAGTCTTCGACCTCTTCTAGCTCTGCTCCATTCGCAAAGGTCTTGAGAGCACTTTTGGTTTTTATTTTCATTAGCTTGGTTTTTCCGGAGTTTATCTTTAGCCCAACGCTTTTGGCAATTTGCTCTATTCTTGTGGTTTTCGCTTGGATGTCTTTTTGGGCATGTGAAAGTAAAGCTTAAAGTTGTGATGTTCTAATGTATCCCATATCTTTCAGACGAGTGCTTGTGACTTTGAGAGCTTAATTTGTGACTGTGATGTTCTAATGTATCCCATATCTTTCAGACGAGTGCTTGTGACTTTGAGAGCACAATTTGTGACTGTGATGTACTAATGTATCCCATATCTTTCAGACGAGTGCTTGTGACTTTGAGAGCACAATTTGTGACTGTGATGTACTAATGTATCCCATATCTTTCAGACGAGTGCTTGTGACTTTGAGAGCACAATTTGTGACTGTGATGTACTAATGTATCCCATATCTTTCAGACGAGTGCTTGTGACTGAGAGCACAATTTGTGACTGTGATGTACTAATGTATCCCATATCTTTCAGACGAGTGCTTGTGACTTTGAGAGCTCAATTTGTGACTGTGATGTACTAATGTATCCCATATCTTTCAGACGAGTGCTTGTGACTTTGAGAGCTCAATTTGTGACTGTGATGTACTAATGTATCCCATATCTTTCAGACGAGTGCTTGTGACTGAGAGAGCACAATTTGTGACTGTGATGTACTAATGTATCCCATATCTTTCAGACGAGTGCTTGTGACTTTGAGAGCACAATTTGTGACTGTGATGTACTAATGTATCCCATATCTTTCAGACGAGTGCTTGTGACTGAGAGCACAATTTGTGACTGTGATGTACTAATGTATCCCATATCTTTCAGACGAGTGCTTGTGACTTTGAGAGCTCAATTTGTGACTGTGATGTACTAATGTATCCCATATCTTTCAGACGAGTGCTTGTGACTTTGAGAGCTCAATTTGTGACTGTGATGTACTAATGTATCCCATATCTTTCAGACGAGTGCTTGTGACTGAGAGAGCACAATTTGTGACTGTGATGTACTAATGTATCCCATATCTTTCAGATGAGTGCTTGTGACTTTGAGAGCACAATTTGTGACTTTGATGTACTAATGTATCCCATATCTTTCAGACGAGTGCTTGTGACTTTGAGAGCTCAATTTGTGACTGTGATGTACTAATGTATCCCATATCTTTCAGACAAGTGCTTGTGACTTTGAGAACACAATTTGTGACTGTGATGTACTAATGTATCCCATATCTTTCAGACGAGTGCTTGTGACTTTGGAGCTCAATTTGTGACTGTGATGTACTAATGTATCCCATATCTTTCAGACGAGTGCTTGTGACTTTGAGAGCACAATTTGTGACTGTGATGTACTAATGTATCCCATATCTTTCAGACGAGTGCTTGTGACTTTGAGAGCACAATTTGTGACTGTGATGTACTAATGTATCCCATATCTTTCAGACGAGTGCTTGTGACTTTGAGAACTCAATTTGTGACTGTGATGTACTAATGTATCCCATATCTTTCAGACGAGTGCTTGTGACTTTGAGAGCACAATTTGTGACTGTGATGTACTAATGTATCCCATATCTTTCAGACGAGTGCTTGTGACTTTGAGAGCACAATTTGTGACTGTGATGTACTAATGTATCCCATATCTTTCAGACGAGTGCTTGTGACTTTGAGAGCACAATTTGTGACTGTGATGTACTAATGTATCCCATATCTTTCAGACGAGTGCTTGTGACTTTGAGAGCACAATTTGTGACTGTGATGTACTAATGTATCCCATATCTTTCAGACGAGTGCTTGTGACTTTGAGAGCACAATTTGTGACTGTGATGTACTAATGTATCCCATATCTTTCAGACGAGTGCTTGTGACTTTGAGAGCACAATTTGTGACTGTGATGTACTAATGTATCCCATATCTTTCAGACGAGTGCTTGTGACTTTGAGAGCACAATTTGTGACTGTGATGTACTAATGTATCCCATATCTTTCAGACAAGTGCTTGTGACTTTGAGAGCTCTATTTGTGACTGTGATGTACTAATGTATCCCATATCTTTCAGACGAGTGCTTGTGACTTTGAGAAGTCAATTTGTGACTGGCACCAGGACTCACAGACCAGTGGCACCTGGAGGTTGGTGTCTGGGATGGAAGCAGGTGGGATCACACGTGACCACACCAAGGGCACGCCCTCTGGTCACTTCCTGCTCTTGGACAACTCTGGTGCCACAGCCAAGGCCAGGCTTGTCAGTCAGACTATCCAGGCCACAAATACTTCTTGTCACCTGACCTTGTACTACAACATTCAGCAGGACGGGGCAGGTGGGGACGCAGGTGTGAATACAGGTGCTGGTGTAAATATTTTCATGCGTACAACTAACGGAGGATATGAAACCAAAATTTTCTCTCGACGCAATACAAATCAGGATTTCTGGGACAGATCTGTCGTCAACTTAATCTCTCCACAAAATTTCCAGGTAGTTCTTGAAGGTGTGGGAGCACCTGATGCTACCATAGGTGTGGACGACCTGGTGCTAAGCTCCGGCTGTGTCCTGCTGAGCTCCAGCCTCCCCTTACCTGGCTACACGCCAACTACAGCCCCACCCAACCATTGCCCCAGCTACCAGCACCAGTGTGGCAACGGTCAGTGTGTGGCCACGTCTGTCGTGTGTGACTTGAAGCCTGACTGTGGGGACGGGTCGGATGAAGCCGAGTGTGGACCTTGTGAGTTTGAATCTGGGACGTGTGGCTGGTACTCTGCTGGTACTGGGGCCCTGGACTGGTGCCTCGTCACCCCCGGCTTGATGGGTCAGGTGGGACCAGACACTGACCACACGTTCAACAACAGAACTGGTCACTACATGTACGTCCACTCTACTCTAGGCTTGACTGACTCCCCCGCATGGCTGACCAGTGGTCCTTTACCTGCTGTAAGTAGCAGCTGCACTCTTACCTTGTTTAGTTACGTGAACCCTGACCTTAACGCCACGCTCGGCGTCTTTGTCTACTATAAGGAGGATACTCTCCCCTTGTTTAATGTAGGACAGGCCAGCCCAACAGAGTGGCAGAACTTGACATTCCACATGCCTAGCAGTCTAAAACTGGAAGACGGGTGGCAGATAATAATCAGCTTCCAAGCCCCAGCACACAGCAGCATACAGAAACTAGCAGCCGTTGACAGCATACAGTTCCACGGATGCTCCAAGCAAGAAGAGGTCCCACGTCTAACTTGTGACTTTGATGACCAGAGTCTGTGCAGTTGGAGGCAGTCAACGCAAGATGTGTTCGACTGGTCAGTCATTCAAAGCGGAACTTCCACCGAAGTGGGTCGCCTGAGGGACCGCTCTGTTGACAGGAGTGGGTACTACCTGCTGGCCCCCAGCTCCAACAGGAGGAACTTGGACATGGCTGTGCTGGTCAGTCCAGTACTCCAGCCACCCACCGGAGAGAACTGTTTGAGTCTCTGGTACTACATGAATGGCGAGGGTGCTGGCAATCTCCGAGTGGAAACATACTACAGCGGTTACAATATTTTAAACTTCAACCGAAACGGTAGCCTTCCTAACCACTGGTTTCAGGCTCTAGTCCCTATCACATCTACAACTACTTTTAGTATCGGTATCAAGGCAGAGGTCACGGGTGTGGTGGGTGGAGGGATAGCAGTGGACAGTGTCCAGTACACAGACGGACCTTGCATGTTTCCTACTGAGTGCACGTTTGAGGACGGCAATTTCTGTGAGTGGTACCAGGACAGGAGCGATAACCTTGACTGGTCAATTGGTAGCAACTCGTCAGTCACGGGGTCTTCTCCGGACACTGACCACACGCTGGGGACACGAGATGGTCACTTTGTGTTCGTACAGACGGCCACACCAGGTGTCGCGGCGTTAAGGGGTTACCTGAGAAGCTCTCCAACGGCAGAGTTCACTTCCTGTCTACAGTTCTGGTACCACCTGTCCAGCGAGGCCCCCACTCAGCTGTTGGTCCACGCCACCTTTCCGTCCACGCCTCTAGCACTCGAGGTCGACCTGTTGACGCTGTACGGTCCGCTGGAAAACGTGTGGAGAAAAGCCAACCTCAATATCAAACCGCCAGTTGGAGCCTATGAGATGAGGATTGAGGCCAGAGTTCACGGAGGTCAAGGATACGTGGCTATCGACGACCTGAGTCTGACAGACGGACAGTGTCCAGAGCAAGGATCGTGTAACTTCAACGAAGATCTCTGCGGGTTTGTTGTCATGTCAGGGGAGACAAGCTTTCAGTGGATATTTCAGTCTGACGAGCCCCAAGTTCTCTTCCCTGACAGCTACGTGGTCGCCTCCCCTGACAACAGCACGTCAGAGGGCGACACTGCTCTCCTCATCAGCGATCCTATAGTTGTCTCCCCTACCGAGTCCACCAAAAAATGTTTGCTTCTCACCGCTCGCCTGTCGTCGCCTGCATCAGGTCTGGGGTTCAAGAAGCTGAACGTCTACACCCGCGCCCTCAACACCAGCCTCAAGACGTTGGTCAGCACGGAGGATACCTTCATGCTCAACACCTGGTCTCGCTACCACATACATCTCGATGTCAGCTATGACTTTGAATTTATGATTGAAACCATCCACGATGGTCACTCGGAGGTCAGACTTGCAGTGGACGATGTTGTTTTGATGAACGAAGAGTGTCACGTGCTCCCGTCTACCCCGTCCCGACCCCCAGTGCCCTCTGTGTCACCGAGTTATCCCCCTTCTCTGTTAGACTGTGACTTTGAGGTCGACTTTTGTCAGTGGACGCCGGTGTTCCAAGTCAGGGGTCAGGGCTGGAGTATTACCCACAATTCTCAGAGCGATCCATTGGTTGACCACACCTCCTCCAGTAGAGCTGGCGGTTATGCCAGTGACAAGAGGAATCTGGGTACTGACACCGGTCTAGCGGCAGTGAGTAACGACACCGCCTATCTCATCAGTCCTAAACTTCCAATGGGCGGGAACATCTGCCTCAAGTTTTGGTATTTCATGTACGGCCCAAATGTCGGCGAGCTGAGGGTCACCGTCCCGACCAGGGGCACCTACTGGTTGAAGCGAGGCAGTCAGGGGCCGGAGTGGAAGTACGCCATGTTCAACATCAACGACATCAGCGGCGACGGGGTCATCGCGTTTGAGAGCAGCGGTCAAGCGGGTCACGTGGCTATAGACGATGTCTTCTCCAACCCTGGGGACTGTCCGCCTGGAAACTTCTGCGACTTTGAGACCAACTTCTGCGGGTACTTGACTGAGCCCGTGGGTTACCTCCCGTGGAGCCGAAGTTTAAACCTGTCTTACAAAAACATGACGGGACCTACAAGGGGAGACCACACTGTTGGGACGTTTGAAGGCCACTTTGCTTACTTTGACACGAGCATGAGGCGACCAGGAGACATTGGACGCTTGACCACCACAGACTTCACGGCCGCGCCTGGCTCTTGTCTGACCTTCTGGTACGTCATGCGGGGGGCGAACATGGGCAGGCTGAACGTGTACGTGGACGACGTGGCTGACCTCATGGACGGCGCCCAGCCTGTGTTTACCAGGTCAGGGTCTCAGGGCGAGGACTGGATGCTGGCTGCGGTCAGTCTGGACGCTGTTGCCAAGTTCAGGGTCATCTTTGAGGCTGTAGCCGGGGCAGGTCCGTACGGCGAAGTGGCTATTGATGACGTCAGCCTGGTCCCCCGGGCATGCCCTGACCCGGGGAGTTGTGATTTTGAAGATGAGCTCTGCTCGTGGTACAACGCTCAGGAGGGGGATGACCTTGACTGGGTGAGGGTCAAAGGTCACGACCACACCACCAACACGAATGACGGGGTGTTTCTGACGATGACAGGTGCTGGTCACGTAGCGCACCTGATGTCACCTGTCCTTGATGACGACACGACTTACTGCCTCACTGTGTGGAGTGTGACGTCATCCCCGAATGGCCTCATCAAGTTCTACACCAGAGAGGTCGATGAGGTCATCCTCCAACCCCTGGCCACAGACCCAATAGTGTTAGGGTCAGCGTCAACAGGTCAGCACTGGCTCAAGTATCAAAGACAAGTGTCACACGGGTCGCCCGCTTCAAAACGTTACCAGCTTGTATTAGAAGGGGTTAAAGGTCAGGGTGACATCTCCCTGGATGATCTCACCCTGTCCCAGGGCAACTGTTCTGAGCCCCCAGCCCAAGGTCCCAAGACATTCTACTGCAACAGCTCCCGGACCTGGCTCAATGAGACCCAGCTCTGTGACTTCCGTCAAGACTGTGAGGGCCCGGATGAAGAACTTGTCTGCGGGTATGATTGTGACTTCGAGAGTACGTCGTGTAGATGGGAAAATGTAGGCAGTATTAGCTGGCTGGTGAAGAATGGTAGCTCTTATGGTGTAGGCAGCCATTTTGTTTCCCTTGACGACGCTGCTAATGCTTTAGCCGTGTACCTGAGTCCCGTGTTACAACAGAGCTCTTCTATATGCGAGTTACAGTTTTCTTACTACATGAGTTCATCGACAGGGAACATGATCAGGGTGGCTAAACGTGAAGGGAGTCACGTAACTGATATTTTGGTCGAGTCGGCAGGAGGTAGCTCCTGGCAGGATAAGACAGTTGTGATTGGACGAATGGCCAACCCGTTTCAGGTCTCAATCCAGGCGGTCAAGCGTGAACGGACCTCAGTGGTTTCAATTGACAACCTCAGGTTTATTGACTGCGACCTGCCTGGACATGGCGACTGTGGTCAACTGACCAGTCCAGTCGTCTGCAACAACTCGGCCTGCGTGGACAGGACGGCGCTGTGCAACTTAGCAGACGACTGTGGTGACGGCACGGACGAGGCGTCCTGCGGCTGGTTTAAAATGTGCGACTTTGAGTTGGACCTGTGCTACTGGCACCCGGATGTGGCACCACGCTGGCGTGTTGAGGCGGCATCTGTCCTGGGGTCTGGTCTCACTGACCACACGTCACGGTCCAGTACTGGACGTGTTGCCACTCTGAGATCTGGCACCCCACTGGCCAACCTTCTAAGTCCAGTTTTTATCCCATCATCCACGTGTACTCTATCCTTTACGTTTTTAATCCAGTCAGACAAATCGAGTTCTGTTGGCGTGTACACACGTACCGCAGTGAATGGGGCGCTGAGGTTGGTGTTCTCTAGGTCTGCTCACGCCACCAACAGCTGGGCAGTGAAGCGTGTCGTGTTTAATGAAACCAAGCCGTTCCAGGTGATGCTGCAAGTCCAACAACCCGCAGGCACGGCTGGAGTTGTAGCTCTTGACGACACTTCCTTTTCTCCGGACTGTGAGGATTTTAAAGGGGAATTCCCGGTCTTGCCCACCACATCGCCTGGGGTGTGCCCAGAGGGGTCAGTGCCGTGTGCAGACAATACCACATGTGTGATGAAGCTCCATGTGTGTGATTTAATTAGCCAGTGTTCAGACGGTTCTGATGAAGCGAACTGTTCTGCGTGTGATTATGAAACAAGCTCATGCGGCTGGCATGATGCTAGTGACGGGGCGTTTACTTGGGTTCGTGCTAACCCTTCTGCTGATGTCGTCCCTATGGGACCAGACGAGGACCACACAAGAGGCATGACGGGATCCCACTCCTACATGCTGGTGGTGTACTCGGCCTACACCAGCCGGCAAGGTGTAGCTCTTGAGTCGGTGGTGTTTGCACCATCCAGCCCTCCGTGTGTTGTTACTTTCTGGGTCTACGGCACCCATTGGAGGTCTGACACAGCTCTCTTGCTGAAGGTCAGGTCATTGGCTGTAGACCACACGCTGGACACTGAGGCGGTCACTGCGTACAAGGTGGAGGTCACCGACCTGCTGGAAGGTGCCTGGGTCCAGGTTAACGCCACGGTGGGGTACCAGCCGTACGGGTTCCAGCTGCTGCTAGTGGCCCGGTCAGTCGATGCCGGGACGGTGGTGGCCGTGGATGACGTCAGCTTGAGCCCAGACTGTGCCGTTGGTCAGCCGGAGCAGACGTGTGCCAGCGGCTACTTGCGGTGCCAGTCTGGGTCGTGTGTGGGTCACGTGGTCCTGTGTGACGGCCACCCCGACTGTGGGGACGGGAGCGACGAGCAGGACTGCGGGGACTACCACAGCTGTGACTTCGAGCACGGGTTGCTGGACCTGTTCGTAGATGGCGCCGTGGATGTCACGTGGGTGGTAACCACACCAGAGGAGGTCAAGGCCACAGAAGACGCCCCCGCCAGAGATCACACGCTCAACTATAAGCTGGGCCACATGCTGTACCTAGGTGACCCCTCTCTAGCGAGAGTTCCAGTGGGCTCTGTGGGCAGGTTGAAGACCGCGGTCCTGTACCCCAGCACACCAGGGGGCGGCTGTCACCTCAGGTTCTTCTTCTACCAGGCCAGTGCTCGTGCTGGCTCCATCAGAGTCTATGTCCAGTACTACGAGCTAGGGGAGTTGACACTCAAGTGGTCAAGCCCTGGGATCACAGACACCCAGTGGACTAGAGCAGATGTAAGTGTATATGAAAAAAATCTGTTCAGATTTGTCATTGAAGGCGTGACCGGTCCGATCAACAGCAACGGTTTCTGTCAGAGCGTGTCCATTGATGACGTGTCTCTGACACCTGGGTGCAGGGTCGCACCTGCGACGTTTCCACTCCCCGACCCTCGGCCCACACCTGCGACAGGTACCTGCGGTCCTGGCCAGTTCACCTGTGATGGCACGTGTCACTCAGTCACCACCCTGTGTGACCTGACCCCGCAGTGCTCTGACCACACTGACGAGGCCGACTGCCCTTCATCGTGTGACTTTGAACATGGCCCCTGTGGATGGAAAAACATTGATACGCTGCATGAAAATTTTACTATAGTTGATTCAAGCTTTGGTCAGTTTCCCTTTGACCACAACCCGGGTGATAAATACGGGCACGCCTTGCACATCGCGACAGGAGACAACAGCTACACCAGCTCTGTCACGTCCCCAACCTTTGAGAGGGCGGCTGACGGCTGTACTTTCACTTTCTGGTACTGGCAGCAGGGGAATAACTCTGATCTCTCCCTGGTTTACACGACCATGGGGGTCATGACCTCCACACTGTGGACCCAACCCTCTCCCAGCTCCCAGCAGAAGCAGGAGTGGCAGCAGGAATGGCACCAGGTCTCCGTACAGCTGCCAAGCTGTGCTGCAAAGTTCCAGCTCCTGTTTGAAGTCAAAACCCACCAGCTCTTAAGCCCAGGGTCCTTAACTCTGGATGATCTCAGTTTCGTGAACTGTTCCCTGCCGCCCCCTTTAGCCGCGTGTGACGATGAAGAGTTCATGTGTGGAGACCAGCACCAATGTGTTTTCAAATCCCTGATGTGTAATTTAAACGTAGATTGTTGTGACGGCTCAGACGAGGGTCCCTACCTCTGCTATTCTTATGGAGAGTTTCCCTTTGAATGGGGAATGGACGGCTGGACCCAATCCACGGACGATGATGGTGACTGGGTGTTAATCCAGCCGTCTAAGCTGACAGACTTCCACTACCCACCGGCGCACTCAATGTCCGACAGTGGTCACTACCTGCTGTGTTCCCTGCAGACGAGCGGTCACAAGGCCAGACTCCTCCACGCTTTCAGTGCTCCGGGTGTAGACTGTCACGTCAGGGTCTGGATCTCCTCCCTGGGGCCCGACTCCGGCATCTTGACCGTGTACATTGTCGTGTCCAACTCCACGACCAGCCTGGTCAGTGTCCAGCTAGGGGAACAAAGATGGCAGCTGCTGGACGTGGAGATCCACACGGACAGGCCGTACCAGCTGGTACTGGAGCTCCGGCAGGGTGTCTACTACTCGGGGGGCGTGGTCGTGGACGACATCACCCTCAGCCCAGACTGTGGGGTGGGGTCAGTTACACCTCCCCCAGGTGTGGTCACACACAGTCCTGGAACCGGCAGTTCTGTAACACCTACCCAGCAGACCATGGAATCAGCAGCGACATCAGACCACAGTAGTAGCACAACATCGTCACCTATATCAGACCACAGTAGCACCACAACAATGTCAGCACCATCAGACCACAGTAGCACCATAACATGGCCCCCTACCTCAAACCACAGTAGCACCACAACAATGTCAGCACCATCAGACCATAGTAGCACCACAACAATGTCAGCAACATCAGACCACAGTAGCACAACATCGTCCCCTACATCAAACCAAAGTAGCACCATACCATCGTCAGCGACATCAGAGCACAGTAGCACCATAACATCATCAGCACCATCAGACCACAGTAGCACCATACCATCATCAGCACCATCAGACCACAGTAGCACCACAACAATGTCAGCAACATCAGACCACAGTAGCACCATAACATCATCAGCACCACCAGACCACAGTAGCACCATACCATCATCAGCACCATCAGACCACAGTAGCACCACAACAATGTCAGCAACATCAGACCACAGTAGTAGCCCAGCATCTTCCAGTCGACTGACCCAAAGAACACCTTCTACTGTCCACCAATCTAGCCCTCGAGCCGACACAGCCACGAGTACAACATCAGGTAAAATTTTCATCACATACTTGACTTTCCTGGTAATAGGTAATCCTAGTTATTGACACTTTTTTAAGTAAACAGTTTGAACACCCCCCAGTGTGTTTATTTATCTGACCGTTTGATCACCCTCCCATGTATTGAACATTGACCACCCTCCCATGTATTGACCGTTTGAGCCCCCTCCCATGAATTGACCGTTTGATCACTCTCCCATCTGACCATTTGATCACCCTCTCATGTATTGACCGTTTGATCACCCTCACATGTATTGACCGTTTGAACACCCTCCCATTTATTGACCGTTTGATCCCCCCCCCCCCCCATCCCATGTATTGACCGTTTGTTTACCCTCCCATGTATTGACCGTTAGATCACCACCACCACCCGCCTCCCATGTATTGACGGTTTGATAACCCCCCTCCCATGTATTGACCGTTTGATCGCCCCCCCCCCCCCATGTATTGACCGTTTGATCACCCTCCCATGTATTGACTGTTAGATCACCCCCCCCCATGTATTGACCGTTTGAGCCCCCCCCCCCATGTATTGACCGTTTGATCACCCTCCCATGTATTGACTGTTAGATCACCCCCCCCCCCCCAATGTATTGACCGTTTGATCGCCCCCCTCCCATGTATTGACCGTTTGATCACCCTCCCATGTATTGACCGTTTGATCACCCTCCCATGTATTGACTGTTAGATCACCCCCCCCCCCCATATATTGACCGTTTGAGCCCCCTCCCCCCCTCCAATATATTGACCGTTTGAGCCCCCCCTAGCATGTATTGACCGTTTCATCACCCTCCCATGTATTGATCATTTGAGCACCCCCCCCCCCATGTATTGACCGTTTGAGCCCCCTCCCATGTATTGACCGTTTGAGCCCCCTCCCATGTATTCATCTGACCGTCTGTGTCCCAACCTTCCAGCATCGTGGAAGCTTCCAGTTGGCCTGGTGCTGGGTCTTGTGTTGGCGGTGGTGTTGGTGGCCCTCGTTCTTCTCTATGTAAAACGGCGGGGCAACAGGCAAGTTGTGTTTTACTGTTAGTTACCTTCTCTTGTCTGATTCGTGGGATCTTTGGTGTCTAAAATGGGAAGGCTGGAATGCGATTTTGATAGTTATTAGGATTCGAGTACCTGAGCCATTCAAATATCTGACTCGAAGTAAGAGTAATTTTAAACGTTGGTGGACATAAAACTGAACTAATTATTAATTCATAGACCAAAGTGGTCAAAATTGGTAAACTCTACTTCATCTGTTTTTTGTTAAAGTATGTTTCCTGTACAAATACAGCAGCAGTAAAGTTTGGAGTAAAACATTGCTGTATGTGCATGTCCACCCCCCCCCCCCCCTTTCCCCACACGACCCCCACCCCCAACACATAAACACACATCTTCCCTGTTTCTCTAGGTATCACAATGTGCTAGATGACAGGACAAGACTGTCTTTAAGTGAAGGCAACCAAATGATTGAACTGAGCTCTAATGTAAGTAGTTGGTCAGTCGTGTATTTGAGATGTGTGGTCAGTCTTTAAGTGAAGGCAACCAAATGATTGAAATGAGCTCTAATGTAAGTAGTTGGTCAGTCGTGTATTTGAGATATGTGGTCAGTCAAGTATTTGTGTCCTGGTCAGTCTTTAAGTGAAGGCAACCAAATGATTGAAATGAGCTCTAATGTAAGTAGTTGGTCAGTCGTGTATTTGAGATATGTGGTCAGTCAAGTATTTGTGTCCTGGTCAGTCAAGTATTTGTGTCCTGGTCAGTCGTGTATTTGAGATATGTGGTCAGTCAAGTATTTGTGTCCTGGTCAGTCAAGTATTTGTGTCCTGGTCAGTCGTGTATTTGAGATATGTGGTCAGTCAAGTATTTGTGTCCTGGTCAGTCAAGTATTTGTGTCCTGGTCAGTCGTGTATTTGAGATATGTGGTCAGTCAAGTATTTGTGTCCTGGTCAGTCAAGTATTTGTGTCCTGGTCAGTCGTGTATTTGAGATGTGTCCTGGTCAGTCGTGTATTTGAGATGTGTCCTGGTCAGTCGTGTATTTGAGATGTGTCCTGGTCAGTCGAGTATTTGTGTCCTGGTCAGTCAAGTATTTGAGATGTGTCCTGGTCAGTCGAGTATTTGAGATGTGTCCTGGTCAGTCGAGTATTTGAGATGTGTCCTGGTCAGTCGAGTATTTGAGATGTGTCCTGGTCAGTCGAGTATTTTATAGGTGTGGTCAGTCGTATGTTTGAGATGTGTCCTGGTCAGTCCAGTATTTGAGATGTGTCCTGGTCAGTCAAGTATTTGAGATGTGTCCTGGTCAGTCGAGTATTTGAGATGTGTCCTGAAAAAGTTTCTTTCAGGCGCCTCTTAAGCACGTCTACTGCCACCACCCCCCGCCCCGAAAGTAATAGAATTTATAACATATTCAAAATATATATTTCAACAAGTCCTTACCCCCCCCCCCCCCCCCCCCCCCCCACGAAAATTTAAAATTTCAAGTGCCTCCCAAGAAAAAAGTTTTGCTTTTTCCGCCTACCGGCATTTATCACCACAATGTCAGTGTGTGTTAACTGGTGTTGTGTGTGTGTTAACTTAGGCTGTGTGTGTGTGGTAACTAATGTTGTGTGTCATGGATCAGTTGCTGACTCACCACATGGAGGCCTACACGTCCTTGTTATAAAAATTTCATTTTCTTACACATTAATGTCTCTTATTCTACTAATTAGTTGCCTTATACATTCATCATGTCTCTGCTACTAATTAGTTGCCTTAAACGTCTCTTTTACTAATTAGTTGCCTTGTAAGTCTCTTTTACTAAATAGTTGCCTTATACATTTATATGTTTCTTGTTATACTAATTATTCTTTAATCAAATCATTAATCTAATGATCTCATTAAGCATGAATCAAGCATCCCTTCACACGCGTGGAAACATAAATGGTCTTCTCATAAATTTCTGCCATATTTCTCTGTCGTCTGCGCTCTGCATTTCTTGATGTCCTCCATCCAATGCCGTCTTTGCCGCCCCCCCCCCCCCCCCCCCGCCCCCGTCTTCTCCCTCCTGGCACGGTCCCATGCACGATTGTCTTGGGTAGACGCTGGCTGGTGAGATACTCCTCTACCATCTCAGTTGCTTTATTTCACCGTGCTCAACTTGTTATTGTTATTATTATTAACCGAAATGTGACAGGTACCAGATTTAAGAAGTAATTTTTTAATGTGTTATGTTTTTGAAAGTCCTACACATATTTTCTGACAATTTGTACAGGACCCAGCAGAGGCGGAACATGTGTATGAGGAAGTGGTGGAGGATAAGGCTGAGGTTTGTTGTGTTTCTTGATTCAGCTTTAGTGGTGTGTGATGGTCATTTCGTTAACTCTATTGGTCTTGTGTTGGGGTCATTTCGTCAACTCTAGTGGTTGTGTGTTGGGGTCATTTCGTCAACTCTAGGGGTCGTGTGTTGGGGTCATTTCGTCAACTTCTGGGGTTCGTGTGTTGGGTCTTTTCGTCAACTCTAGAGGTCGTGTGTTGGGGTCATTTCGTCAACTCTAGGGGTCGTGTGTTGGGGTCATTTCGTCAACTTCTGGGGTTCGTGTGTTGGGGTCATTTCGTCAACTCTAGTGGTTGTGTGTTGGGGTCATTTCGTCAACTCTAGTTGTTGTGTGTTGGGGTCATTTCGTCAACTCTAGGGGTCGTGTGTTGGGGTCATTTCGTCAACTCTAGTGGTTGTGTGTTGGGGTCATTTCGTCAACTCTAGGGGTCGTGTGTTGGGGTCATTTCGTCAACTCTAGGGGTCGTGTGTTGGGGTCATTTCGTCAACTCTAGTTGTTGGGGTCATTTAGAGTAATTGATAACTTTTCTATGTTACCAGTCAACAGAGACACCGAGGACTGAAGTTGAATGATTCCCGCATTCAGTATGTGATGGCTCCCTCCAGTCTCACACCCTAGCAGTATGTTTTAACTTGTCGTTAAACATGTTCATTTTATGTACAGATGTCAAATGATTCAGTTTTTTATTACCTTAATATCGCTTTATTTCTATTTTTTACATTTTGTATTAAAACACTTTTTAAACATAAAACCAGAAATATTTTCAATTGATGTTTTGACCATTCATATATTTTTCATAGAACAAACGTCTATTAGGGCAATTGTCTTTAGATCATTAGTCGTAGATTCATGTCGAGTTGAAGGGAGATCTTTTGTCTGATGTCCTGACTACTAATACTACTGTGGTTAAATGTAACAGAAAAAAGTGCTGTCGGCCTTTGTTAATATTAAGCCACTAACATTTGTCGGCTTTTTTTTTCTTTTTTTTTTTTGTAAAAGGAATCAATCAAAAAGACACATGTTGAAATAGGGTTGAAAAGAATTCCTTTGTTTTTTTTCTTATCTAGGCTATGGTTTAGAATCAAGGTATTTGGATGCAGAAACACTTAGTATTTTCCTGAGGTAGAGCTAATTTAGGGGCTCTTGAAAATCGAGGGATCTAAGTTGAATTCGCCTCTCAACAAAATAAATGTGCGTGTTGGTAGTCATTAAAATAAAACCGCCATCGTTGGGTTAGGGGTGGCGTATCGTGTAGACCACGCCCCCTTAACCCAGGTCAACGCTTTAACTGATCGTTGTTTACACTGTTCTGCTTAGGTGTGACGGCGGCCGCATTTCAAAATATTGTTTTCATAGTTTTTCCAGTTGTTATAGTAATAATATCGTCACCATTTCTAAACCATACGCCTGTGTTTGAAATTACTCTCCCTGTATAGACGTCCGACCCTCCTAAAAAAATACCGTCAGCAAATTATGTTGGGCTTGTTGAACTGTCGCCCGGGGATCATTAACTTAATAGCTGTGAGTCAGACTGACATTTCCCTGGGCAGGTCATTACATAGCAGACGTAAGCTACTACATACCAGGACGGACCCCAGTCATCTACTCACCACACACACACTTAACTACGTGTGCGACAGTTCTAAAAGCTCAGATTGTCATCTATGTGTACTTTTTTGTCTTAAATAAAACAAACGGCCAACTATACTTGCGATGATGTTTGTGCATAGTCTAGTTAACAGTTAACTTATTGTATTTGATGACAACAAGTTTAACTTTGTTTAGAATTGTGTCTTTTCTATGGCGTGTAGGAAACTGGGGGGGGGAGCAATTATCTCATTTCATAGGTCTGTCTTTGTGTCAAGTTATTTCTAAACTTATTGCGGTCCATCTTCTTTGCGGTCGTGGCGCTATAATGTCCTCCCCCCCCCCCCTAAAGTCCGGAAATCTAGACCCCAATTAGTGCGATTAACCACAAAGCAGCCCCATCCATAAGATGTGAGTAATTAAGGGGAGGAGAACTCTCTTGACCCCAGACAAGCCCAGGAGTTAGCTCCCGTGACGGATGAAATCTTTGGCTCGGCCAGAACAAACCAATGTCACACAGATACAACCGTCTGATCGATTAGATACGTCATCGATTTGGTTCATGTTGTTGGATTCTTGGGCCAACAAGTGGCCATCATATTTGAGGGCCAGCAATCGGCCATCATATTTGAGGGCCAACAATCGGCCATTGTATTTGAGGGCCAACAATCGGCCATCGTATTTGAGGGACAATAATATCATCTGATTTCACTTTTAAATCTTTATCTCTGACCAGTGGCATAGCGAGGTCGGGTGTTAACCAGTGCGGCACCTGATGGTGTCACCCCCCCCCCCCCTAAGAATAAAAAATATTGATTCACTCTAATTAATCATTTGAGTAAGTGAAATTATTATTTTTCTGTATATATTTTGCTATTTTTTTGCATTGGTGTCACCCCCCCCCCCCCCCTAAATGGTGTCACTGGGTCCGGTCCGCACCCCCCCACCCCTCGCTACGCCTCTGTCTCTGACTAGTTTTATCCCTTGCCTGGGGCTGTCGAGGCGATGACGAGTATTATTAGCTACACACAACTCGTGCGTGTGGCCGCATCAGTTAAATACACTCTGTGTCGGAGGTCACACCAGCTGTGTTAGGTGAGGACACAGGTAGGCTACACACCACGTCAACCTAATAGTTGTGAAACATAAAATCAATGCGCGGAATTTACAATGGTCACATTCCAAACACCACGTGATGCGTTAGGTCGGCCTTACATTGTGAGTTACCTGATTGGCCCAACCTGTGAAAATAATACATCTAATATAATAAGTAGCCTATATATATATATATATATATATATATATATATATATATATATATATATATATATATATATACATATATATATATATACATACATATATATATATATATACATATATATATACATATATATTTATATATATATATATATACATATTTATATATATATATATATATATATATATATATATATATATATATATATATATATATATATATATATATATAAGATATAAATAAGATATATATAGTGGCTGACGGCCAGATTCGGCCTAACAAATGCCACACGGATATCGTCCCTTATGTCTGGCGGTTATTCTCGACGCCAGAGTTTGACGTTAGGCGCCCAGGAGATCGATTTGTCCCAAGCTTGCAGTGCCGTCTGCTAAATAAATCTTCGGCCAAACTATCAGAACACACGCCCTTATGTGGTCCGATCCTAGACTAAACTACATCAATAAATGATGGTAGTTCCTACGCTATAACTAACCAAACATCACATTGTATTTCTTATGGATTAAAAAAAACTAAAATGGAAAATTTGCCGGGTATTTTTACTATCGTTCTGTCAGCACATTCCCCCCCCCCCCCCCCTCCCTTCTAGAGGAGTGTAATGATATGTAAATCCAATATTCAGTATTCCCAGGAAACCTCAGATCAGTTTTTTCTTGAGATAACAAGACGGTCACTACTTGACCCGTTCAAGACAACCCACTTAGGAAATATCAGCCTTCCTGCTAAAACTTCTCAAGAGGTCAAAAACAGGAAGTGGAGTCAAGTAAGGATATTCTACGTCACCACCAAACGTGACTCACACTAGGATCTTAAAGGCGGGAAAATGTCCGTTTGTCGTCCGTATTTGATGCGACAGTCTGTAAAATAATTGTTTAAACTAAATTCAAGTCCTATTGCAACCAGAAATGGGGTTGGAACCTTTTCATACTAGGTTTGGTCCATTATTTTTTCCAGACTTTATTTCTCCGGGGGAGCACTTGATATTATTTGGGGGGGGGGGGGGGGGGGGAGAGAGACGACGACACTAGTAAAAAAATGTTTTCTATATAAATTCCATTTCATTGGGTGGGGGGGGGGGGGTAGACTTTCTTCGGGGGAACGGAGCCCCCCAAGGCAATGCCTGGAAGTAACTCTGGTTTGGTTCTCGTGTCATGTCAACACGTTGGTGTCACACAACAGCTGTCATGTCAACAAACTGGTGTCACACATTGGTCATATCAACAAGTTGGTGTCACACAACATCTGTCATGTCAACAAGCTGGTGTCACAGATCATGTCAAATAAAACATGTCTGACAGGTAAGCCGGCCAGCGCCTGCAAATATTTCTTTTTTTGTCATTTCAAAGCTACATCAACAACAAAAGGAAAATTTTGACAAAATAATTTATTTAAATTTTCAAGCAAAAATATTTGCAATCATAGATTTAAAAAGTACATAAAGCGGGAATGCAAATTACATATCAATAAATACGGTCGTACAGGTTCTGTCAAAAATCAATACAACAAGCACATTGATATTATTTTTACATTGCTTGAGAATATTTTTTTTTAAATAAAATGTTTGGCTTCAATAGCCACGTGATCAATAAATTATTATTCATTAATCTGTGGAATCAACAAAAACCTGTATGGCTAAATTAGCCACGAGATTCTAGGGGAACACTTGAGGTACAGTAAGTCAACATCAGGGAATAAATAATGAGATTCAGGTGTGTGTGGGGGAGGAGTACTTGTTTGCTGAAAATCTACAGCATGCTGTTAGTGTTACATCATTAGTTTCCTAACTTGTCACCACGCCTCCCTTAAATGACTAAAACACCACCCCCCCCCCCCCAACAAATATATTTCCCCTAAATATTCTTATCAGTAAAACCAGAACTCTTGATGTACCAATAGTAGTATTGTAAAAGGAAATAACTGCAAATGATGGTATAGAACAGGGGTTCCCAACCCCGTGCCCGCGGGCGCCATGGCGCCCGCCGAACGATTCGTATGTGCCCGCCTCTCACTATTCGACAGAGACAGAATTTATTTCATAAACATTATTGAAAGGTTGAAGGGGATGGAAATCGAAAGTTTAAGGGGGGGGGGGGGGGGGGCGGGGTGCAAATCGAAAGTTTGAGGGGGGGGTGCAAATCGAAAGTTTTGTCCCCGGGTTACGGGAAGGGTCGCTACGCCTCTGGAAGGAGTTTGTCGATTTAAAATAGGTGGTGCCCGCCACCCTACCGTTATTTTAGATTGTGCTCTAGAGTAAAAAAGGTTGGGAACCCCTGGTATAGAAGTTGCATAGCTGATACATTGCGACGTCATTTAAAACTCTGGATATTACGTGTTCTATGGGATGTAACGCTAGTTATATGATAGAATAGTTTGCTTATCTATAGCTGTATAGTACATTTTTATTTATAATGGTTTTTATTTTTCTATCAAATACCCTTCCCCCCCCCCCCCCCCCCCCAAAAAAAAGACCATAAGTCCGAGTCTCCCAAGATAGTGGCGCATGTAGTTTGGAAACTGACGACTGTGTGGAGGGGTGGGGATTAGACAGTTGTGGAGAGTTGAATGAGAACGTAATGTTGTGGTGACTGCTGGTCATAGCTGATTCGTGCACCAACCAAGCCAAATATCGGCTGCCAGTTGACTAAAAAAATGTTTCTACCCGGGAGCACCTCGTGGCAAAAAATGACAATTCAACTTTTTAATAAACAGTTTTTTCACGTAAACTTTTAAAAGCGACGTCAACAAACACAAAATATTTTTGACGTGAAAATGTTGACAAAGTCTTGCATGGAGTTGGGGATATGAAAACATTGTGTTTACATTTGGAGCTTCTCTCTATAACCTATACATTGTTACATTCAACCATCTAGCACAAAACTGTCGACAATAATTTATTACATTCAGACCATCTTGCACAATACTGTGAATCAAAGTTGAGTTGTAAAATTGTATAAAAAATAAATATCAACAAAAATATCATGGCACAAGAAGAAAAATCTCAAACTAAAAATAAAGCATTTATATCAAAAGAAAAAGATCATCTTGCAACAACTAGTCTGCTGGAATTTAAACATCAAAACCCGAAAAAAGGGAATTAAAAAAATAATGACTAGAACCTGCCTTGGTTTATATTAAAAATAAAACAACAAAAACTAAACATGGCAATTGTAAAAGAGCACTTTTTATGGAATACTTTCAAATGGCTTGGGAGTCATGCCAACAATTTTTTAACCTTTGACCCACACATGGTCTGCAGTTCCAGCAATATCTGACAGATTCAACTACTGGCCCTGTAGTTCCAGCAATATCTGATAGATTCAACTACTGATCCCATATATTGCCTGGAGTTCCAGAAAAATCTGGCAGAGAACCTGCCACAGAACAATCAAGGAGGCCATAACGGGGTGATGGCAACATATCCGGGGCTATACACGTTGATCTAGTCAACATCCAAAGAGAGATAGAAAAACGTGTTTCTCAGACTTGCGTTTCTGTATGTTGTTGTTCGTGTGTTTTCAATCTATCATTTTTGTCCTTCAGGCTTAATTTTTATTTCAATGCGTCATCCGTGTGCAGCAGTGACTCCTTCTTCAAGCTTCCCTTGGAGCTGGGAGGACTGGTAACTATGGTGATGTTGGTGACTGTCTGCACCGTCCGGCGGAAAGCTTTGATCACCACAAAGGTCAGCAAGGCCAAACACGCGACCCCTATGGCCACCATCAGCACCACCGTCCACGTGGCCTGAGCGAGGCTGTTCTCGTCGTCTGCCCCAGGTTGGGGCTCGTCCTTTCTATGCTCCTCTTTCGTCTGCTCTTCCTGTTGGGTCACCTCCAGAATGTCCTCGATCGTTTTGTTCTTATCGTAGTCCACAACAACGAAGTGAAAGTTTCCGGGAGTTTCTGAGCCCAGTTCGTAGAGCTGCCGTATGAAAATGAGCGAGAGGGATTCGAACTGCCTCTCGTCACACCAGACGCGATGTTTCTCCCGACTCGCCCACTCAGTCGAGTTGAGCTGGTAGAGGAAGAACTTGGGGTCGAGGGAGGCTTCAGTCGACACATAGAAATCCCACTGCTGCGAGAGAACTTCCGGTTTCGAATGCCCGAATTTGATGCACACTTTCCTCTCGGCGTCTGCTTTCTTTACAGTGACCAGACACCTGAGTGTGAGCTTGTCTTTGCTGCTGGACTGGCTGTTGTCCACCGATATCTTGCTGTGGTTCAGAAGGTACGTGCCGTCGCAGTAGTCTTCATCCAAATACAACTTCCGGTACTCACTCCTCATGTCAATAATTTTAAAACGTAAATTCACACTACTCAGATTCACTGGGTAGCCTCTGTTGACCTTTATAAGTTGAAAGGTCAGGGTTGATGCCGTATCGCAGTACTGCCTGTGCTTCCACCTATTAGGGTAGTATGTCAGTTTGTGCAGCAGGCGATCCCCCTTCTCCGCATCACGTGATAGAATTTCCAACTCGACGTTCGAGTCTAGAATGTTCGAGTAGTCCGCCTCCTGTAGAATACAAAACCCGGAGCTGTTCGAAGAGAAAGACACGGAGCAAGCAATTGACGTCATCTCCGTGTCTTTCGTTAGGTTAGGGGAGACCTTGAGCTCGTACACGACACTGGGGTCAAGATGGACTGTGGGGGCCGCGTTCCCGCACACAAACACGGTGCGGGGGGTCGGGGAGTTATGGGTTTTGTCTGTGGCACTGACGAGGGCCATCAGGGTAACCAAGAGTGCAGACGATAGACCTGATGGTGGCAATGGCGACATCCCAGAGCTTTTCTTAGCTGCTAGCTGTAAACTAAAGCAGAAAACAGAACATTTAGCACGTGAAACATGGGTATAGTACAGGGGTCTCCAAACTACGGCCCGCGGGCCGGATGCTGCCCGCGAGGTCCTTTCATCCGGCCCGCGGAGATCTTTTTGTTCACGGAAAAAAATGTTTGTTAGAAGTGGCTAAGGTATTTTGAACAGAAAATTCAAAACAATTAGAAAATCTATATTCCGGCGCAAATACCACTGCCCTCCGTGTTGCAAACATTGATGAAAACATTGTGACTCAAATGGTGAAAACTGCTAAAAAGTTTCGCAATTTTTCAATTGCAATGCATGAATCGCTGGACAACTGTTCCATGATTTTGGAACAAGTACATGGTAACAACTTGTAACCAGTTGCTCAGATGAACTGCAGATGGAGGTCATTGAATTGCAAGCAAATTACTTCGTTAGAGACAAGTTCAAAAAATGGCGGGTGGGTTTTTGTGTTTGCCCAAGGAGAACAAACTTGACCTCGAGTGTGTTGTCGGCCCAAGAGTGTTTCTTTCAGACTTTTTCTCCTGGAGGGCTGGTGGGGGCTGCATTTTAAATGTGTATATATTTCTATATAAATTCTATTTCTTTGGGGGGGGGGGGGGCACGGGGACACCGCCACCCCAAAGAGATGCATGGAAGAAACACTGGCCCCCGAACTGATATTTGATATTTAATGCGGCCCTCGGGCTGAAAAGTTTGGAGACCCCTGGAGTACAAGGTGAATATAGTTAATGGTAGCCTTACTTGGCTGCTAGCTGTAAACTAAAGCAGAAAACAGAACATTTAGTATGTGAAACAAAGTACAAGGTGAATATAGTTAATGGTAGCCTTACTTGGCTGCTAGCTGTAAACTAAAGCAGAAAACAGAACATTTAGTATGTGAAACAAAGTACAAGGTGAATATAGTTAATGGTAGCCTTACTTAGCTGCTAGCTGTAAACTAAAGCAGAAAACAGAACATTTAGTATGTGAAACATGGGTAAAGTAAAGTACAAGGTGAATGTAGTTAATGGTAGCCTTACTTAGCTGTTAGCTGTAAACTAAAGCAGAAAACAGAACATTTAGGACGTGAAACATGGGTAAAGTACAAGGTGAATGTAGTTGATGGTAGCCTTAGGACTCATTCTATAGATTAAGTACAGTTCGACGGTACTCGTGGTCAATGAAATATATGGCTAGTACTAGAGGCGTTGGCTACATACAAAGACACGACCGGGAGGACTTATTTTGCCGCCCGACCCCCCCCCCTCCACGGTGCGTTGTGGTACTTGTGTAATTGGCGGTCTGTGACTCAATTCGTAGAGGCCCATGTGTGTTTAATTCTAAAGGATTTTTATGGACCGTATTTTTATTAGGGTGGGGGTGGGCGGGAAACCTCACCTTGACTTGAGCTGGGAATAAGTCTACATGTTTGGATTCATAGAATTGTAGGTGTGAATACTACATTTTGAATTTAAGTCCTTCTCCTCCTCCTTCCCCCACAAGATGTGGACGACCCTTTAAAACTTACTATTTCAATGACATATATTAACTATCTACTAATTGCAGTAGGCTGTGTTCTAAACGTCGAAGTATATATTTAATCGTATATTATTTTTATATTCTCATTAGCAACCAAAAACTAAAACGATCACTTAATTAGGCACTAATAAGGCCTAGATCTGTGTGAAAGGGGGGGGGGGCATTATTCTCTGTACCCATAGGCTGCATTTTATAATTAATATTAGCAATCATCAGATTAATAGGTCGATAGGCCTCTTCGGGTTCATGGCCACTAATTGTTTACACGAGAGCTGGCTTACAAAAAATGTAGCCTACTAACTGTATTGGGGGGGGGGGGGTCGTCCTTCAATGACCACACTTAGGTGAGGAGGCTCGGACTTTTGTGTTGGACGAGTGGGTGTAGGGGGGGGGGTGCTAAATCCGTGACATTGTTTCATGGTGGTGAAAGATTTTTGTAGCTAATTTTAATTTTAAAAATATAGGCCCTTTCTCACTATTGACCGAGCTAAGTATCTTTTTTTTTTTTTAATTGCTGTCTTTAAAAAAAAAAAATTCTAAACAGAAAACTGTTGTGGGCAGTTGGCAGTGTGTGGGCAGTTGGCAGTGTGTGGGCAGTTGGCAGTGTGTGGGCAGTTGGCAGTGTGTGGGCAGTTGGCAGTGTGTGGGCAGTTGGCAGTGTGTGGGCAGTTGGCACTGTGTGGGCAGTTGGCACTGTGTGGGCAGCCCACGCCCACACAGCCCTTATCTTGGATTCTGGCCATCCCACCAGTAAAATCAATGACAGCGACCCGTGTTTCTCCCCCTCACATCGTGCTGTGTTGTTAGTCATCCCCAGCAACACAGAACAAATTGATTACAGCTGGCATGTGGCGTGTCATGCACGTCCGCCTACAAGACAATGATTTAGTTCAACGATGCCCGGGTGTGTAGATGGAAACATCGTGTGTCAGACACATTCGTCAGATACACGGGTGGTACACACTGTGTGGGTAGGGGAGGGGTTGGCCAGCTAAGATCGTGTATCATGAGCTGTGTGGGGTGGGGGGAGGCAACATGCCAGGCGTGTATCTGCTCAGCTTTATTCCCACATGACTTAAAGTGATGATTCTAGAATCTAGATATATTTTATACTATGTTAATTTTATACGCCTACATAATGATTAAAGAAGAGTGACTCTAAATTCTAAAACCTAAGTCAAGATCAGTTTTGAAAAAAAAGCAAAAATCACATTACCTCATTCTTCTAAAGTAAGCCTAATAAAGCAACTAAAGCAGTGACCATTACTCCAGTGTCCAGACACATCCACGGTATGCGTTGTTGTTTTATTTATGGATAGAATAATTATTGTTATTCCACATCTGATGATCTCACTTTTATTTTATGAAGAGACACAATGAGATTTTATTTCTGACAGTGTCAGAGAAACGTTTTACACACAGTTCTAGATCTAGATTTTAGATCTAGATTTAGATTAGAAATGACTAACAACTTACAACATATTAGGTTCATGTAGGTAGAGTAGATCTAGTCTAGAATCTAGATCTAGATCTATTGATCTCTAGATCTACTTAGATCTAAATAACTAAATAGGTCTATACTCTATACTCAAATACAACACGTGTTACATCCGACTATTAACACTTAATAAATCCAACTGAATTAATAAACTCCAATAATGTGCCTAAAATGCATCTTACTTAATTAATTAGAACAAGTAGACTAAGAAGACTAGGTCACAATACTGGCGTCTGTATGGGCAAATGTCTTTCTTTTTTAAATATCACTAATCAAACCGGCAGGCACAATCCTCCAGCAGTTCATGAAATCGATAACTGTCGAAAGATGCTAACGGGAATTCCCGATGACTTTAAATATCGTATTTTTCTAATTCTGAGTCAGAAATTCCCAAGACCAACCTACCTACCGGCCTACGCTGACGACGAACTAGGCCTAATTTTTAAAGTTGTAGTAGATCTAGATCTATATGATATCACGTGAGAAGCTAAATGGTCACATGATGTAGACTGTAGAATGTAGACGTAAAACTATCACAGACTAGACCTACATAGTAACATTGTCTTCGCTTGTCTTGGTTGTTGTTTTTTTTTTTCAACAGCAATCCATCCGGCTGTCTTGAATTTTTATTTTCTAAGATATAAACTAGAATCTCGATATATTTCTAGTTATAGATCTAGGCTGCAAGTTTAATTAATAATTATGGCAGTATATGTCATTGTTTTAAGTCTTTCACTATTTTCAGCTACAAAAATCATGTGGAAGTTGTTTATTTTTTTAAATACGAAACTTAATTACCTTAATCAAATGTTTTACAATGTGTGTGGGTGTGCAGATAGTTATTTAAAAACACAATCTCATTTGACGGGAAATCACGGTTTTGGTTTCCTAGTTACAAATGTAAAATCCCCAGAGCTTTTTTGTTCGTCAGCGGTCCATAAAGTCCCATTGACTCTTAATAGTCAAAATACAATCATTCATGTTTTGAGGGGGAAATGACCATTTTATAGAATTTAGAACAGGTATAAATTATAAGCTGTATGTTTACAATTTATTTCATGATTTTATCATTATCATCTTTATTAAAGAGGATACCAGTACTGTGGGCTTAAGGGGACATTATCGAGTAATTCTGTATTTCGCATGTTTCAAAGAGTTAAATAACTTGGTAAACATGGCTGTAAACAGACACTCAAATTGAAGGTAATGTTAGGGACAGAGTTTCTTCCAGGCATCTCTTCGCTACTGCCCCCCCCCCCCGATTAAAATGAAATTTATATAGATTACTCCGCTCCACCCAACCCCCCCCCCCACCCGAAAATTTCTGGAAGAAACACAGGTTAGGGATCATAGTATTTCTGCCACACTTTTTTTCTGCGAGGGGGGGGGGGGGGAGGTTGGGCAATTGCAATTGACGGGAGACGGGGAGGGACGACAAAAATTTCTTACTACCCCTCATTTATTATTTTAATATGGTTCTTATCAATTTCTAAGACCGGCCATCATTGACCATGACACAATAAGATAGAGTAAAAATGTGATTTTAGAATGGGATATAGACATAATTGTTGTTGAGAATATTAAGTAATACTCGTGATTTTAAAAAGTTGGAAGCCAAATTCGTGATAAAAAATTTTAATATAGGACACCCAACAGTGCAACCTATTCCCAATTGATTAAAATGTTTCTAATAAAAGAGTTCAGAAAATAAAACACGGTGTTTTAACATTATCGTAAAGTCAAGTCCTTAGTTAACAAGTAATTGCCACGTTGTTTGCGACACAGTTCACTTTGTCACTCCATTGTACAATGTCACGCCTTTGTCACGTTGTCACGCCATTGTCACACCTTGGAACCTTGCCACGCCATTATCAAGTTGTTGCACCATGTTCCACCATTGTCACGCTGTCACACCATTGTGCCATGTCACGCCATTGTCACGTTTTTGCACCATGTAACGCCATCGTCATGTTGTCACACCACTTTACCATGTCAGGTCATTGTCATGTCACCATATCGCGTCATTGTCTCTGTTAGATTTGGGCTGGGGTTAAAGTTAGGGTACTGATACTGACCCAGTTAGGGTACTGATACTGACCCAGTTAGGGTACTGATACTGACCCAGTTAGGGTACTGATACTGACCCAGTTAGGGTACTGATACTGACCCAGTTAGGGTACTGATACTAACCCAGTTAAGGGCACAAAAACTTAACGTAATAAAATACTTTAATTTGTTACCGTAACAGAGGACCTACATTAATTTGTTGACGTAATCTCATAGTCTTACTAACTGTTTTGTTAGCCTAATTAATACAAATCAGCGGTTTGTTTACGAAATACAAAACTAAACAGTGTTTGTTTCTTATATTTTAGAATCAAGTACCACAATAAATCAATCACATTTTAGATGGAGATTAAGACAACAGTTACCTACCTTCTCGAAGTTTTCTTTAAAAAAAAAAGAATGGCTCTACCCTAGAGCTGAGCGTCGTGTTAAAATAAAAATAGACTTGACATAGAAATCTCGCGTCAGTGCCTAGTGTAAGAAACAAAGCACCAATGTCAACAACCTGCTGCCTTTGGGCTAAAATGTCACGGTCTGTAAATTTAACGTCAGATCTATTTCTGGGAAGTTAAAGTTGTGTATACGATTTATCCTATCCGTATAGACTGGCCTTGGGTCGTTCTTTGTTTACTTTTTCCTCAGTGTAATAATAATATTATTCCTTCCACTTGCAGTGCTCTGTACTGTAACCAAAGGTGTTTTTTTTTCTACTACGGGTTTTCCCAAAAAACCTAAAATATTTTGCCAGAAATACCCCGATTTCAAAATAATTTAGCTGTGTGTATTATTTCTCCCCCCCCCCTCCCCCACGAACCGTTTCTTCTATTTGTGAATTGTCTTATAGTTATAGTAGGCCTATAACATAACCCCTCTAATGCGATGTGTCATAGTTGAAGTCACATATACCTTGACTTGTTTTAGTAGCTTTCATTAGATTGGTGTGTTTCAATGTGTAGACCTACTGTTGTAAATGTGTTCATTAGTCACGTAGACTTGAGAATAAGGCGAGTTAAATTTCATCAGCCCATCATGGAGTTCCAAGTTTTGGTTAATTTTGGAAGGGCAAACTATCGTAAGCTTAACAAAATGTTTTAACTCTTTCACTCTCACTACCACCAGCTCCCAATATACACTACCACCAGCTCCCGATGTACACCAGCTGTGATGGTTACCCCCAGTGTTTCTTCCAGACTTTTTTCTCCGGGGAGACTTTTGAAATTTTCGGGGGGGGGGGGGCGGACACTAGTAAAAGTGTATGTTTACTATATAAAATCCATCTCGTTCGGTCGGGGGTGGGGGCGGTAGACTTTCTTCGGGGGGGGGGGGGGGGGCTCTCCCCCAGAAGAGATGCCTGGAAGGAACTCTGATTACCCCCAGCTCTACTCCTTATTCACAAACTCTCTGTTCACAATTGGCATTTTTATATGAAGATCACAACTGTTTTACAAGTTGCTCCCCTCTACAACGCGACACTTGTTTCAGTTCCAACATTCCCTGTTATAAGCTTCATATGATCACAAGAGTAAAACTCTGGCTGTTCTTAAATGATCAAAACAATTACACCAGTTACGTCCCTTAGAACAGTTAACCAATTTTCATTTGATTAAAACAATGGCATCCGTTACAGCCATTAGATTAAAACATCTAACCATTTTTCATTGAATTAAAACAATTTTATCATTTATGTCCCTTGAAATGATAAAAAGTAACAATATGCAAAAGTTAGTTCCCCGAAAAATAAACATCACTGTGGGAACCACAACAATTGTACAAGTTACGCCCCTTGGTGCGTTTATCATTTTTACGGTGAAAAGAAAGACCAACCCCTTACCAATTTTTGACAAATTTTTTCCATTTTTTTAAAATCAAAGTGGTTTGCCTTTAACTTACAATTTACGAGATATAATTTTAAAATGACTACTATTCCGTAAAATAGATCTAAATTATCTATGCATCTGTGTGTAAGATAGTAGAGAAGACTAGAAAAATAAGTTATGAACAGTCATAAGACAGCTCTAACTGTCAAGTCATTACAGTATGCACTCACGGACAAGTCATACAAGTATATTCTGAGGGTCAAGTCATACGGATATGTTCTGAGGGACTGATATGTTCGGCCGGTAGAGTCATACAGACTAAGACTATCGAAACTTGGATTTAAACTTTGAAGTGGAGAGATGAGAACTTTGGTTTCATCATCAAGTGTTTCCGTAAGCCACTTCGTTACGAACAAGCTAGAAAATCGACACCCTGAACACTAATTAACAACACATTGTCTGAAGTGTGTCGAGTAATGCGCAGTTTCTTCCAGGCATCTCTTCTGGGGAGGGGGGGGGGGATCTGCCGCCCTCCCCCCTGAACGAAATGAAATTTGTATAGAAAATATATACTTTTAACAGTGTCGTTTCCCCCCCCCCCCCCCCCCCCCCCAAGAAAAAAGTCTGGAAGAAACACTGGTAATACGTGATAAACTAGCTAATTAACTTATAATTTTGATTGATGTTCACACATGGTATGACCTATTCGGCAATATTCAGTAAGGAGGTTTATAAAACGTTTTATTTCAATTTTGCACCATCACCCCCCCCCCCCCCCCCCCTTAAAAAAAAAGGTTGGGGGAATGAGATGTCATCAACAAGCACTGAAGCCAGCACCAACCATCTCGCATTGTAATGTAAACATTCTTGAACCATACGTGAATATTGGTCAGTAAAAAGGGGGAGTAGATCCTCCAAGACCTACATCTACCTTTTGTTGTAAGCCACCTCAGGCGGGGTATTTCCGATCCCAGTTTTTGTTTATTGTCTCAACATTCACCTGTCCCAGACTTCATTTATGTGAAGGCAAACATCTGTCGGGGGGGGGGGGGGGTAATAAGAATGGGAGGATATCAAACCTGGGGTTTGGGAGAAAGTGATAAAACTGCAAGACTGATAGGAAGACAATCAACAAAAACACATCCAAAATCTCAAGCTCTTGGTTATGATCTCCCTTCCCCAATATTTTTTTCTATCCCATATTTGAACCTGATCTGTTGAAAGCTGAAGATCTGCCATCCAATCAAATATCAGATGGAAGCTGAAGATCTGTCATCCAATCAAATATCAGATGAAAGCTGAAGATGTCATCCAATCAAATATCAGATGAAAGCTGAAGATCTGTCATCCAATCAAATATCAGATGAAAGTTGAAGATCTGTCATCCAATCAAATATCAGATGAAAGCTGAAGATGTCATCCAATCAAATAGCAGATGAAAGCTGAAGATCTGTCATCCAATCAAATATCAGATGAAAGTTGAAGATCTGTCATCCAATCAAATATCAGATGAAAGCTGAAGATCTGTCATCCAATCAAATATCAGATGAAAGCTGAAGATCTGTCATCCAATCAAATATCAGATGAAAGCTGAAGATGTCATCCAATCAAATTCAGATGAAAGTTGAAGATCTGCCATTTAACCAGAACCTAAATTCTTTTCAAACAAATTTGTTAGGGCAAAACTGACCCCACACCAGTGACTGAGTCAGAATTCACTGTGACAGCCAACTTTTGTCAGGATATTGATGACAATTGAATTTAAATCTCACAATGCCATCCATCTCTAGCAAACTAAGCACTTGACCTAACTAACACATTCAACTTTTTCAATTGGAAGGAAATAGCACTTATGACTTTCTCAAGAATACAAAAAGAAAATTTAGAACTACCAGACCAATGTGAGCAATTTACCCTTGATGAAAAAAAAAAAAATAACTGAGACAGTTGAGCTTTCTTCTGAACGATTTTTTAAGTTTAATTTGTAAAATACAATTCACACAGTTACTGCAGATATTGAAACAACAGAATTACACAAATCATGCAATGTTTTTGATATTTTTTCGTTGACAAAGCTCAAACCTCCCCCCCCCCCCCCCCCCCAAAAAAAAAAACCCCATTCACAATCTCACCATCACCCAGCTAACAATATTAGCGGCATGAATATCAGAGAATATGACACAATTTTGTGTAACTCTATGAAAAGGAAGCCATTTAATTTTTATATAGCACAACATCAATGTATGATCAATACATTCATTTCAAAGTTCATGACATTCTTCACTGAGGGACACTAACCAATGAATTGAAGCTTAACTAGATTCTCTTAATGCTAAAAAAACTGAACAAAACGATTCTAGATTGTCTTAATGCTAAAACAAAACTGAACGTAACAATTTCATGAATTAACACTTTGAAGTTCACTACAATCAAGCCTGAAGATTTGGTAACAGTCCATATAAAGATATATAAAGATAAATCTTCAAAAAAGTTAAAAAGCACTTTTTCATAAAATTGTAAAAAAAACAAACAAAAAAAAAACATGAAATATATTTGTTCTTTGGCTTAGTTTAATTTAAATGTTCAAATATGATGCAAATAAAATATTTACACTAAAAATAATTTGAAAAAACACCCCTGAAACTTGTACAAATTATTTGCTATTTAGTGGACCATTATAAGCATAGACATGTCAAGTGAATTCCCACACCAACCTGTGTTATCCAACTGCTGTTAGTGGGGGTGGGGGTGGGGGGGGGCCTCAATGCTACTAATATACAAAGCTAACAGTTAATTGTAGGCAGGATAACTAGAACAAATCTACTGAGTTGGTGGTAGAACAATGAAGCCAGCTGAAACAACAATAGTAAAAATGTTCATGCTATAGAGCTAGCCAGTTCTAGCAGATACTTTGTGAAAAACTTCGACCATGGCATCAGGATCAACTGTGTTTAAAGTAAATCTATAAATAAAATTGAACAATATTTAGGGATGATCGGCTGTACGATTACAATATGCATTTGTAATTATACTAAATTAAAATTGTAAAATCATTAATCAAAGCCATTTAGGATCAGGGCTGCTCTTGTATAATATTTATGTTCATTGTGAAAAACAAAAACAAGAGGTATTAAGAGAACCACAATCATCATATTATTTTGATATTTACAAGATGTACATATAAATCTGAATTTTATTGTTACAAATGATTGGCTAGAGAAGAAATTATTAAAATGTCATCTTTGTTAATGTTTACAACAAAAAAAAAATTGCACCATTTATTGATCATTTTATATTGATTGGAATGGTAATGTATAAAGAATTACAGAAATTTGATTTTAATACTTTGTTATTACAGAAATGTCAAAATAAATTATTTACACAAATAAATAGTCAAATGAAATCATAATGATGGATAAATAATGTATTTTGTAGTGTAATTTATCACAATATAAACATGAAAAAATAAAACTACGCTGACAATGTTAAACAATGAAAGTGAATACAAAGAAAATAATAATTGTGTCTGTAAACATTCAAATTCAAATGAGAAATAATTTCCAAAATTTTTTTCCTGGCTAAACTTAAGTCTAATACACAAGCAACTGTTTCAGGAACAAAAAATGATTGATTCATTCATTCACTGTACAGTATTTACATAAACGTACAGTAAAAATAATAAATCAAGACCCTCATCAAGTGGTATCAATAAAAATTTCTAATGAAATTAGCAGTACAAAAAATTCCAACATAATCTATTGAAAATTTATGTTTTATAATGTAAAATCTCCTAATCAAAGAAAGTAAATGCATAAAAAATATTTTTTAAATAAATAAAATGTAGATCTAATGTAGTGCTTTGCCTAAAAAATTAAATTCTAATGAAGCGGGAATGATCTCCCCTAAACTTTATTCAATATTCTTATATAACACTACAGGGATGGCAACTCAGAATATAGACACGATTTATAATTACTTAACCTTTAATAAAATAGAATCTCTTACAAAAAAGAATTGCACACCAACTGAACAGCAAACAATTTGTGTATAATAGTGCAGAATATTAGTTCTTTATAAATTCATATGAATCTTTCGAGAAATTGGAAGTAGCCTAAAGTAATACGTCTGATCAATGGAAGTTACTCAAAATTTGAAAGAAGGCATAGAATTAGATCTTTTACTTATATGTGAAATTTCGTCTATCTGAAACAGTTCTCAATTTTCAGGCTTTTGAAAAACAGAAAGTATAATATAATAAGCTCCACTTCCGGTTACTGGAAATCAATGAAATGTTGATACAGAATTACAAACTTGATATAATACTAATATTATGAAATTTCATCAACCTAGCTGTAAGGATACTTAATTTATCTTGTTCACAGACATGTGATATATCCACCACACAAAATTGCAAGACTAGGTTTTTTTTAATCAGGGAGGTGTAAAACGAGAGTTGTGAAAATCTCGGTTTTGAATTTTTTTGCTTCCTTTATTCTACTCTGTTCATGAGAAAGTAAAAGTATAAATTTGAAAAAAAAAAGGAAAATATTTGAGTTAACTCCTTATATTTTACTGTAGTTAGTTCGTTAAACACTTTACTCTAGCAGTTAGCTTTGTTTTGGGGGTTATGGACAGACTGATACTTCTCACTTCGATATTTCATGTAGAGGTACACTGACAAGGCTATTACAGCTATAACAAGCAAACAAACTACTACTGCTATCACTATGGTGGTTATCTGGCTGCTGTTAGGCTCCTCACTTCTAAAACGGTCAAGTAACCCATCAATGGATCCATCGTGATCTGTAAGTATCAACTTGAACATCTGTTCAGGTTCGGATTTGCATTGATCAGACAGCCTTTCAAATACTGCCATTGCCCAGTGGGTTTCATTGCTCCCACACCAAGCCCCCATTTGCTGGGCACTGCTGTCAGTTGAATTCAAGGCGTATAGGGCGTGCTCTTTTTGCGAGAAAAGCTTATCTTTGGTTACGGTTAGCTTCCACTTGCACTCATGAGAGGTGGATAGTGGTATGTAGACAAGACAGATACTAGAATCTTCTTCGGGTTCTTTATCCAAAGCAATAGTACAAAACCTCCCCGGAAAACTGGCTTGAGGAGGTGGCGAGCGATTATACAATGTAACCTCACTTTTTGATAATTTGTAAGCTTTGTCACAATAATCATCATCAAAGTAAAGTTTTCTTTCTTTACTATCAATACTGAGTACTTTCAGGTTGATTAACACCTGTGTGATGTTGACATTCGTGTTTTTATTCAACTTGCGCAGGTACATATAAATATAGGGAGATGTGGTGCAGTATTCACGATCCCGCCAAGCATTAGGATAGTACGCCAGGGTGAAAATTTTTTTACCTTCATCACTGATACCATCTTTTACCACAAATTCAACGTTGGAGTCTCTTATTTCATTCAAGCGAGCATATTGTACCACACATAATTTTCCATCATCCTCTTCAGACCGAAATGTAACCTGACAGTCCCGAAAAGAATTTGTAGTTGTTGTAGGGCTGACATCTGTTTTGATTAGCATTCCCTTATGTGGACCCACAATGTATGTTTGACCACAATTAGCATAAGAATTTAAATAGATTTCTTTATAATCACTTGCTTTACTGAAGTGGATGAATAACAGTAGCATCAATGTCAGAACAGGTAACTCCATTGTGGTTTAATTATTGGAATCAATAATAATATCTGAAAATTGAGAGAAATAAATTAATTAGTATAGGCTATAGGCCTAGGCCTACCTGATTTAAAAATAAAAGAATTTTTTTACTGAAGCACATAATTTAAAACTTAATGATAATATATAAAGTTAAATAAAGAGTTAATCTAGATCTAGATCTAGATCTAGATTTATTTAATCAGCCATGAAATTAAAAAAAAATAGTTTTAATCTTAGAAAATTAGGCCTAAAAAATTATAATTATTTAGGCTAGTCTAGTAGTTTACTAGTAGCTAGTAGGCCCTATTTATTATTAGTTACAATTACTTACTAGTACTAGACTAGCTAGAATCTGGCTAGCTACCCACTAGCTAGATCTAGTCAAATACAACTAGCTAGAACTTACTAATATTAATATTACTAGATCTAATAACTTACTAATAAGTAACTATAATATTTTAATAGTAACTTACTTAACTGTCTTATTAATACGCCATGCATTCGTTTTTTTTAAAAGCTAGAAAACTAGATTCTAAATTCTAGTCTAATAACCGGAAATCTTCCCTAGCCTAGTCTTAAATGGACACCAGCGAGAAAAGTCTCAAAGGTATTTGAGAGGTGTATAAATTCATTTTAAAATCTTGCACGGCGTAGTTACAATTAATATGGTTATAAAATCCTGTCTGTCTGGTTTTTTTCGGACTTAACTAAAGATTGGATGTATTTGATGTTTTTAATATTTTCGGTAACTAAATAAAAATTAAAAAAAAAGAAAAAACAATTTGGTTTTCACGTGTAATGGCGACATAAACAATGGCCGACATAAGTTTTATTGTACACATTGTAAGCTAAAAATAGAAACAATAGGTCATGGTGTTTAAATTTGCATAGTTATTTAAAAATTTGATCTGCAAAGTTTTGTAAACAAAATAACTATAAAGTGGGGCTGTCAGAAATCGATCACGGAGTTCCTTTACAGCCAATCAATGTTTGTCTTACGAAAGTGAAACATCGGGTTATAACTTAGGCTTGATGAAAATAAATAGAAATGTAGCCTTAAACTCAACAAATTATTTTCAAGTTCTCTGGATCTGCAACTTGTATAGCATTGATTCTAAAAATATTACATTTCTGAATTAATTTTAGGCTTAAGTTTTTAATAAAATTTTATCTTTTACTAGTTTTATGGTCCTAAATCTAAAAAAGAACATTTTTATTCCATGACAACAATATTACGGATGGAATCTCGTCAACTCGCTGGTGTCCATTTAAAAAAAAAAGAAAAAAAAACCCAGATATTTCGTCACAAATTCTATTCGACATAGAATCTTGGTGGAGAGTCATTATACTTATAGGTCTAGCAGTAGGTGGGTGATGATTAACTGAATAAAAGTATTTCTATATACAAATATTTAGCTATAGGAATATAGATCTATCTATGCCCTTTTATGCACCTGTAACTTATTTATAAGGAACTGACAACTGTTAACATAATGTGTTTATTTTGTGAATTAGAGTTTTAGTCTCACACTGTAGTGTAAAGGGAGGGGTCCGTATTTTTGTGATGAGGGGGAAGGAGGCTCAAATAATGATTGTAGGGAAAAAAAGTCACAGGAAAAAAGTCACAATTATATATTTGCATGGAATTTGTTAATATTGTGTTAAATATTCAGCGCGTGCAAATCAACATAGATTAATTAACTGTTATGTAGTGTGCGTAGGTTGTATAATGTATATGTATAGTAATAGTAATATTTATAGCAAACGTAAAAATATTTAGTACTAGCGTACCCGACCCCGCGCGTTGCCGCGGGAATAGAAAAAAGTCCCATAATATATAAGGGTTTCATCCATGCATTACCAATCCTATATTCTTAAACTCGTGACCTTGTTTTCTAAAACTGAGTTGTTTAAATGTAAACAATGCCTGCGTTTGGATGATAAATATCAGGACACAGGTTTACCTACAATACCGTTTGAAAATCGTGAGTGCACATTAATAACTCACCGAAATAATGTGGTAGAACATACTTCGGTGACCGCCCATGTGTCAGGGACGTAGAGTGGCGCTCTCAGGAGCCCCCCCCCCCCCCCCCACAGACACACCGATTACACTACCGCGTACGACCCCTGGCTCCCTAAAACTAACAGGCGCCATCGTGCCAAATAGCATCCTGTTAACAATTATGCAGATTGCGTCATTCGCTAAAGTGACACAAATGAACAGGAGTTTCTCTTTGACACGTAAATGAGGTAGAACACACTACGGTGTCCGCCCATGTGTCAGGGACGTAGAGTGGCGCTTTCAGGAACCCCCGTATATAGAGAAAAATCGCACCATCCCATGGCGCCGCCCTTGCGAAATTAATTTTTTTTTACAGAACACTTGCCCAGAGTGTCCTTATCAACTCCCCCAAATTCTCATGGCTATCGGATGAACGGTATCAAACCAAAATCTACTTTTATTTTTATATACCGTACATATAGAAAAATCGCACCCTCCCGTGGCGCCGCCCATGCGAAATTAAAAAAAATATTTTTTTTTTTACAGAACCCTTCCCTAGAGTGTCATAATGAACTCCCCAAAGTCTCATGGCTATCGAATGAACAATGTCAAACCAAAATCGACTTTTTTTATATACCGTACACAGAGAAAAATCGCACTCTCCCGTGGCGCCGCCCTTGCGAAATTAAAACTGATATTTTCACAGAACCCTTCACTGAATTGCTCTAATCAACTCTCCAAAGTTTGACGGCGATTGGATGAACAGTGTGAATCTGCAATCGACTCTTATTTTTAGCGCAATTTCCATTCTGGAGAATTGCGTTTATTAACTCGTCTTTTCTAGGAATGGATAAATGGATGGATGTGTGTCCGCAGCTTTAAGTCGTATCTCCTCCTCAACGAAGCAATATCGAGGACTAGTTCCAAAAGCAAATATGTTAAGCAAGTTACCAGGATGAACATAGGCCAAAAAAATTCCGGGTTTCTTTCATGGATTTCCCGGAAAAGCCAAAAAAACTCAACAAAATGCAGTTTTTGACCCATATCTCGGCAACCAGACCACTTAGCGACTTGAAACATGTACCAATCGATTCCTGCCATAATTTAGAACAATATTGCCGAAGAAAGTTTTCAAAAATATCCTTTCGTTCGGTCACAAAATGTTTTTTGAATTAATTAAAATTTGGACCGAATTAGTAGGCATTTTATCCAACCACACCACACGCGTCATCACGTTCAATAGCTGCGCCATCACGTTCAATGGCTGCGTCATCACGTTCAGTAGCTATAGGCGCGCAATGGTTTTTAGTCATGTAACTCTATTGTAAATAAAACATGTATTTTAACCAATGGTTTTACTAACCCTGCTCTTGATTTACGCTACGACAGAGCTATTTTTAGATAACATGAGGAAATTGCGCTTAAATGTCAATAGACTTTTTAATTAACTTGTTTATATACCGTATATAGAGAGAAAACAAATCGCGCCCTACAGGAGCGCCACCCCTGCGAATTTGAAAATGTATTTTAAACAGAAACCTCCCCAGGAATATTCTCAACATATTCCCAAAGTTTGATGGCGATCGTGTGAACGGTGTCACTGCAATTCACTTTTATTATTTTTATATACCGTATATAGAGGAAAATCGCTCACTCCCGTGGCGCCGCCCTAGCGAAATTAAAAATGATTTTTTACAGAATCCTTCCCTGAATTGCTCTAATCAACTCCCCAAAGTTTGACGGCGATTGGATGAACAGTGTGAATCTGCAATCGACTCTTATTTTTTTATATACCGTATATAGAGAAAAAACAAATCGCGCCCTGCCGGGGCACCACTCCTGCGAATTTGAATTTTTTTTCCGCAGAAACCTCCCCAGGATTATTCTTAACAACTTCCCAAAGTTCAACGGCGATGTGATAATAGGTGTGGTAATGCATAAAAGACACACACACATACATTGCTTTTTATATATAGAGATGAAGTGTTTATAATATGTAGTCCTAAGTCTTTAATTCCGCTATACATATAATATTTAATATAATTTAATAGAATGTTCCAGCCTTTTCGGTTTTCGTCATGTCTTTTAAATTAGCGTGAAAGACTTGCTGCCCGCAACTCACCGAAACAACAATTCCACCACCTTTTCTGGCCACATCACGCTCATTACGTAGGCCTAACTAAGCATATGATCAAAACAGAAAGCCGACACGGTACAAAGACTGGCTTTGACGCAAAACCTCAACAACACACAATATGGACGGACACGGCCGACTGAGGAGAAGCCGACCAAGGATGGCCAACGGCAAAAACAAATAAGCAAAACACAATGATGTGCCAACATTTCTTTTGTAATTAATTTTACTACCGCGTATTTAACTAAACACGTAACAAAAGTTGAGGTTACTGTGTAAATTACGTCATACTATTTTTACGTATTATTCTTATAAGGGGTCATCCATAAATGACGTCACGCTTTTTTGGACGATTTTTACCCCCCCCCCCCCCTCCCCCCTGTGAGTGTGACGTATTTTATGGTCGACCACACTGCTTTTACTTTTATAATTATGGTACCAAAACAAAAACAAGCCACACCAATAAACACCCACAATCTTACAATTCTTAACAATTAAATCAAAATATTTCTTAAAAGATTTTTGTGACTTTTCTTCTGTGACTTTTTTCCGATAAACTTTTTCCTTTGTGACTTTTTGTCTTTGACTTTTTCCTAGTAAAAACTGTGATTTTTTTTTCTGTGACTTTTTTTCCTATAAAAAAACTGATTTTTTTCTGTGACTTTTTTCCCGTTCACCCAAATAATAATATGACGTCATACTTTTCATTAAAAAGTAATGCTATAAATTGAATTTTAACCGTTATTTCGCGTTTTTGCACTAGGTTAAAATTTTAGTAAGAAATCGATGTTTAATGAATATTTTAATTGCAACTGGGGGGGGGGGGGGGGGGGGGGGTTACAGGTGTTTAACGTCATTGTAAGGAGTCTGGTTTTTTTTTTGTGACGATGTGTGACGGAGGGAGGAGGTTAACTCGTCAAAAACAGCGTAACTTAATTTATTTTATGGATAACCCGCCATACGTATTTATGTAAATACCCCGATACCTTTACCTAATATAATATAGGCCCTGAGATAATGTTGCTTGTGACCTAATAAAAATAAATAAATGATACGCTACTTCGGGATAGTCCAACATTTTAAACAACATTTAGTGACCAGTGACTCCAATCTAATTCTCTACAAATATACAAATACGACTGTATTGTGTTTTTAAAATAATAATTTGTTAACATGAATGACTAGTAACACTGTAAACTAATAAGACTAATACAATTGTTTGCGTGGCAAGCAATTCGCCGAAATACCATTGTGTCGAAATCGCCGTAACATTAAAAACTCGGCTACTAGACTTAGATTCTAGATCTATGTCTGCCTCAAATCTACCCAAATACTAACTTATAAGATAGGCCTAAGGATAAAATCATTATGACTAAAGATGCTTTTATAGTTATACTGTAAGCAGTTTTGTCATTTGTTTACCTGTTTTAGACTATAACTACTAGATCTAATACTAGAATAATACTATAATACTTAATAGAACTAAGAATTAAGTAAGTAAGAATAATTCAATGAGAATTTTCGGATGATATTTCGAGTCGTCCCTTTGAATCCCGGCCAGAACGTCCCCCCGTCGTGGCCTCAACCAACCGGCGGGCTTGTTGCATTGAGTTAAATATAAACTCAAAACAATAATATAAACAATCTCCTTTCAGTAGGTCAGGCCACATACCAGGCACGCACAGTGTTGTGTGTCGTGCCTTAACAAAAATAAACTATCTCCCTTCATTATCATTAGATATATTTAATTAGTTAATTAATTAATTAGTTTGCTAATTTATAAAATTATGTATGATGCTACAGCAGTGTTTGCGAGCAGGATTTACTATATAAAAAGCGGCCATCTGTAAGTTAGAGTGGCTTCCCCTGAATCTTGCGCTATAAGTTTACAATTAAGAAAAATAAACAAGATGGCTGCTATAGTAAATGAGCATGAATGCATCTGTTGGAAACATCGCTAGTCTTCATTTATTACTTTATTACTGAAAAGTTTTAATTCAATTGTTTAAAACAGGTACATAAATGAAACAAGGAAACATTTTTGTATTTTTCAAAACATAAATCATCCTCAAAATGTGAAATAATTATAAAATTTTAGGAGTCACCTGTTTTTAGAATTATCATATTTAAAAATTTAAATCTAGAAAAGATATAGAATCTATTAAAAAAACAATAACACAAATCAACTATTGAGTACGATCTATATATTTAGTTGAATACTTTCTTCTCGCACACTACTGACTTGTTTAGATACACCAGGTAATCGAAGTTTAGTTAGGTTCCAAACCGGTAACTCATGAGGTTTGGGAGGCACGATGTCTTACAAAAACTACTATTTGATACATAATTTGCTAAATATAGATATAGGCACCGGGTAATATAGAAATGACCTAACACTAGCAAATCCTCAAAACTAATTACAATAAAACACAACAAAATAATAGCAAATCCACATGAAAAATCAAATAAACATAAAAGGTATCATTTTAATGCAGGTTATACTAGTGTGTGTTTTTGGGGGTGTTGGTAAATTGCAAGGCGCGAAATGGTGAGGCAGTGAATGTCGAGAAGAAAACATGAGACATATTTGCAAAATCATGGGTAAATAGCGAGACACAATTTGCCAGAGAGTGTTTAGATAATGCTTTTGGTGGTTTGTTTTTTCTCCAGGTGTGCGAGAAGAAAAGTTATAAACTAAATAAAATACTTAAAAAAAACTTTTTAAAAAACCACGTTTTTCTTGTGGACTAAAAAGTAGAAAATAAATTTTTCTTTTGTGCTTCCTCGAGCTGTGCAGATTCTTGTGATGACTGACAAAAAACGTGGGTACATTCACCATCAAATTTCCCGACCCATCTGCTGACCCACGTTTTTTGTCAGTCATCACAAGAATCTGCACAGCTCGAGGAAGCACAAAAGAAAAATTTATTTTCTACTTTTTAGTCCACAAGAAAAAAGTGGTTTTTTAAAAAGTTTTTTTTAAGTATTTTATTTTCTCCTTTTTAGTCCGTTGCTACACATGAAAAACGTGGTTTTTAAAAAGTTTTTTATATAGTTTATTTTCTACTTTATCTAATCACTTGATTAAGTATGACTTGACTAAGTGTTTTTAAATACACGGACTAAAAAAATCTTGAGCGACCGATACGCTTTAAACAGAGAAAGGGTGTAATTTACGTTGCTGGCGTGGAGATCTACTCACGAATCACGTGATCAAATCTCCCATAAACAAACAAATAAACGCGAAGCTGAGTTAAGGAAAAACGTGTTTATGTGTATTTTAGCATGCCCAGCGTACCAACCGTGTCACCGTTAACAATGTGTTACCGTGTCCGTTCTCCTTTTTAGTCCGTTGCTACACATAAAAAACGTGGTTTTTTAAAAAGTTTTTTTTTAGGTATTTTATTTTCTCCTTTTTAGTCCGTTGCTACACATGAAAAACGTGGTTTTTAAAAAAGTGTTTATAAATACACGGACTAAAAATCTTGAGCGACCAGGATTCAAACCTGGGTTGTCGCGGCCACAACGCGAAGTACTAACCACTATACGATCACGGCCAGCGCGCTCACATCGATTGGGGCCGAAGTAACTGTGTCAATAGGCCTCCAGTCTTGTCGGTATCTTTAGAAATCATGTCCTCAATTTTATGGTCCTTGGGGCATAATTAAATTAAGCTAATTACGGTCACTAATTGCTAGTTTTTATGATTGCATCTGAAATTGTTAGGCGAAAGTAGCATGCATGCCAAATTTCAGGTCTCTAGAGCAATCAGAAGTGGGCTAATTTTCGATGTCAATTTTAACAACAAACATCCAAACAACCAAACAAACAAACGCGAAGCTGAGTTAAGAAAAACGTGTTAATAAGTAGATATCTATCACAAGTGTTTATGCTCTTTTTAAAAAAAAATTTCCTGATCTAGTTTAGATTTTTAAAAAACTAATTCAAAAATTTTAACTTCATTGCTCCTAAGATACCCGCTCATGTTAATTTGTCAGCAGGAGAAAAATCCTTTCCCATTCAGTGGCTTACTGTGAGTTTATTAAGAGAGAATTATTTTGTGCTATATTTTAAAAAATCTAGATCTATATTTAAAATTCAAAACATTTTCGCCCACTTAAAACAGCAGTTTGAGGGGTCACAGTCAGTGCATACAAAAACTTTAACATAAGTCATAGCCTGAAAAATAGCAATATGACACACATGCTTGGGGTCATTGTGAGTTCATATATACTTGTAAGTGGGAGAAATATTCAGCTACTTTGTACTTTGTTAATGTAAGACTAAATCCTTCTGATCTTTAACACTTTGTATTGTTTGTACAATGTGTTGTTGTAATTGTAGCCAGCATAGAAATATAAATTAATTTAAAAAGTGTAATTTATTTTGTATTAAGTAATTTTAATTATAAACATTTTAAAAAATTAACAAAATTGATATTTATATGATGAAAAAATAAATAGCAGATAGCGATGATAATACAAAATTTATTTGCCACTATACAACACACAATCCACACAAACCATTATACCAGGCCAAACACAACATAATAGGCTTGAAAGGTTCCAAATGGTTCCACTTGTTTTTTTGCCAGAAAGCATATATTATTTGAATATTTTATAACATTTGTGAAATAAGTACAAAATCACATCTGGTTTTATTAAGGCTAGAGATATTCAAACAAATAATTACCATAAATATAATAGTAATTTAGCCAACACTTTTGTTTTTTAATTGGATTAGTAGAGTCAGGGTGTTGTGGTGATAAGAGATGTTATATTGTTTAATATAAATAAACTACTAGGCTATACCCCATTGATCACTATTGCATATTTTTATCCTGGAAAACAACTGTTGTTACTTTAATTGCTTTACTTTCCCTGGCCACTGCAGTTGCCTTCAATGAGGGGTTGACGTCATTTTTTTAAAAATATTTGAATTTGATAAAATGATTCTAAATGGCTTTTCAATGGCTTATATTCAATATAAAAGTATGAAAATGAGTGTAATCAATGGTTCCCAAACAGCTTAAATTTTAAAAATGTAACTATAATTTTAACGCTTGCCGTACTTTTTTTTAAGATTTAAAAAAAAAATTAGTATGATTACATAGACTTTTCAAGTCTATTGTGTTGTCCAGTTATGGCAGGCCACACAATCCCACACAAACTATCTTACTAGACAAGTACTACTTGCTTGACCGCTGTGAAATAAAATAAATAAAAAAATGTTTTTCTTTAAACCTTGACCTGTCCTAGTTGCCTCAATAAATTATTGAGCATTAGGTAAAACAATATGCATAACATTAACTGGTATAAATAAGCAGCTTAAAACTGTATTTGCTGATGTAAATGGATTAAACCCAATGTAAACACATCCACTCAAATAAAAGGCATACAGGTATCCATTACTTGATGACTGCTACATATCTCTGACAGCTGTTACGGCCATTAATATTCAGGCTAACTTGTCTAACTGGTGCTTCATGAGTCTTGTGGATATAACATTGTTGATCAGAATTTCACTTTCATACCCATCATTTTAGCTGAGTTCATGTGTTTGTTATGTTTGGTTGAGGATTGGTGCTTGTTAAAATTGAATAATAACAACAGTGATCACTGTGTAGAGTTTTTTGTGTTAGTTTGTACTGTTTGTTTATGATTCCATGAGTTTGTGATGGACTATCAGATTTCTATGTCAAGTAAAAAAAGTAAATTTGGAAAATGGCTGGTGAGCTGCTTGTTCATTGACCTGTTGGGTTTATTTGTGTGTATTTTTGATTTAGAGAAGGTTGTTATAATTAATCTTCTTCATTCTGAATGTTTCTACTTTAGTCCAAAAGAACAGATGAAATGCACAGTAGTCACTAAAACAGTTGTCACGAATGGGGTGTCTGTTATTAAAAAGTGCAGTCTTGGTATATTCTGTGGGCATACCACAATGGCATATCTTGCGCTTTTATTTTGCGAAACATGTGTTGTCTCATCCTGTTGTAGCCCTTTTTATAGTTTGTGTGGGAGTCACCGTATATAACCCCTCGTACGGGGCATACTTGAAGCAGATAATAATTTTTTAAAAACTTTTATTGGTCTAATATTTTTTTAATAGATTATTTACTTTATTTTATCGTTTTAAAATTGTATCATTAGGAGGAGAGAAGGAAACACAAGAAACAAATAGTCGAACTTCAACCAAAGAAAGAGTCTCAGTCAACTGGGGACAAGTCTGCCAAAATGGACGTGTTCAATCGCCTGAAGAGTGCTGTGACCAGCGTTATACCTGGCAATCCTCTGGGCAGAGATTTTGACATTCAAGACCAGGTTGCCAGTGCGGGTCCTGGCCTGCTGTGGAAAGTATTTTCTGCTGCTAAGAAGAGCACAAAGGAGGTAAATTTCTGTTTACTTTGTTACTATTTTTAACCCCTTCTCACTGCTTCTAAACTAATCATAGACCATCAGGTTGAAAATGCTTACTTTACTATACTATTGTACTCACCAGGAGGCTTCAGTGTTTCTGTTTGAGAAGAAGAGTGTAGACCGTTTCCACAAGAGAGATAGAGAAGTGATCATTGAGTCCCTGCGTAGAGGGGTCCAGCAACTCACCAAGCTCAGACATCCTAAAATTCTTTCCGTTATTCACCCACTCGAAGAGACTCGGTACGCCTCCAACTTTTTAAAAATTTCATGAAATCTCTGTAAGCTTACTAACATTATTTTGTTGTTAATTTTTAAAAAACTTATCTCACAATTTTATTTTCAACGTTTTGCTAAACTTTTAAAACAATAAAATAAAAATAAATGGTGGCTTGTAGACTGATAGAAAAAACAAATCAAAACAAAAGGTGTGTCACAATATTAGTATTAGCATTTGATTACTTTATATTTTATAATCTGTTCTGTTACATTCATCATTTAGATTTTTTAAATGATTTCTAATTTAACCATTTCAGTGAAGCATTAGCTTTTGCCACAGAGCCAGTGTTTTCCTGTCTGGCCAATGTTTTGGGTGATCACAGCAACCTGACAGGTGGCTCCAAATACCTGACAGATTTTCAGCTGTATGAAGTTGAAATCAAACATGGTTTGTTACAGGTAAGTGAAATATTGATATTTTTTAATCCAATTTTTAACAACTTTTTAGCCCTTTCATCTGTATGTTTGCAAGAACTAGCAATTTGATGACAGTTACTATTAAGACACTTGTATCAGATAACTATTTTTGTCAGGATTTACCTCAAATAATTAACCTTCTAAAATATTTGTGTGGTCACAGAAAAATTGGCTGTTACAAATATTCAGTATTTTCCCTTTAATACCAGATGTGAAAATAACTAAAGTGGATTGTTTTCATTTTGTTGACAGATTTTAGAAGGTTTAGGTTTCCTGCACAACGATGCCAAGATGATCCATCGCAACGTTTGCCCGACGTCTGTAATCCTGGCCAAGTCTGGCACCTGGAAGCTTGCAGGCTGTGAGTTTGTACAGCAGGCCACAGACTCACAGGACCAGAAGGTGAGTACCTCCCACACAGGACCAGAAGGTGAGTACCTCCCACACAGGACCAGAAGGTGTGAGTACTGGAAGCTTGCAGGCTGTGAGTTTGTACAGCAGGCCACAGACTCACAGGACCAGAAGGTGAGTACCTCCCACACAGGACCAGAAGGTGAGTACTGGAAGCTTGCAGGCTGTGAGTTTGTACAGCAGGCCACAGACTCACAGGACCAGAAGGTGAGTACCTCCCACACAGGACCAGAAGGTGAGTACTGGAAGCTTGCAGGCTGTGAGTTTGTACAGCAGGCCACAGATTCACAGGACCAGAAGGTGAGTACTGGAAGCTTGCAGGCTGTGAGTTTGTACAGCAGGCCACAGACTCACAGGACCAGAAGGTGAGTACCTCCCACACAGGACCAGAAGGTGAGTACTGGAAGCTTGCAGGCTGTGAGTTTGTACAGCAGGCCACAGATTCACAGGACCAGAAGGTGAGTACTGGAAGCTTGCAGGCTGTGAGTTTGTACAGCAGGCCACAGACTCACAGGACCAGAAGGTGAGTACTGGAAGCTTGCAGGCTGTGAGTTTGTACAGCAGGCCACAGATTCACAGGACCAGAAGGTGAGTACTGGAAGCTTGCAGGCTGTGAGTTTGTACAGCAGGCCACAGACTCACAGGACCAGAAGGTGAGTACTGGAAGCTTGCAGGCTGTGAGTTTGTACAGCAGGCCACAGATTCACAGGACCAGAAGGTAAGTACTGGAAGCTTGCAGGCTGTGAGTTTGTACAGCAGGCCACAGACTTACAGGACCAGAAGGTGAGTACCTCCCACACAGGACCAGAAGGTGAGGACCTCCCACACAGGACCAGAAGGTGTGAGTACTGGAAGCTTGCAGGCTGTGAGTTTGTACAGCAGGCCACAGATTCACAGGACCAGAAGGTGAGTACTGGAAGCTTGCAGGCTGTGAGTTTGTACAGCAGGCCACAGATTCACAGGACCAGAAGGTGAGTACTGGAAGCTTGCAGGCTGTGAGTTTGTACAGCAGGCCACAGATTCACAGGACCAGAAGGTGAGTACTGGAAGCTTGCAGGCTGTGAGTTTGTACAGCAAGCCACAGATTCACAGGACCAGAAGGTGAGTACTGGAAGCTTGCAGGCTGTGAGTTTGTACAACAGGCCACAGACTCACAGGACCAGAAGGTGAGTACTGGAAGCTTGCAGGCTGTGAGTTTGTACAACAGGCCACAGACTCACAGGACCAGAAGGTGAGTACTGGAAGCTTGCAGGCTGTGAGTTTGTACAGCAGGCCACAGATTCACAGGACCAGAAGGTGAGTACTGGAAGCTTGCAGGCTGTGAGTTTGTACAGCAGGCCACAGATTCACAGGACCAGAAGGTGAGTACTGGAAGCTTGCAGGCTGTGAGTTTGTACAGCAGGCCACTGACTCACAGGACCAGAAGGTGAGTACCTCCCACACAGGACCAGAAGGTGTGAGTACTGGAAGCTTGCAGGCTGTGAGTTTGTACAGCAGGCCACAGATTCACAGGACCAGAAGGTGAGTACTGGAAGCTTGCAGGCTGTGAGTTTGTACAGCAGGCCACAGATTCACAGGACCAGAAGGTGAGTACTGGAAGCTTGCAGGCTGTGAGTTTGTACAGCAGGCCACAGATTCACAGGACCAGAAGGTGAGTACTGGAAGCTTGCAGGCTGTGAGTTTGTACAGCAAGCCACAGATTCACAGGACCAGAAGGTGAGTACTGGAAGCTTGCAGGCTGTGAGTTTGTACAACAGGCCACAGACTCACAGGACCAGAAGGTGAGTACTGGAAGCTTGCAGGCTGTGAGTTTGTACAACAGGCCACAGACTCACAGGACCAGAAGGTGAGTACTGGAAGCTTGCAGGCTGTGAGTTTGTACAGCAGGCCACAGACTCACAGGACCAGAAGGTGAGTACTGGAAGCTTGCAGGCTGTGAGTTTGTACAGCAGGCCACAGATTCACAGGACCAGAAGGTGAGTACCTCCCACACAGGACCAGAAGGTGTGAGTACTGGAAGCTTGCAGGCTGTGAGTTTGTACAGCAAGCCACAGATTCACAGGACCAGAAGGTGAGTACCTCCCACACAGGATCAGAAGGTGAGTACCCCCCACACAGGACCAGAAGGTGAGTACCCCCCACACAGGACCAGAAGGTGAGTACCCCCCACACAGGACCAGAAGGTGAGTACCTCCCACACAGGACCAGAAGGTGAGTACCTCCCACACAGGACCAGAAGGTGTGAGTACTGGAAGCTTGCAGGCTGTGAGTTTGTACAGCAGGCCACAGACTCACAGGACCAGAAGGTGAGTACCTCCCACACAGGACCAGAAGGTGAGTACTGGAAGCTTGCAGGCTGTGAGTTTGTACAGCAGGCCACAGACTCACAGGACCAGAAGGTGAGTACCTCCCACACAGGACCAGAAGGTGAGTACTGGAAGCTTGCAGGCTGTGAGTTTGTACAGCAGGCCACAGACTCACAGGACCAGAAGGTGAGTACTGGAAGCTTGCAGGCTGTGAGTTTGTACAGCAGGCCACAGATTCACAGGACCAGAAGGTGAGTACTGGAAGCTTACAGGCTGTGAGTTTGTACAGCAGGCCACAGACTCACAGGACCAGAAGGTGAGTACTGGAAGCTTGCAGGCTGTGAGTTTGTACAGCAAGCCACAGATTCACAGGACCAGAAGGTGAGTACTGGAAGCTTGCAGGCTGTGAGTTTGTACAGCAGGCCACTGACTCACAGGACCAGAAGGTGAGTACTGGAAGCTTGCAGGCTGTGAGTTTGTACAGCAAGCCACAGATTCACAGGACCAGAAGGTGAGTACTGGAAGCTTGCAGGCTGTGAGTTTGTACAGCAGGCCACTGACTCACAGGACCAGAAGGTGAGTACTGGAAGCTTGCAGGCTGTGAGTTTGTACAGCAGGCCACAGATTCACAGGACCAGAAGGTGAGTACTGGAAGCTTGCAGGCTGTGAGTTTGTACAGCAGGCCACAGACTCACAGGACCAGAAGGTGAGTACTGGAAGCTTGCAGGCTGTGAGTTTGTACAGCAGGCCACAGATTCACAGGACCAGAAGGTGAGTACTGGAAGCTTGCAGGCTGTGAGTTTGTACAGCAGGCCACAGACTCACAGGACCAGAAGGTGAGTACTGGAAGCTTGCAGGCTGTGAGTTTGTACAGCAGGCCACAGACACACAGGACCAGAAGGTGAGGACCTCTCACCTTGTGCTGTTGACCATTGTTATCTAACACAATGTGTGAGCATAGAATTCTAATTGTTGTGTTGCCATGGTTTCCAGAGCTACTTCACCTGCCATGAGTGGAGGGGCGACACACCCAGAGAAGCCCAGCCTCACCTGGACTTCATGGCACCAGAGTATGAGCTTACCCACATCTGTTCACCTGCTAGTGACATGTTCTCTTTTGGGATACTCCTCTACTCACTCTACAACAAAGGGAAACCACTGTATGAGTGTAGAGGGGAGCTAAAGACATTTAGACAAAATGCTGAAGAGGTGAGTTATCTTTCTTGATTACATTTTTTTTAATAATATCACTTGTTATACTCTAATGGGATGGCCTGGCCAGGTGGTAAAGAGCATGACTGCTAACCCAAAAGTCTGATGGTTGGAATCTAAGCTGGGCATAGAACTGACCACACTATTCCTTTACTGCTGAGGCCATAGAAACAGATCAACTCTATTTTACCTGCCCTATTGACAAAGACGGCGTGGCCTAGCGATGGAGCGCAAGCTAGACTGCTAACCCGATAGTTTCGAGTTTGAATCCGGGTTCTAGTTAGTGGAACGTCCTTGAGACCACCCAATTTTGATGGGTACCTTATTCTCGTTAGGGAAAGTAAAGGTGGCTGGGCATAGTGCTGACCACATTATCCCTTTACATGCCAAGGTCAAGAAACATATGAACTCCACTTCATCTGCCCAATGGATCGTTAGGTCTAAAGAAGAATCTTTACTTTTTATTGACAAAGAGATATGAAAGGGTATCTTTACACTTTTTTTATGCTCTAAGTGAACCTATTGAATAGAAAATTGATTACACAGACCCAGCCTGACGAAGTGAACAAACTTAAATTTTCAGCTGAGCAGTATCCGAGGATCCCTGCTGTCTAGCATACCCTCCCAGCTTGCAGACCATGTGAAGCTGTTGCTGAACACTGAGCCAACCATTCGACCAGATGCTGCACAGATGATGAAAGTAAGATCTCTTTGTAGTATATTTCAATCTACCTGATCTAATCACTACCACACTAGCATGATTACATGAGTTTCAAATGTGTGAAACAAATGTAGAATAAAGTTGAGAGTGTAAACTTGGACTGCTGTCTCTGTACTACAACACTAGCATGATTATTTGAGTTTCAAATGTGTGAAACAAATGTAGAATAAAGTTGAGAGTGTAAACTTGGACTGTTGTTGCAGATTCCATTTTTTGAGGACATGGCCTGCATTGCCCTCCAGTACATGGATACTCTGTACCAAAGAGAAAACATGGAGAAGTCAAACTTCTTCAAAGGTCTGCCCAAGGTTATTGAACATCTTCCTAAGGTATGATTTCTGTTTCAGCTCACTTCATTATTAATAGGCTGCTTTGTTTTGTTTTTTTATAACTAAAACACTTTTGTCTTTGTTTATTTTTGAGACAAGTTTGTATACCCAGTTTCAACACAGATTAAGGTTTTGGTTTTAAATAACCAGAAATGTAAGTTCTCTTTTTAAGGAAAATATATAATTATTTGTGTAAAATTTTTGCAGTAATTTTGATAAATGAAATTTAAAAAACAAAACCTTACGTTTCAGTTTTTATTTGTAGTCATATTCCCTTCAAAATTCTGATATCCACCAATTGTTGTCCAATACTGTCTATGCTCCACTTTCTGACATAAAATTTTTTTCTTCTGATTTTGGTGTGGTCAGTTAGATCTCTAATTAATTTACTCCAAACAACAGTAAATGTTTTTAGATGAGATCAGTCACATCTCTAAATAACTTACTCGAAACTAAACATTCTTGTTTTCTCCAGAGGGTGAGCCAGCAGAGGATTTTACCTGCATTGTTCAAGGAAGGCGTGAACTCCAACATGGTGCCCTTCATCCTGCCCAGTGTTTTCCTCATCTCTGAGCAGTCCACAAAGGAGGAGTATCAGGCTCTTGTCCTGCCTGATCTCATTCCATTCTTTAAGATCAGGGAACCAGTCCAGGTGAGCAGAGAACCAATATTATTGCTATAGTTTGGGGAGAGAGACAGGATGGGGCTGGGTTAGAATGGATTTTGTATTTCTCAAAAATTGTAGTTTTTAAGTGGATGGGGGAGGGGAGAACGGATAACTGTCGCCACATAGATGGGGTGAGTTTATTAGCAGTTGGGAGTAAAATTTGAATGGAACTAAAACTATTTTAATCTTTTATTATTAGCACACTCTTGATGTTTCAGGTTGGGTGCTGCCATAAACCACATCAACTTTCTGAGCACATTTCCCCTAATTACACTTTTTCTAACTCCAACCCCACGCCACCCCCATAAAAGTGTAGTCATTTTTTAAATGTTCCTTCAGCATCACTCTAAGACAACTGATTAGATAAATATAATCCCAGTGCCATTTTTGTTTGCAGGTGATGTTGATGTTCCTACAGAACATGAATCTGTTACTGAGTAAAACACCGACTCAGCAAATCCAGACTTACGTGTTTCCTCTTATATTCTCTGCACTTGAATCAGACAGCCCCCAAATACAGGTATATTATTTACCTTTTAGAGCATTAAACATATCTTTTTAAAAATCATTTTCTGTGTTGTGAAATGGATTGTCCATAACAAAAATGTGTAGGCACGGAGAGAGTGTGTGTGAGTTGCCTCCCCTTGAAAGTGGTGTGCTAGTGGGACAAAGTGTGTGAATGAGGCAGTGAGTGAAGCAATGTGGTGTGGCGTCCACATTGTGTACCTACTCGTCAGTTTTTCTTCTTGTCATGTGTTCTTGTCATTGATGATAATTATACACCCATGATACAGATTCTCGTTGTGGATTGTATTTATTTATAATTGCTACACCTGGTAAAAACGAGCCAAAAATACATAAGAAGCAGCGTGTAACATGTTTATTTGAAAGAAATGTTAAAATTAAGATTTACTGTATTTTTTATTGTAAAAGACTAGGTATTTTAAATATTTTACTTTCAAATTTTAAACATACTTTTGTTTATGTTTTAAATTTTGTTTGCGCATTATTTAAAAGCTGACTTTATGGTTTTGGAAGCATATATTTGAATGTGAAGAAGATGTAAAATTTTATTTGCTTAAAAAAGAACCAGCCAATTTTTGTTTAGTCTGCAGATGGTGTATCAATGCAGGTGAAGTTCTACTGGACTGCTATTTGTACTCACTCAGCTAACACATTCTTATCAAGCTGACAAGCTAACACCTAATTTAAATCTTAGCACCATACAAAGGGAGATTAAGATTTTAAAAGGGCAACAACTGGGGTTGTTCAGGTTTTTTTTTTTTTTAAGTTTTAAATCATAGCAAATTATTAGATTGTAAAAGATTATTCTAAAATTTAAGTATAATCATGCATGATATTTGATCATGAGTCTCAATATCATAATATTTTAACAAGCTATAGTTTATATAAAAATAACATATAGCTGTTGCATAAACTAACACAACTTTATTTAGTTTAACTAGTAAATTTGTAGATGTCTTTTATCTCCTAACTCACAATTGAAATGCTTACTGTCATAGCTATCAATAATAATTTGAATGGGAGAAAATTTTGAAACTTCTCTTTCCATTGCTTTGCTTCAATATATTTTACAACATAATCTTGGGCGCAAACTGAAATTTTTATTACAGCTATAATTTAACAAGCTTGTGTTCGATTTGCCTGATTGTATAGCTTTAAAACAGCTTGTATTGAAATGTTTTCACTGTATTAGTTTCAGACAAAAATTGCTTGCTCAAGTCCTAGGTTTTCTAGTAAAACTATAACTATTTCCTACACCCATCAATAACCAACTTGGCACATTTTGTAGAATTTTATAACAACTTACACATTTTTTATGAATTATTTTATAAATAAGAAATACAATTTAGCATACATAATGTATCTGTTGATCAAGTATATGCAATATTCAACTGAATGTATGTACATTTTGACATAATTGCATAAATTACATTTTGGAGGTACTTTTTCAGTATTCGTGATTATTTTTTGTCTGAAAAGGCTAACATGTTCCTGTTAAAACCATTATTAGAGTACCATACAACAAAAAACTGGACTGACCATGTATTACTAGCAGTCACCAGCAGTTTTAAATGCTCTAATGCTGTACTGTCTTTTGTAGGAGCTGTGTCTTCACATCATCCCAACATTTGCTGACCTCATAGAATATTCTACCCTCAAGAAGTCCTTGGTTCCTCGCATCAAGAAGCTTTGTCTTGGAACTTCAGTCCTAAATGTATGTAATCAGCATGGTTTTACTTAATTTTTTGTTCTTGTAAGAATCAGTTATTTAATTAACACCAAATATGCATTATAATTGTATGAGCATCTAACACCATCTAACACCCAGTTGTCTTGTTGTGGGTAGGTGCGTGTCAACTGCTTGTTGTGTATTGGTAAACTGATGGACCAGATGGACAAATGGTTTGTTTTAGATGAGATCCTGCCTTTCCTTAGGGAGATACCCACCAGAGAGCCTGCTGTCTTGATGAGTATTTTAGGTCAGTCTTGTGACATTTTATGTTAGGTCAGTCTTGTGACATGTTATGTTAGGTCAGTCTTGTGACATGTTATTTTAGGTCAGTCTTGTGACGTGTTGTTTGGTCAGTTTTGGGACAAGTTATATAGGTCAGTTTTGTGACATGTTATGTTAGGTCAGTCTTACGACATGCAGGGATGTGACTTTTCCGAATTTTAGCGGGAATCCGATTTTTTCGTTTCAGTTGCGATTTTCCTCCGCTGATTTAATTTTCGCCGAATTTTTCCGCCGAGTTTCAATTTTTTCGATTTTTTACGAAGTTTTAAAAATTAGGAAAAAAAAAACGGAAATGTCTTTTACGGAAAGGGCCGACATGCTCATTCCACTTATTCGTATTTAAATTTAAATCAACAACTACTGTACTTAGATCTAGGTCAAACGGACACTCGAATATGCGCATTTCTTTTCGATTGGTCGATTGCGCTAGGTCTGACGGTGCTAGATCAAGATTAAATGTAGATTCGGAATTTCGGCGGACTTTCGAATTTTTCAATGCACACTTTTTTTAGTCCAAATTTTCCGCTGATATTTTCAGTTAACTATTTATCAAAAACACAGGAAAAGGTAATCTAAAATAATGCAGTTATTCAAATGAAACTTACATCTCTTAAGCCTGGTAATCTAGCTATCGATATAGCCTAATTTACCTATCGGTATTTTAACCCGCCTAAATCTAGAGTTTCTCTCTGATTCTATTTTATTCCGCAATCTCAGATTAATATTGAAATCCTTGCAAAAGGTGACAATGAGGACTAGACTAACCCGCCCCACCTCGTAGCAACGGTGGCTCTTGTGACCTCGCCTTGACCGCAAGTACGTGTTCGGTACTGCTTGTGGGGAAAAAATGACGTCACAGTCAATTTCCAATAGCTGTTCCTGCAATACGTTCACACATCAGACCCTTTCTAATTTTAGCTAACCTGGTCCATTTCATTTTTCCATCACATGAACATCTAGGGTCTTTACAGTTGAAGACAAATATTTTTACCAATCCAATCTTTAAAAGAATATAAGGCATTAGGCCCCCTTTTTAAAAATTGAAAACACGAGTACATCTAGAATCTACACTAGATTAGTACAGTTTAAATTAGCTTAATGATAAAATAAAACTTAATTGCTACTTTTGTTACATTGTAATTTTTAAAAAGTTGTTTAAGGTAAACATTAAATTGCAATTAGACAAGACTTTCAATGTTATTTTAGAGTAACATAAACTTCTTGTATTTAAAATATTAACTTCATTAAACAATTAATTAGTACAGTAACAGTATGAAGCTGCTTAACTGCGGTATGAAGCTGCTTAACCGCGATAAAAAATAGATAAAACATATTGAGTTATTATCCGAAGAAAATTTCCTAATTTTTTTTCCTGGTCTGGTCACATCCCTGGACATGTTATTTTAGGTCAGTTTTGTGACATGTTATGTTAGGTCAGTCTTGTGACGTGTTATTTTTAGGTCAGTTTTTTTATATGTCAGTTTAAGCCAAGTTTTGCATGTTGTCTCTGAAGAAGTTGTGCTTGTATAACCATGTTGACGTTATATCAACAGGCATTCACAAAGTGGCCCTCTCAGAGGCCAAACTGGGTATCACTAAAGACGTGATGGCCAATAAAGTCCTACCATTTCTCATTCCACTTTGTATAGATAACAACTTGAATCTTTCTCAGGTAAATTAGCTTTCTCAGGTAAATTATCTTTCTCAGGTAAATTATCTTTCTTAGGTAAAATAGCTTTCTCAGGTAAATTAGCTTTCTCAGGTAAATTAGCTTTCTCATGTAAATTAGCTTACTCATGTAAATTATCTCTCACATTTTGACTAAGATTTGTGTGAGTACATTTTAGTTCAATGCCTACATGAGTGTTGTGAAAGCTGGTTACGAAATCTGGTCCATTTTAGTTCAATGCCTACATGAGTGTAAGAAATCTGGTACATTTTAGTTCAATGCCTACATGAGTGTTGTGAAAGCTGGTTACGAAATCTGGTCCATTTTAGTTCAATGCCTACATGAGTGTAAGAAATCTGTTACATTTTAGTTCAATGCCTACATGAATGTTGTGAAAGTTTGTTAAGAAATCTGGTCCATTTTAGTTCAATGCCTACATGAGTGTAAGAAATCTGGTACATTTTAGTTCAATGCCTACATGAGTGTTGTGAAAGCTGGTTACGAAATCTGGTCCATTTTAGTTCAATGCCTACATGAGTGTAAGAAATCTGGTACATTTTAGTTCAATGCCTACATGAATGTTGTGAAAGTTTGTTAAGAAATCTGGTCCATTTTAGTTCAATGCCTACATGAGTGTAAGAAATCTGTTACATTTTAGTTCAATGCCTACATGAATGTTGTGAAAGTTTGTTAAGAAATCTGGTACATTTTAGTTCAATGCCTACATGAGTGTAAGAAATCTGGTACATTTTAGTTCAATGCCTACATGAGTGTTGTGAAAGAGATGCTGTCAAAAGTGGAAACAGAACACCGCACAAAGTTGGAGCAGTTGGATCAGATACAACAGGAACACAAGTTAGTTCCCTTGGCTGAATGTCTATTTGTACTGCTTTAAGCTTCAACCCCTTAGCTTTTACATTTAATGTTTTTACCTAATCAGAGTATCCAAATAGAGAAAATATCTTGTAGTTAGCTATTTGAAAACTATTTTTAAACTTTTTTTATTTGTGGATTTTTTTCCTGTCCACTAGAACACTAGAGATCAGCAAAATTACAGGTGAAAATGGAATGCCTGGAAAACAAATGGATGGAAAATCATCTTTTGTAAGTTAGTTATAAATTTTTTGAGGACTCTGATTATACCTTATGGACTTTCACTGTAGAAAATCTATGCATTGCCTGAAACCCTTGTAAAATTTATGTCCATAATTTTTATGTCAGTGTTTTTGTATAGAAGATTATAATACTCACTTTGTTAGCTTAGATTTAGAAATTTGTCATTGTTGTGGTATTGTAACTTTCTTGACTAGATGGACAAGTTTCTGTCATTGTTGTGTTTTTGTAACTTTCTTGACTAGATGGACAAGTTTCTGTCATTGTTGTGTTTTTGTAACTTTCTTGACTAGATGGACAAGTTTCTGTCTGGTATGGGCATTGGTGGGTATGGTGTGACAGCAACAAGTACTGGAAGTGGAGACAACGCTAAAGTCATGTCCACCACAAGTCCAGATGCAGAAAGAAGCAAGAACACAGATGTTAGCCCAAAGAAAGTAAGTGCTGTTAATGTTAAACACATTTTCTTGTTATTCATAAAGCATTTTGTATGTTAGTGTTAAAATGATGTAGTTAGTGAATGTAACTCAAGTGAATTCCATCATGTGTTTGTCAGACCACACTCTCTATAGAGGAGAAGCAGAGGCTGGCCAAGCAACAGGAGCAGGAGAGGGCGTTAAAGTCTCAGAAACCTTTAGTGGCCACTGGTCAGACACCTCAAGCCCCTCCAGCCGCGTCAGCCCCCAGGGACCTTACCTCCACCCTGATGGAGTCCAACGTGAGGAACCTCAGCTTGTCTTCCAAGTCCAGCTCCATTGGTAACCTGGGCTCAGTCTCCTACTCTGCTGGAACCATGACCCAGGGTTCTGCCAACTGGCAGACGCAGTCCATGGGGTCACCAGCGGCCGTCAACTGGGGCTCCATGTCCTCTAACAACTCTTCGCCGTTCATTACTCCACAGTCATCGCTGTCGTCATCCACGTCTTCTCTTCCATCCGCTGTAAAACCAAATGTGAACCTCTCTTCCTTTGACTCTCTGGTCACAACTCCCAGAAAACCTTCACTAAGTCAGATGGGCCAGCAGTCCAACGTGCGACCCATGGTGCAACAGAGCCAACCCATGATGCAGCACAACCAACCCATGATGCAGCACAACCAACCCATAATGCAGCAGGGCCAACCCATGATGCAGCACAACCAACCCATGATGCGGCCACCTCTCATGGCTGGTGCAGGTAATATTCAGGGCAACCCTGGCTGGGGATCTATGTCCAATATGGCAGGGATTCCTGCCACCCCTCAGATGTACCAAGGATGGAATAGTCCACATCAACCTATGGGGGTGATGCAGCCAATGGCCACAGCTCAAGGTTCTCTAGGAGCCACCAATAAATCACTAACTAGTGATGATTTAAAGGATTTTCTTGGTTAATTTCAGAAACATTTGCTTTTACATTAATTTTTAAGAAATGCTTGTAACTATTATTGCTTTGTTTTTATTTTAAATTATCAATTTTTTTAAATTAGGTGATAAGGACAATTTATGCTTAATTACTTTATTTTAATTCTTGTTTTATAATTCGGCATAATAATTCCTATTCTAATTAAATAAACCACATTCACAGTATAGTTGTATGTTCTTAATTTCAAACATGTTGATTCAAATCCTGATTGTTTTATTTTCAATAATCATCCAGCATTTTAAACTGTGGCTGAACGAGGGGTTATGCAATATTTTAAATCAGAAGCAACTCTACATTCCAGACGTGGGCATTTCTCTGTCTATGTGGTGATAACAGTTGCTGTAGTTAGTTGTACATTATGGGGTTGTGAATTTTTTGTGTATGTTGTGGGGGTTGTGAGTTGTCATTTATTTGAATGTTGCAGGGTTGTAAGTTGTCATTTATTTTAAGTTGTGAGTCGTCTATTGTGAATGTTTTGAGTTGTCTATTTTGAATGTTTTGAGTTGTCTATTTTGAATGGTGTGAGTTATTTCCATAATGAATGGTCGGTTCTATCCATGTCTATGCTGTGATAACAGTGGGAGGGACATCATGGCTTTGTGAGTTTATTTATGTGAGTGGTTACATGAATGTCTCGCAGTAGTAAGTGGTCAGTTCCATGCTGTGATAACAGTGGGAGGGACATCATGGCTTTGTGAGTTTATTTATGTGAGTGGTTAGATGAATGTCTCGCAGTAGTAAGTGGTCAGTTCCATGCTGTGATAAGAGATACGGTCAGTCTGTTGGACCAAATACATTTTTATCTACTTATTTTTATGTATTACGAAGTGATGAGTCATTAAGTGAAGTTAATTTGTCAGATTTTACTTTTCTTGACTAGTATAATTTATATTCTATCTAACTCATATTAGAATAAAATAAGTCAGAAGACTGCTGTGCTGCATAAGAAATGAAATAAGGTGACAGTATTGGTATCTACAATAGGAACTGAATTTTACATTTTAATTCCAATTTTTCTTAAAAAAGGTAATTTATCCAAATAAATATGGTTAAACATAGATTTAAATTATTTGCCTCATTTATTTTTTTAGTTTAATTCTTACCTTATTTTAAAATGTAAGTGTGGGTCTTTTTTTAGAGTAGTTGACATGAAAAATTATTTCTTCTATTCACAACTCATGACAGTAATGTAAAGCCTTTTCTCTCCTCAAGGCCAAAAAAAATCTATAATAACATGTAAATATATTTATTGGAGATTAAACCAAGTGTTCTGTTGTGAATAAGATTTTACTTTAAACCCAATTGTATGATAAGATTTGTTTTATGGTATTGTAATGTCTGTACAATTAAAAGTATTCCAAATGTACTGGTGGCTTTAGTTGACTTACTTGAACTTTGAGATGGTAAAACTGTTTGATCAGTCTGGGACTTTGTTAGTTGCTCCTGTCTTTCTTTTTTTTAGAAAGGTTGGGGCACATCTTACAAGAACAAATATTCCAGATATCCCCAGTGTGTTCCTAGTCAGTTGGAAATCCAGGAACCTATCCAGTTCTAATGAGTACCTGATTTAAGTAGGGTAAAACAGATGCTTCTTGGTTGGTAGCTTGTCTTTTTGTATACGGAGAGAACTAACAAAGTTCTATTACACTTCATTACTAACCACAGGGTATACAAATAAATCATTGAATACCCATATAAATCCACCAAATCTGGTTCATACAAAGTTAAACAAGATGAACTCACAGGCAAGGAATGTATAGTTTATTCTTGCACATATATAAAAAATGTGAGAAATATTTACACTGTTGAATGAAGCCTTTTGTTAAAAAGTACCTAATTATGAAATTATTGTGAATTAACAGAAATAAACTAAACAAAAAAATTAAATGTCAGGAATGAAACACAAATATAGTTTTCTCTTGATTTTGCCCAAGTAAAAAAAATAGTTTCACTTAATTTGTAAAAAAAATATAATTTTTATATTGTACCTTTTAATCATTAAAATGGACAATTGCTGAACATTGGCTAGATAGAAATGTGCAAAATGAATTAAAAAGTGCATACAAAAGCCATGTTGACAAACAAACACACAAACTGCCACATCTAGCTCAGTGTTCACCTGAGCACTATTTACATTTGGGTGGTAAAAATGGTGGCCGTGTATTTTAAAATTTAAGTTTTAAAATAACTGCACAAATTTGAGCATTGGATTCAAACAGAAATATAACTCTAATTTGTTCTGTAGAAATATACGTAAATTCTGCATTGCATAAATAGTTGTAAATCTGACAGTCTTTACATAAACTGTTTGAAAAGGACAATGAAAATCACCCGGATAAAAAATATCCAAAGAACAGAAATAATGGATTTATTAACCAGTAATAAATTGCAAAATGAAGATCTTTCAAGGCTCTTAGAAAATATTTTTAAATAATTAACTTTACAGCTAAGCTTTAATACAAACATGACAAATTGGATTTTTAAGTTGTCAAATGACATGGAATGTTACTGCATTGTTAAAAACTGGAATTTAACAAACAACTGGAATAAAATATACTCATGAACAAGCATGATGGCTGCCTGCTGTTAGGATTTCAAGTGTTGTCAGAAAGAAGTCTGACAAGTTAACAGCAAATGCCATGGAAAAAAATATTTAATTCATGCAACAGGTTTCATTCAAAGGGGGCTTATTGCAAATGGACATTCAAATGTAATTTGTTACCCTTATAAATAAATACTTCTTAACTTTTTTTTTATAAGATGATAAATATATAAATGTAAATACAAAACTAAAATATATTTTTTGCTTAAAAAGAACTTTAAGTAAAACTAATTAAGTCTAAAAATAAAAGTGGTATATATTATTAATATAAACATAAAATTGTGTTAAGCAATAAAAGAAGAAATTTAGAAATTATATTAAATTATAACTTACAAATACTAAGATAAATTACAAAACAAATTTCCATTTGCATAGTTGATAAATTACTAAGAATTTTTAACTGATAGCTGAGTTGTAAATAGAATTTCTTTAAAAGATGCATTGATTTTATGGTGTCTTACAAGTGTTAGTGTTATAAAATTGTCTTTGAGAAGTGTTTACATAAAACAAGCAGACCCTGGAATACAAATGTAACAAGTCATTTCTTGGATTTTTTCATTTGATCTGTCAATAGTTGGATGTTTTAAAACTATAGTAGGAGCTGTAGAAAGTATGTTGGGGCTTCTTTTTATTTACTCTTAAATTAAGAAAATTAAAATAAGTACACAATGAGATTACCACACAGACTATTCTAAACTCCTCCAGGACGGAGTAGCCAAACCAGTATTTTTAAAACTGGAAACCTTGTAGGAAAATTTGCCATTATTGTACAGTAAGGACCTAAAAACTATGGTGCACCATCAAAATGATCTATAACAAAAAGGTCCAGTCAAAATGACCCCTGAATAATCGCCCTCAGACAAAATGACCCATTTGAAATGACCCTGATAAAAGGGCCCCAACATTGACTACCGTCAAACAAGCTCCTGTCATATTTGTCTCCTGACAAAATGGGCTCCAGACAAATAAATTGTATCTTTTTGTAATAGACATAACCATTTTATCAAACCCACCAACCACAAGCATTTCCTGCCTCCACTACCACCGTGACCTAAATGTCCAGGGTAAAATTTTCGCTGGCCCTGTTGAAGGGGCACTTTTGTCACTGTCAGTTTTGACGGTGTAAAAAAAACTAGACATTCTACAATACAATGTAATACTGAATACCAGAGAATGACTTAATAGGGGGCCAAATGTTAAGTGATATCAAAATTGCTATGACTATGAAAGTGAAAAACTTCCAGGAAAATTACTCAAAAGTTTTTTTTCCCAAAAAACTCTTGTTTTAAGTAGACCTATAATGGGCCATTCAAAATAGACTTTCTAACTCACATTTAAAAATATTTTGCTAATTATATACAATAATTTTTAAGCTTAGGAAGTTTTTGTAAGGAAAAGAAACAGGTTCTTAAAATAGTATGGAGCTTTCTCTTAAAATATTTAATGATTTACGAGGAAAAATAAAAATGTTAAAATATTTTAACAAACCAGTATAAAATTCTCGAGTAAGAATTAGAAGTTTCAAAAACTTACTTGAAAACAATAAAACTGATATTTGTCCTAATTTACAGACAATAGCAAACTAACCATGAAAAATTAACTAGCAGACCTATGATTAATTATAAATTATCAGGTTCACGTCTCCGCTTTATTTCATCATCCACATCGACAAAGGAACGAAGAAGGAAAAATGTTATCACCATTCCAGCAATCTGTTATGAGAATATTTATTTCAGAGCCTTAGAAATTGAAGACTAAATAATACTAAATACAGTTAATACTCATTCAAAAATATCAAAACTAAGTATGAGTATAAACATTATAAAATTCAAAATCCTTTTAGTGTAATATATGATTATTCTCTTTTTTAAGCATTTAATCATTTTAAGAAACATGATTAAGCTTACCATAATAAATGCAAACACGAACCCTAAAGCAACTATTATGTCAGACTGACCCATTACTAAATCCTTTGCTTTTTCATAACAGCCCTGAGGGAATTAAAAAAACAGCTGATAAAACCTACATGATAGAACATTCTATAAATAATAGTGCAGATATTATCTAGAGCTAGCTTACTTGAGTACAACAGAAAGAATCTGAGTAAGTCATCTGTAAAACATGTCATGTTTTTTTTAAAACTCACTATAAAAAATCAGAACATTGTCCCCATCCCATCCACCCTTATAAATGTCATCACATTTCAGATCTCCCCGCTTTGCTCCTTTTACAATATTCTTATTTGAAAAGTAATTTCTTCCTCACATATTAACTGAGCTGGGTCAAGGTTATGTATATTGATTTATTTTTATCACTATTTACTAGAAAGTCTTTTAAAATATTTAAATAGCCAGCCACAACTCAGCTAAAATAAAATTTAAATGTATCAATGTGAAATCAAAATTTTTGAACCCTCATCTATTCTCCTAGACAAAAGTCTATAGCCCCTTTAACCATTTAACATTAATATAAGTTCAAACTAATGCACTGATCTAATAAGGCGTACTGCTAATAGCTTTATAATCTAAATTTATAAAAAAAATATTTAAAAATAGCAACTGCTAATAGCTTTAGAATTTAAATTTATAAAAAAATATTTCAAAATAGCAAACTAGTTTAAGCACTTTATTAAAAAGTTAGTCAATTAACTACATTAAATTTATTTTTCTTACTGCACTAGTTTAAGCATTGTATTAAAAAGTGAGTCAATTAACTACATTAAAGTTATTTTTCTTACTGCGTAGTGAAGGTAATCATTCTTAAAATCAGTGATGAACTGATTAGGTGGGCCATTGGGAAAATTCTGGCAATGTTTGATACTTTTGTAGTCTTTTATTTTGTTGTCATATACACAGCAACTCTCTGGCACAAATTTCTTTTCATCCTGAGTTCCTGTTGAAGGTTCAGTACATACATTACACTAGATGTATTTTTTAGATACATTCTAGGTATTCAAAGTTTTAGATACTTATTATACACTCCAGCAAAATAGCTTGTGGTCTTACTTAGCTGCCTGTTGTAGAACTCAGTTCGTTTGTAAATTGGCCAAGAATCTTGAAGTTGTTCTTCCCGTGGATTTGCAGGGTTTTTGCCATCTTTATAGGGGATGGAGAACAGAACAGAGTTCCCCAGCTGTTTTTGGCTTAAAGCACAACATTCCAGCTACAATTTTAGAAAGAAGTAAACCAGTCAGACAGTGAGAAACTTTAAAATTTAAAGTTTCTTCACCTTCTTCTTCGCTCTCAAATGTAATATTGGAGAACAACACAATTGAGTCTTATGTGTCAATATGTTATGTTATTTCATGTTAATTAATCACTTTAAAAGCAACACAATTTCTTTCTTTGAGGATTAGAGTAAGTCTAAACAATCTTGAAGAAAATGTAACCCGAGGCCAACAGAGAATTACAAGCAGACAGCTAAACAAAAGAGAACATACATCTTTTTGGAGCTGGTTCCAGGCGTCAGTTATCTCCTTGTCAATACCATAGTTTTTTATCATGGTTTCACGCATGTTATCAACCATTACATTTTCCACCTGAAAAGAATTATTTTATTTTTTAAGAAATGGGTAAAAATGCATACATTTATTAAAAAAAAAGAAACAATAGTATCTTAGTATACACTGAAATGACAAAAATTATAAGTGTATGGTCATGAAAAAGAAAAAAAAAATTATATATTACCTCCCCCTTGAAAACAATAGCCAATACTGCTGCAACTATGAGAACAATGAAGTTGAATATGAGGAAACCAAAATACTGAAATGGAAAATAGATTTTATAAAATATTTCATAAGTAGTTGGAAAATTCACAATTAGAGCAATTTATAACATTAATACAGTTCTAATCTCTCAAGTTCTGATATTTGCAATAACACCATTACAACACTTTTGTTAGATCTACATAAGTAAAATTAGAGACTAATTTCAATGTCAGAAATAATTAAGTTAAACCTACAATCATCAGCCATTTCTTATTTTCTTGACACAGTCCTAGTATGCCCAGGATGCAGACAATGATGATGAAGACGCCAACAGCAATGAGCAGGTATGACGCAGCCCCAAACAGGCTGTCCCCAATGACGTGAGATACATAGATCTTAGCCACAGCACTCCATATGCCAACAGCCGCTAGTGCTATACCCACCAGCTGTAACCAACAAAAATTGGCAAATGCATTTCAAATGGTGTTTTAAGTCAAACTTATTTTAAACTAAGCATGTGTTCTTAAGTTTTTAAATTCAGTTTATACCAATCATAGTTAAATATTTAATTAATTTTATTTATAATGATTTTCAAACTCTAAAACATAATCAAACAAAAAAATCTTAATAACATTTAGTCAGGTAGGTAGGCCTATACTGCCACAAACTACAACTAGAATTTACTGTTATGCCAGTAATCATCATGGGATAGCTGTAATCTTTCAACTACAATTGACTGCTGTTTGCACACAGGCTTAATGAATGTATCCCAATATTTATAACTGTAACATTGGGCTCAATTCAATAACAAGTGGGAGATACTTACTATAAAAAAAATGTTGAAGATAAACAAGAGTATTTTGAAGCAATTCATGATGTTACAGCATGCACTAGGGGGCTCCTATAGAACAAAAAAGTATTCATTAGGCTGTGATTACAAAGAAGTTTAGGGGTAATGCTCATATTATATAAAATAAAAATAGGACATTATTTATCTATCATATACTATATAAAAAAGGATAGAAAAGATCTGGGAAAAGCTGAAAAGAGTGTTAGGAAATGTGGGGGAGCTCTAATTGAGGCCCTATGTTCCTCAGTTCAAGCTCTCCACAGTCTTGTATGTTTCTCTAGTAATAAAAAGAATTACGATGATATAAAAATTATACAATCACTTGTATATTTAATACAACATTTCTAAAAATCTATACAACACACAATGTATTTTTTTTAAAAACATTTGTACAATAAAATTTTAACTTAGAGCATTTTATATAAAAACTCTCCTAATAAGTAACTAAATATTAATTATTAATTTTACTAGTCTACATGAGCCACATTGGGCTATATAGGTAGATATGTAATCAAGAGAACTTTATTCAATAAAGAATGAATGTAACTATACTGGATAGATTAATTTATCATTCTTCTATAGTTTCAACGTTTAAAAATTATTGACAGAATATTTTTGGTATTAGTTCAAAGGGCAATGTCCATTACTTATTAAACTTTATAGTAAATGGTGGGTTGTGTTAAAATATTCCATCTGAACACAGCTTTTACAAAACACAAAGTTTGAAACCTAAGGTCAGATCTGATGGAATCTTACATATATGTTCGTGCTATTTTATGACAAAAAGTGTCCAGAGATTCAGAAGGAAGAAATGTTGACAGGTGAACTACTGTCAAATCAATTAACACTCATACATATCATTGAAATCAATTAACCCTCATTATACCTCACTGAAATCAATTAACCCTCATACATCTCATTGAAATCAATTAACCCTCATATATCTCATTGAAATCAATTAACCCTCATATATCTCATTGAAATCAATTAGCCCACAATATATTCAGTGTAATCATCAATTAGTCCACAATATATTCAGTGTAATCATCAATTAGTCCACAATATATTCAATGTAATCATCAATTAGCCCACAATATATTCAGTGTAAGCATCAATTAGCCCACAATATATTCAGTGTAATCATCAATTAGTCCACAATATATTCAGTGTAATCATCAATTAGCCCACAATATATTCAGTGTAATCATCAATTAGCCCACAATATATTCAGTGTAATCAACAATTAGCCCACAATATATTCAGTGTAATCATCAATTAGCCCACAATATATTCAGTGTAATCATCAATTAACTCTGAATATATCTCACAGAGATCACATGTGAAGCATTGCATTTTGGGATGACGCTAGTTAGGTTAGAAATCAAGTAGATGGTAGAATCAGACTGTAGGTTAGTTAGTTAAACAGACCAATGGAAACACAGGAGCTGACCAGTCACATGGGACGGTCAGCTGACCACTGAAGCGTGGGGGAGAAAACAGATGGTGATAGGTACCGATAGAGAATGGCCAGAGAAATGTAGAGTTAGGTAGAAAGTTAGAGGTAGATGTTAGGATTGGTCATGGGAGTGCATAGTTAGTAGTATTAGTAGACAGCATATAGTATAGACTAGTTAGGCAGAAGTAGAACAATTGATTTGTGTAAATAAAGAACATATCTTGAATTGGACTTGTGTGTGGTGATTACACAAAACTATACAATACCGGGTTTGCATATTCATCACCCGCACCCGCACAATCTACCTTTTTCTTTTGGACTGCAGGGTCCACTGTACTGATGTCCATCTCTCTATGAGAATTTTTCTGATGTGACATTATCACACTGGTTATGTGACACTCAAGCACCTAATAAGTTAACAAACTCTATTGGCCCTAGGGAGACCATTCTCATTACACTGACAGTTTCTAACTAGTAATAACTGCATTGCTTTCACAAATGATAATGTGTTCCAGATTATCCACAAAGAAATGATTGGCTATTGTTTATTCAACTTCAATATATTTAATTCCAGTAGATCACACTTTAGAAACTGGACACACAACAACAGATGAAGCATAAGTTACAACATCTACAACCAACTATACAACTATACTCAGCTACAAGAACTACAACAAACTATAGCCTCACAAAACTTGCCATTTCCTTATTACATTTTCCACCAATCAGAAAGCAAGCCAAAAACTCAATGACACCATAAAGCAATAAACCAGATGACAGCAAGAGTTGTCTAATGCTACCACATTGATCATACACTGGATATAGGCTGTTTGGGTTTGGTGTGCCTAACACACACAGAATAACAAAAGGCTGTTTGGCTTTGGTGCGCCTAATACAAACAGAATGATAACTGATTACATAAGTTGTTTGAGTTTGGTGTGTCTAACACAAAGGACATGAAAATAGCTGATTTATGGTATTCTTCAGCTGTGTTGTTTTTCTGAACTTGATTTTAAACTTACGTTATGAAAAATCAATAATTGCACACAAAAAATATGGACAGGACTTGTATTTTTTAATGAATCAAATACTAATAGTATTATTGATTTCAGTTGATCTGACCAGTTCACAAACTCTGTAGTTAACTTTTGAAAAAACAAAATAAAACTATTTTCAAACATGTTTTGGAAAAATCCTTTGCGATTTAAAAAAAAAAAAATACCCCAACCGAATTAGAACAGGTAAGTTTCATTGTTAGAAGGTGATTGAAAAAATTTCTCTATTGCCTGTAAGCAAAATGAGTGAATGTAGGTCACTGCCATTACTGTCAGACCTCCACATTACACCACATGTCTAGATGGTCTAAATTTAGAAATTTCAGTTTACATTCACAACTTTGTAAAGCCAAATTATTCAAGCAGAAAAAAATTATCCATTCAGTTATACTACTTTTATACAGAGGTTAGTGAACTTAAGGGAGATCACTCTACTTAATGTTACATTTACTAACCCTTTAGTGCCAGACTGACAAGATTATCAAGAGGAGCTCAACAGGAAAACAACCCATATCTTATTTGGGTTCTGACTAATAACAAATGTAACAGTTGGAAAGAGTAAAAACTATCTATTGTAAAGTAATGATGTTAATTTTGAAAATTAAATTTTAAAAGGTTTACAAGTAGTAGCTTTTTTTGGTTAAAAAACAAAGTTTTTAAAAGGTGGCATTGCACTGCTGTAATCCCAAAGATTTAGAAATTAAATTTTTTAAATTAAAAAAAAATCTATTTTATAGGATTTTGTAATGATGTGTGATAAGGGTGGGGGGGGGGGGGGGGGGGAATGATCAGTCACAATTTTGCATTATAAAAAGTAATTGTTAGAAACTGAATTTTAACTATTTCACATTTTAGAAAACTGTATAACTAAATTGTAACAAAAAAGTTGATTTAAATACCCTACATTGAAAAAGATCAGTCTATATTTTAGAAAAAAGATTTATGTTTTAAAAAAAATATCCAGCTGCAATTTTGAGGGGGGGGGGGGGGGGGTTGTAGGCTGATGTATGAAGTTATTTTAAGGAGGGTGGGGGTTGGCTTTTTGTAACAATGTGTGACTGAAGGGGGAGGTAAAATCATTTTAAAAAATCATGACATCATATATGGATGACCCCTAAATAGTAAACAACTAACCATAATTAGCACTTCCAGCACTAAAAGTTCTCCTAGCTTCAACCATATTAATTATTTCCTACCAACAACATAAAAACATTATTTATTGGAAATAAATGTTAGGATAGAGAAAGAAAAATTATTCCTATTTTACAATGTTTTCTTTCCTTGAAGCTTCTAAAGCAGGATATATATTCTGTCACACTAAATTTTTAGTTCAATAGCTGGAGGCTTGACTAATTACTTCAGCAAACTACGACTAGCTACTAGTAGTAAGTAGCTTTAGGAATTTTGGACTGTCTTGTCTTAGGGGTCATCCATGACGTCAAGCTTTTTTTGACGATTTTTACCTCCCCCCTCCCCTCCGTCACACGTCATCACAAAAAGCCAGACCCCCCCCCCCCTAAAATGACGCCACACCTCAACCTACAACCCCCCTCAAAATTGCAGTTGAATTTTTTTAAAACATCAATATTTTTCCAAAATCTTGTCTAAACTATTTCAATTTATTAAAACAATTACAATTTACTAAAACGCGAAATAACGTCTAAAATTCGTTTTCTAACACTGCTTTTTTATAATGCAAAAATGTGACGTCGCAACATCTGAACCCCCCCCCCCCCACATCGTCACAAAATTACGGACCCCCCTCCCCCCTACGAGTTAGGCGTCATTTATGGATGACCCACGTAGTCTAAATAGCCTACCTAGAGGGAAGTAGTAGTTGTAGTGTAGCACTAACTAGTCTATAATTTTAGAATATAATTTGTATTAGGCCCTATATAAATGTTTAATGGGCCTTGGCCTGTATACACCTCAGGTGTCACCCCCCTCCCCCCTACATAGGCCTATGTATAGTTGCAATTGGTATCAATGCCCTCCCATTTTTAGCCTGATGTCGTCAATTTGTGCACACGTTACATTAATTCAACAATTAATTCATGTGGAATAAATTATTAGATTTTGGTGACGCCCCCTCAATGTTTATTGACTTATCAGTTATTCAAAATACTCAACAAAACCTTTTTTACTCTGTAAATTTTGCAGTTGGCATCCCCCCCCCCCCCGTCTGATACTAGTTACAGTTTTAAAGTGTGCACAGTCGGTAGTAATATAGTTTATCTAGCCTATAGTCAGTAAGTAATTAATACAGCTGGATGTAGCAATGTACCAATGTTTTCTCTTTAGTTAGCAGGTTTATGTCATGGTAGTTTACTTTATAGCTTGGTTAATGTAATGGTTAGGGCCTATGGCCCCTAGCTATTGATTTTAATAGTATCAGCTTATAAGTTATATTGTAGGCCCTATAGGACAATAAGTAGAAAGGTCTAGCCTATCTAAAGACATATAGACATACAGTGGCGTAGCCAGGATCGTCTCAAGGGGGGGGTCCAATTTTTACCCGGGGACAAACTTTCGATTTGCACCCCCCCCCCCCTCAAACTTTCGATTTGCACCCTCCCTCAAACTTTCAATTTGCACCCCCCCCCCCCTCAAACTTTCGATTTGCACCCCCCCCCCCCTCAAACTTTCGATTTGCACCCCCCCTCATACTTTTTATATATACCGAGGGGTCTATGGGGGGGGTTATGACCCCCCCCCTAACCCCCCCTGCCTACGCCACTGTAGACATAGTATAGGCCTAGAATAATTAATTAGGCCTATTGCTAGGCTATAGGCCTATATATTATATATATAGACCTAATACCATAGGTCTATAGTATAGGCATACTTTACTATAGGTCTGTATTATTATTAACAGGCCTAGATCTAGGCCTATAATAATATATTTAAATATATATATTATATAATCTCTACTACATAGAGTGTACTAGTAGGGCATCGCATTTCTATAGGCCTAACACTAACAAATGTAACAATAATTAATAATTGTGAATGCAATTCATTATTATTAGTATGTAGGTATGCTGTATATTGTATTTTTAAAGTAATAAATGTGTGTAGATTTATGATTTAAAAACAGATAATTAGCATTAGCTTTAACATCGTAATTTAAATTGTACTTACACACCTGTTCTTTTCTTTTTCTCACCTGCAAGAAAGGCAGCTAACTCTCGAACGTAGGTGATTAGAAATAATTTTCAAAACGCGGAAGTAACCGATTCAAACGATAAACTAATGGATGCCAAAAAGCGTCACCCCTCCATCCTATAGCCCCATCCTTTAGTCTTAACATCTCCCATTCGACCCCTCCCGCCTTCATACAGAAAAAAGTTTTGTTTCTATTCAAGTGCCCTTTAAAGTAAAAGTAGGCCACATGCATATAATCTACTGTGGCGGGGGAGGGAGTGGTCAAGGATGTAGCTGTGACACTGAGCTACGGGAGGTAATCCCGTCTTGTCGAAAAGATCGATCGTCACTCTAATTGATGACTAACACCGTTAGTCAGTTCTCACGTGTAGAATTTCTTCGGGGGGGGGGGGGGGGGGGGGGCGGTGCCCCCGAAGAGATGCCTGGAAGAAACTCTGTACGCACCTCATGTTATAGGAGACACATGACTAACATATTTTACACACTCGTGTACACATCAGAGGGGTAGCTAGGAGACGAAGGGAGGGGCAGCTACACTAGGAGCCTACCTTAGGGGGCGCCAAACACGTAGTAAAAAATGAGGTGCTTTAAGAGCTGCATTACTGAATTATACACAGTCGAAGAAAATAGACTGCTACTTGGCTTTCAGACCTATTTAACTGTTTTCAACATCAATTGATTGTGTGTCATTAAAATTTAAACTGTGAAGGGACAGCTATTGGGAAAAAATAATGTCCCCGACCTTTCCCAAGGAAGAGGGGGGGGGGGGGAAGCAAAATGGATGGTTCGCTCCGGGCCGGAATTGGCCTCTACGCCTCTGGCGCCTCTGTTTAATGCTGTCACTCAGAATTCGCGGGGACCCCACCGGGTGACAACATTTAGGGGGAGGGGGTGACACCAAGAAAAAAATGCAAAATAAATATGATAAATATGTATTTTGCCAGTTCAGTGAACGATTAAGTAGAGCTAGAAAGTATTTTAGGTACATAATGACGATCCCGACAAGGAAGGAGGGTGGAGGGGGCGGGTGACACCATGACGTAAACATGCAAGCTATAGAGAAAAACAAATTTAACAATGCTACACCAAGCTGCATTAACAACCGATTATAGATAAACATTATTAGTATTAAATGTGAATACTTTAAAGCTCTTACCGGGGGGGGGGGAGGGTGACACCAACTGCAAACTTTAGGTGACACTGTGAGGCGCCGCACCGGGTGACACCCGACAGTATCTCGCCTATACGTCACTGATGAGTACCATTCATAAGGAAGGTTTACATAACTAACGAATACTCAGTCTAGAGGTGACCAAACTTGATCTTCTCGGTCAAGGGATATTGTGGTCAACACCATGCAGGCATCCATCAGAGATTGCTGGACTCGAAGATGCCCTACAGACTCAAGCCCAGTATCGGAGCTCGAGATTTTCGGGTAAGTTTCACTGTCTACCATATGACCACACAGTAATTTAGGTAGCACGGCAGAATATAGTCAGGTTGTAGATCTTTACTTCTGGACTGTAGGCCTATTCTGAGCATATATAATTTATAAAAGTTAGTTTACTAATGGTGTTGAATTAAAAGGGCGATAACCGGTATAATCAAATCTCAGTGTATAGGATAGGTGCATGGTTCTTGCCCTTAAAATTGATTCTTTTTTTAGAGCAAACAATTTTTTTTTTACGGTAGGGCGTATAGAGTCGGTAACTTGACTGTGTAATGGCAATCACCAGAGTTTGCCCCCTCCCCCCGGAAAATGTTGCCCCCCCCCTGAAAATATCAAGTGCTCCCCCCCCCCCCCCACCGGAGAAAAAAAGTCTGGAATAAACATCGGTAATCATGATAATTGATATTATGTGCATGTATATAAACAAATACGCGTTTTGGTTGAAGAATATTTGTTATGTCCCATTGTAATACATGCGTCCAGTGTTTCTTCCAGACTTTTTTCTCCGGGGGGGGGGGGGCATTTGAAATTTTCGGGGGGGGGGGGGGGCGGTAGACTTTCTTCGGGGGGGGGAGGGGGCGGACACTGTTGAAAGTATATATTTTCTATATAAATTATATAAATTTCATTTCGTTCGGGGGGGGGGGGGGGGGGCGGTAAAAGAGATGCCTGGAAGAAACTCTGCATGCGTCTGCATTTGTTCTTGTGTCTCACGCCTATCGTTCGTTGTCTTCATCATTGTCCCGCCCCTCCCACTAAGAGTTGCCTGATTGGAAGTCTGGTGAATAGATCGATGTCAAACTCAACTACGTTCAGATTGTTAGGTGTATATACAATTTATTAAAAATAAAATACTATGCTACACTTTAAAAAAAACATTAATTTTAATAGAAATTTAAATTCATTTCAAACCATGATTTTAAAAATTAGGTCTAGATCTAATTATTAAGTTAAGTAAAAATTTCAGACGACATTGGCATTTTTTAATGTAAGGGAGACTACTACAATTAATAATTAGCAAAAGTTTCGGAACACTCAAATTTAAAATAAGTTAGGATCAGTGTCATTAGTTTTTTTCCCATTAGGCTTTTGTTGTTATCAGGCCTACGCCATTTAGACTATTGCAAGTAATAAAATAATTACGCTTAATTGTAATTCTTCATAATGTAGATCTAGAATCTAGATATTCTAAGTGTTTTCTATTTTATTGCTCTTGGAAAAATCTCGGAAGCAACACTTCTCTAGTTCTCCAACTTTATTATTAATATTCGTAACGGTTGCGCAGTCTTGTCTGACTCACAAAGACTTGACAAAGACAGGTAACAATGAATAGTGAATACAATACATTTCACTTGATTTTTCTTTTACGTTTCAAGTCTTTTCATCGATTAATTATATGCAAAATTTGAAGCCATTCTAGAATCTAGATCTAGATTTCTTTGATTCATTCATTGATTTCTTTGTAAAATATTTGGAAATCTACCGGTAAACCTCCATTTTAGCCTATTTTATTTCTCCGCTGCTTGTTTACCTCCAGTTGAGCGTATTTTATTATAACAACCGAAACACACCAAAACATTAGGAACACACGATTCATTTATTTGTATTGTATTTTTGTTTTAACAAATTAATAAAAATGAATAAAAAAACAAAGAGACTGACTTTGTTTTAGATTTTGATAATTTAGTTTTGTTAAAACTTGAGAAAAATCAAAATTTAGAATATTGAATGTGCAACGTTCGTGTGTCAGAATTTTCATGGCAATGGGTGAAGTACGTAAACGTAACTCACAATTACAAGGCGGTTAAGTTTGTATTGTTACAAGTATCTCCCAGGCATGATACTATAAATAAACATTAATGAACTTACAATGACCCCAAAACTGAGGCCAACACAATTTCAAACAGCTATTGCCCGAGCTATGATGTATGCTGATAATTTTTTTATTAAAGTCAATGTGAACTCACGGTGAACCCGCGACCGTGTAAGGATTTTTCTCCCGCTGATGATCACACGATATTTAATTGGAACAGTTCTTAAAATCTAATGCTTTTTTTGTTTTTTTACCTTTTCTAATAAAAAATCGCATTATAAAAAAAAGGATAAGTAGATCGGTGTTTTCCTAACGTTTTTGTGTGTTTCGGTTGTGTTTATAATAAAATACGCTGAACTGGAGGTGAATGTCAAGCGGGGAATAAAATACGCTAAAATGGAGTTTTACCAATCTACCTAGATCTAGATCTACCTAGATCTAGATCTAGGGGTCTAGAATCTAGATTTTCTAGATCTAGATCTAGATTCCAGCTCTGGTGACATTGAGCACAAATGAGAATGACACTGGTTAAAAGCAACTCATTACTAATCTATATTTTATACCTAAAAACAGGCAAATTCTTGAAATTGTATGTGGTGTTTCACTGTTTTCAACGGTTTAGCAATGGACATAAAGAACTATTTATTAAGCAAGAAACCTAGACGTTCAGACAGACTTTGTTACAAAGAAAAGATTCTTCAGGGGTGCACAAAGAAACTTGAGACTTTGCATACATATCCATTAGGATACTTTGATCTTATTCCACTTGAGCTGAGATTCAACATTTTTCAGTATTTGACAAGTAAGTCGGAACGATAGTATTATCCTAAAATTGGCTCCATTAAAAGTGTTACATATTTTAAAACAGAGAAATAAGGAAAGACTGTCTGGTGTTTAATTCATTTAACATACGTGCCATAGTCTTGTAGATATGCATCATACAGGTCAGTAAAAGTGATTAATTTTACTTTCAGTATAGCTCAGTGTAAGTTTTCCAGAGTCACTGTGCTTAGATTAAATTTGTCAGAGGGAACTAAGAAACCTTACATTTAGTGGGAGCGGTGGGTGAATTATAAGAAGCAACTGAAGAGACTCAAGTACATTTTAAAACAGACGGCAAACAACAATAACAGATAATGAAGATCAAGCATCAGGAAAAAAAAGTAACAGCTCCCATTAGCAGATAACAAAAATAATTTATTGGAGAAACCAGCCCTAAACATATAGTAACATCCCTGTATAGAACTAACCATGGCCCCAAGGAGCAATCAAACACTTTCAGTGGCTGTTGGAACTTCAGAAAATAAAAATAAATTGTAACAATACAAGAAGTGTAAATATTCTGTAGCAGGACAAATCATAAAAAGTATTTGAAACTATTCTATGGGTGTTAGCATATTCACAAGGATTTTTCATTAGACACTTCCTTAGAGACTAGATAGACTGTGTTTTTTTTTTATTTGACTACAGTAATAATATTTCTTGGGTTTCTTAGTGGAGGAATATTACCTGAATTGTAACCTGACTGAAATAAGATGTATGTTGATTAAAGTTTATGCTAGTAAATATTAAAATACTAACAAATGGACAATATTGAGTTGTTAATTTTGCTTGTATCAAATTATTGGTGATAAAAAATAAATCTGGCATTATTGTTATATTATTATCTTTGACAGTTGAAGATCTGAGCATGTTAACCATATCATCCAAAGCAATGAGAAATTTGATTGAAGGGTACAGAGTTACAAGATTTTCAGGTCCTCATTCTATTTCATACAAAGATATACATGTGTTTTTGTCTTCAGACCAACAGACAGAAATGATGAGCAAATACCATAAACTTGGTAATTTCCTTTCAATGAATATAAAACTGATATTTTTTATTGAAATATTGTATTTTATTGCTTTAAAAACACCAAAGTTACATTTAATTTTTATTTTCTGTTTTTGTGTTTACATCTTTACTTGCATACTAATATTTTTCACTGTTGTGATGATATGTGAACTTTGCACTGTTTGCAAACATAAAATGTTTATTAAAAGCATTAGTTTGATTAATGCCCACAATTTATCTGCAAAAAATAGGATTGTTAATGAAAAGATCAACATGTCTTTATGCAACTAAAGATAGATTGAAGATTATCAATGAATTTTTAACTAGGGTGAGTAACTGGATTTTCTGAAATAAAATAAGCCTTCAGTTTTTAAATTTTCAGAAGGCATTTCAGAAGTAATTTCATTGTGTCATCTTAAAAAAAAGACAGTTGTTAAAAATGTTTGAAAATTCAAATATATAATTTCTCTAAATTGATCTCTAGGTTGCCTGTTGTAACACAGATATGTGTAAAGACCCATCCAGATGTCTTGCCTTGATGTGTTTTGGTAAATTTTTTCACACTGTTATCGCTGGCTGGGATGACAGTGAATGCCAAAGAGCATTTGATGCAGTCTGTCAGCACATGTTCATGCCTAAGTTTATAAAGACTGTTGTGGCAAGCAAACCAGGTAGCTCAATAAGAAGTAATTTTTCAAATTTATTTAGTTATAGAAAATTTATTATTTCCACAGCAATGGAAATAATACTATGACATTCAGTTAATTTCTTTAGTTTTGAATCAACATTGAATAATCCCATAGTTAAAATGATTTAGTAAAAGAATGATTAAAAAAAAAACTGTGTTCTCAATTAGGTTCACATGGTCAGCTTGAGAGTAGAGTTCGACAGTTCTTCAGGCGCATTTTCTTGGACCCCTGTACAACAGTATCAGATAAAGCCTTTTGGATTAGTCGAATTTTAAAGCCATGGCCAATTGTGTTTCAGGCAAGATTGTTGTACATACTCTACTCTGGACACTTCACAGGTAATAAGCATATTCTTTTCTAAACTTGACTAATTAGTTGGTTATTGCATAGATTATTTTTGTATTTGTGCCCAAGTGTTTCCTTAAAAAGTCTCAAGTTTTTAAATAATGAATTCTAACAGAAATATTTTACTATTGATTATTAAAGGTGGTGAAATACAGTGGCATGAAATGAGTGAGCTAACACCTGTTGATAATGAACATTCAACTGTATTCTTCAGTAGCATTTCAAGTATTTTGCAGATCCTTCACCTGCATAGTACAGAATGGTCTAGTGATGAAATTATATGCATCATTGATGAAATGACAAGTAAATTCACATCTTCTTTTTGTCTTTAGCTGTTAACATGTTTTAACACCCAAAGTTAACATAAAGCACTTTTTTTTTTCTGTAAGCATTGTTATTTCAGTGGTTATTTCTTCAAGCTGCATTTTTCTGAATTAGTTATAGATTTATTTTGTGTATTACATAAGAAATAAGCTAGAACACAATTCATATTATTTTTCTTAATACATGGATATAGATTTATTCATGACTATTTATCTTCAGGTACACCTGAAGATTGGTTAGTTGAAAATATTGCTGGCTTACTGCTAGCATGTGGGGAATGTATTGCCACTAAAATGTTGGCCAGCAAAGCAATAAATGGCAGATATGTTGAACTGGCTAGCATTATTACTTCCTTATGCCTTGTAAGTAACAGTTTCAGCTTTTATTTTTTAAAACTGAGTTTTGTATTCCATGATTTAGTTAAACACTTGAAAAGAAATTTAAGTACACAAATAGTAATATTTGGTGTTTCTTGACTAGGTTTGTGTGAAACACAATTACAACTTGACTCAAGTCATGACAATGTTGGACTGTATTATAAGTGTGATAGAAAACCCAAGAGACAAACTTGTACTGCTCAACAGGATCCTTGATACATTTAAGGAGCTTGTGTTGGACACACATGAGTTCACTGATTCAGGTAGAAACATTATTATTTAGATGTTTTCAATTTTCATTTGTTGGACTTAAGGCTTTTATACTAATGATAATGTGAATTTGACTTTGTTTTATTCCTGATAACACAGTTTTCTTTCATACTGATAAACATATAATACAAAAATGTTGGTCTATTAGGTCCATATAACCTAACCACTAGTAATTACATTTACTAATGCAAGGTTGTTATGTTAATAAGAAAACTTACCCATCATTCTGATTGTGAAAATCTTATTGCTGCAGTAAATTTTATGTCAGTTTACCACAATAACTGCTATTCTTCATGAGTGCTTTGGATTGATGTTCTTCATTTACAATGCTAAGTGAAAAACTCATATCTCTATCAGTTTTCTGAAAAATTATACATTCAAGTATTGTGTATTAAAGTAGCTTTCAGTGGAAAAAGAAAGTACTGTATTTAGGACTGAAACTCCATTCAGACTAGTCCAATAAAACCTCATTCTGACTGTAAGAGTTAAGCTAAACAAGTGCAAGAAATGCATTAGCAATTATTTTAATGTTAAAAAATATTTCAAAGCAATATATTAAAATTTAATTGAATCATAACTGATGCAATCAAGCCTGCATTTTATTTTGTTTATTCTTTTCATTTTTAATTTAGACCGCATTATTAAATTGTGCCTTCTTTCCTTCCTTCCCTGAAATGTTTTTCAGATGATGCCAACGACAATGAATTTTTCTACCATGTGTCTGCATTGACAGAATTTACAAAGAAACTGGCCCAGCTTGCATATAAACATGTCATACCCCATTAACAGTCTTGGTAACTCATTATTTTTTTTTTCTGTTTGAATGGTAAAAAGTTCATATTAAAAAACCCAACATAATTTTTAAATGAGCATTTAACTAACAAGCCATTTTTCTGTATCAATGGGGACTTCAGTTCTTTTGTTCAGTGTTTAATTTATTGAATGGCCTTAAAAATACATCTTCTCATGACCATTACATTTTTGTGAACAAACATGATTTTATCATTTGTTATTGTTATTGATTATACAAAACAATATTAGTAATATTAATGTTTTTATTATTTTCTTTTTGTAAAATAACTATTTTTGTGAGCCTAGTAAGTTAAGAGAAATTTGTGTTATGTTTGTACAGATAGAAATTTGTGTTAAAAGGTTCATATCTTATTGTAGTTCTTTTATTTATTACTTATCAAAGGTTTTAGCTAATTAGTTTTTCTCATTTTATCATGATTTTAATTTATTCCTAATATATACATGTGCAGTTACTAAAGTTAAAAGTAAGAACGTTTTTTGATAAAAATCATCCATTTTGAATCATGAATTTAAATACAATTATGCTAGGAATATGTTACTTTTTCATTAAAATACTAATTTTAAGACATAACAATACATTTTAAAAATCAGTATGTAATTTCTGGTAATAATTAAATAATGTAGTGGGTTTGAGGATAAACTAGGAAACTAGGTTGCTTGTAAAATATTCATGATAGCCAAGAGCTGAAGATGTTGGTTGATTTTACACCAGTTTTTCCCTTAATTGTCCCAGAACTGTGATAACAAAAAGTTTATCTTAATCAAATTGTTGTAGTAGATCTGTGATATTTTGTTTATATTAATTATGTAAAATAAAAACTTCAGTAAAAAGTTCTTGTCTCTCTAGACAAATGCAACTTTTATAGCTATGGCAGTTGCATGAATCACAAGGCTGTCAGTGAACTTTAGATCATTAACTACTTCTCCAATTTTTTTTTTTAAATTTAAAATTAGGTTTTATTGCTTAGTATGTGCTTCAAGTATTGTTCATTTTTTATACGTAACAAGTTTTTGTTCAATCTGCCTAACACTTGCTACCTGTTTGAATTTGTGATTAGTTTCTCAGGAGGTTGTTTATATTTAATACCCACAGAATCACCATTTGTTTCATGTTTAGTGTATAAAGTTGTTGTTGCTTCAAAATGTTTCAATAAAATTTTCTTTTATATTTGATGTTTTTCTTTTTTCATTTTACCTTTTGTTTAATATAAACAGTTGAAAATTGACCAACGTATGTATTTAATTTCATTATATTTCAACTTATATTTAATTAATAGAAGAATGTAAACAGACTAAACACATTCTAGTGTAGTCTCAGTTGTGCAGCTTTTTATAACATTTTCTTAACATACTGTATTAAATATACAACTAGTTTTCTTTATAAAACAAAAAATATTTTGAACAAAAACTAAAGGCCTACTGTTGATAAATATTTTTGTAGTTTGTTTTAAAAAAAGTATCTATAGAAATGAGAATTTCAAACAGAAAACTACTAGCCAGAAATATAGAAATATTAAACAGGAAATTAATAAAGGCAATTTTAAACCAAAATAAGAGTTAAGTTCTTTAAAACAAACGAGCTTGAAAAGAGTAAAGTGAAACTTTATTGTAACATTGCAGCAGTATAGAAAATTTGGTAAAACAACTGTCTTCATTTATAAAAGACAAAACATTTTGGATCTGTGTTAGCTAATCAGAGAAGGTCAGTGACCTGTCTCAGAATGGGTACTTTTAACATGAAGATAAGTAACTAAATCTATACAAAGTGGGTTATATTTAGAAACCATTTAGCTACAATCTATACTATAAAAGTAACTTTTTACTAAAACAAAAAAAACACTGTGTTACAAATGTTATAAAAAATTGTTCAGAAACCCATCACTGGTAAAAAAAACCCCATTGAATATAGATCATAGTCATAGATCTTTGTCAAAATATTTAATAAAAAATAGCATCCTAAATTTGAAATGATATTTTATAAAGACCATTAATATAACTTTTTGCTGCTTTATTTATTAAGTCTTTAAAAATAATTAAAGATGACAAGATTAAAGTGCTAAAAGCTAAAACATATTTATATTGTTAATTATAAATTAGGCTTTTGGCATATTTTATTTGCAATAATTTTAAAATGTTAAAGAACTTTTAATATGAGAAGAAATAAAACAATATAAATCAAGATAATTAAATGTACCCCTGTCTATTTAATCAAGATAATTACATGTACACCTGTCTAGTGTTCTGTTTTCAGCTCTAGCTAAAAGGTGAATTCAGGTGCTTTAGATGTGTACCATTAACTGGGTTTAAAAGATAATTTGTAAAAGTTCCTGTTTGCTATTACAGATATAAATCCTCTTAAATACAACATTGATTGGCCCTAAACAACATGTATACAAACTGGTCAAATTTGTTTGTGCATTTATCATTTTAACTTATCTGTAATGTGTTAACTTATCTGTAATATGTTAACTTTAATATGTTAATTTATCTGTAATATTTGTAACAAAACGTCAAACAACCTTCACACCCCAAGTTTAGGCTTTTATTTGTTATTCCAATACTTTTCTGCTTTCTTACCAGCCTGCTCTTAATGATGTATAAGATAACTCTACATCTTGTCTTGTGTTTCTAGTGATGTGATCTCAAATATCATGCAGTTGAAGCAATGGCCAAATTGTTGTCAATGTTATCTTTTATGTAGACACAAAGAACGCACTAACGAAATATGCAAGCTTTAGCAAGGAAAATTTACAATAAATATGAGAGGAGTATTCGACTGTAACTAAACTTTGTTAGAATGTATTAATAAAAACGTGTCCAAAGTTAAATATTTAATTTACACAGAAGTAGCCCTGAATTATTCGTATCTTAAAATAAGGGGAGTCCAAAAATGATAACACACAACAGGTGTGAGAGGGGGGGGGCATTGGAGATGTTTTACATTCAATAAATTTGACCAACACATTTTATATACAGACAGTTACGTTACTTTTTGAATGTTACGTCTTTTTATTGGGAACGGTGTCTGGCTTTTTGTGACTATAGAGAGACGTGGGGTTAAAATTGGCTCATTTATGGACGACTTCTAGTTTTTATCACAGATCTGAAAATATACATTTTGACCTTTTAAAACTAAATTTTGAATTAAATAAAGAATAACAACAACTTGGCCTGCCGTGTCGAAAAAATCAGGCATATGACGAGTCGTAGCGTGTGGCCACCTGCTGGACGGGTGGTAATGGCGGGAATTTGTACGGCTCCCTGGGCGTGTAGAAGCTGCTGCTTGGGGTGCTGAACTCGCCGATGGGGTTGTCGTAGTACTGGTTCTTTGTCTCGCTCTCCTTCTCCACAATGTGAGCCTCCTTGTTCTTACCCCTCTCCCTGTGTCAGGTGGGGAGGTTACATTAGATCACGTTTACACACGGCGTACATTGGATAGCCATTTCAAACAAGACTTATTTATTTAAAAAATAGTATCGTGAATATGAAAGGATATTTGGTAAAGACTAGCTTTGGTGATTATCATTTTAATTTTTAAAAATGTTTCTAGCAAGGGCGTTCACATCAATCTCTTCAGCCTTGCAAGATATTTAAGGCCTATGTGCATTTTCAACTTGGGTTGTAGTCTACCGTGGACCAAACGTTACAAAAGAATAAACCTGCGATTGTGACACCACTGAAACACCACATATATGATCATACCTGCAGCTGTAACACCACCAAAAGTGCACCTCTAAGAACATACCTGCAGCTATCACCACCAAAAAACCACCTCTAAGAACATACCTGCAGCTAACCCCACCAAAAGACCACCCCAAAGAACATACCTGCAGCTGTAACACCACCAAAAGACCACCCCTAAGAACATACCTGCAGCTGTAACACCACCTAAAGATCACCCCTAAGAACATAGCTGCAGCCGTAACACCACCAAAAGACCACCCCTAAGAACATACCTGTAGCTGTAACACCACCAAAAGACCACCCCTAAGCACATACCTGCAGCTAACACCACCAAAAGACCACCCCAAAGAACATACCTGCAGCTGTAACACCACCAAAAGACCACCCCTAAGAACATACCTGTAGCTGTAACACCACCAAAAGACCACCCCTAAGAACATACCTGCAGCTAACACCACCAAAAGACCACCCCTAAAAACATACCTGCAGCTGAAACACCACCAAAAGACCACCCCTAAGAACATACCTGCAGCTGTAACACCACCAAAAGACCACCCCTAAGAACATACCTGCAGCTAACACCACCAAAAGACCACCCCTAAGAACAAATCTGCAGCTAACACCACCAACAGACCACCCCTAAGAACATACCTGCAGCTGTAACACCACCAACAGACCACCCCTAAGAACATACCTGCAGCTAACCCCACTAAAAGACCACCCCTAAGAACATACCTGCAGCTGTAACACCACCAAAAGACCACCCCTAAGAACATACCTGCAGCCGTAACACCACCAAAAGACCACCCCTAAGAACATACCTGCAGCTAACACCACCAAAAGACCACCCCTAAAAACATACCTGCAGCTGTAACACCACCAAAAGACCACCCCTAAGAACATACCTGCAGCTGTAACACCACCAAAAGACCACCCCTAAGAACATACCTGCAGCTAACACCACCAAAAGACCACCCCTAAGAACATACCTGCAGCTGTAACACCACCAACAGACCACCCCTAAGAACATACCTGCAGCTAACACCACCAAAAGACCACCCCTAAGAACATACCTGCAGCTGTAACACCACCAAAAGACCACCCCTAAGAACATACCTGTAGCTGTAACACCACCAAAAGACCACCTCTAAGAACATACCTGCAGCTAACACCACCAAAAGACCATCCCTAAGAACATACCTGCAGCTGTAACACCACCAAAAGACCACCCCTAAGAACATACCTGCTGCTCTAACACCACCAAAAGACCAACCCTAAGAACATACCTGCAGCTCTAACACCACCAAAAGACCACCTCTAAGAACATACCTGCAGCTAACACCACCAAAAGACCACTTCTAAGAACATACCTACAGCCGTAACACCACCATAAGACCACCATACCTGCAGCTCTAACACCACCAAAAGACCACCTCTAAGAACATACCTGCAGCTGTAACACCACCAAAAGACCACCCCTAAGAACATACCTGCTGCTCTAACACCACCATAAGACCACCCCTAAAAACATACCTGCAGCTGAAACACCACCAAAAGACCACCCCTAAGAACATACCTGCAGCTGTAACACCACCAAAAGACCACCTCTAAGAACATACCTGCAGCTCTAACACCACCATAAGACCACCCCTAAAAACATACCTGCTGCTCTAACACCACCATAAGACCACCCCTAAAAACATACCTGCAGCTGAAACACCACCAAAAGACCACCCCTAAGAACATACCTGCAGCTGTAACACCACCAAAAGACCACCTCTAAGAACATACCTGCAGCTCTAACACCACCATAAGACCACCCCTAAAAACATACCTGCTGCTCTAACACCACCATAAGACCACCCCTAAAAACATACCTGCAGCTGAAACACCACCAAAAGACCACCCCTAAAAACATACCTGCAGCTGAAACACCACCAAAAGACCACCCCTAAGAACATACCTGCAGCTGTAACACCACCAAAAGACCACCATACCTGCAGCTAACACCACCAAAAGACCACCCCTAAGAACATACCTGCAGCTGTAACGCCACCAAAAGACCACCTCTAAGAACATACCTGCAGCTCTAACACCACCAAAAGACCACCCCTAAGAACATACCTGCAGCTAACCCCACCAAAAGACCACCCCTAAGAACATACCTGCAACTGAAACACCACTAAAAGACCACCCCTAAGAACATACCTGCAGCTGTAACACCACCAAAAGACCACCCCTAAGAACATACCTGCAGCTGTAACACCACCAAAAGACCACCCCTAAGAACATACCTGCAGCTAACACCACCAAAAGAACACCCCTAAGAACATACCTGCAGCTAACACCACCAAAAGACCACCCCTAAGAACATACCTGCAGCTGTAACATCACCAAAAGACCACCCCTAAGAACGTACCTGTAGCTGTAACACCACCAAAAGACCACCCCTAAGAACATACCTGCAGCTAACACCACCAAAAGACCACCCCTAAGAACAAATCTGCAGCTAACACCACCAAAAGACCACCCCTAAGAACATACCTGCAGCTCTAACACCACCAAAAGACCACCCCTAATAACATACCTGCAGCTCTAACACCACCAAAAGACCACCTCTAAGAACATACCTGCAGCTAACACCACCAAAAGACCACTTCTAAGAACATACCTACATCCGTAACACCACCATAAGACCACCCCTAAGAACATACCTGCAGCCGTAACACCACCAAAAGACCACCCCTAAGAACATACCTGCAGCTGTAACACCACCAAAAGACCACCATACCTGCAGCTAACACCACCAAAAGACCACCCCTAAGAACATACCTGCAGCTGTAACACCAAAAAAAGACCACCCCTAAGAACATACCTGCAGCTGTAACACCACCAAAAGACCACCATACCTGCAGCTAACACCACCAAAAGACCAGCCCTAAGAACATACCTGCAGCTGTCACCACCAAAAGACCACCCCTAAGAACATACCTACAGCTGTAACACCTTTCTTTGCATGACATATCGCTGTTACAGAAGCTGATGTCGTTCTTGCAACAGACGAAGATGATGGCGATGAGAGCAATCAGGCCGGCCACCACCCCCCATAGCTGCAGCTGCTCGGTGCTGAGAAAACAAAAAGTCCACAATCATGTTTATAGGTAAACCTAGATCTAAATGGTTTTAACACTCTACCATCATGCTTATCGGTAAACTTAGGTCTAAGTGCTTAAACACTATGTGACTATATAGTGGTAGACTTAGGTCTTAGTGATTATTCTAAAAAATAATTTACACACTCATGTTTATTACTGGCCTCGGTGCTAGCAGAGCCGAGAAATATTTCATGGAATTTAACAAAAAACAACATCCCGTCTGAGCTTTATAAATTCACGCCTTTAATGATGTGGTATTCCAGTAATTTTCTGTTACGCTTTGCCTTTTTTTTGGGGTCTTCCATAGAATTTTACAATACATGCCTGTTTTAAAGACTAACCCACCCCTTCATCCATAGTGCAAACAGGGCTAAAATAAATTTTATAAAATAATTTGACAACCCATTTGCATAGATCAAACCATATGGCTCGCGCCCATAAGCCCGGTCCCAATGGCAAACCACTACAGCCCTCCCCCCCCCCTCCCCCGGTCAGCAGTTAAAAAAAATCTCACAGGTTCTTGTCACTGAGGGCGATACAGCAGGCGTTGGCACCGTTCTCCACACAGCAGCGGGGCAGGGAGGCGTCGTTACAGTAGTAGACGTTCCCCTCCCTGTCCCCCACACTCTCGTCCTTGAAACATTTGGTGTTGTCGCCCAACACAGCTGAAAGGTAACAAAAATTGTATCAAATATTGGCCCACCACAACTGAAAGGAAACAAAAATTGTATCAAATATTGGCCCACCACAACTGAAAGGAAACTAAAATTGTATCAACTATTGGCCCACCACAACTGAAAGGAAACTAAAATTGTATCAACTATTGGCCCAACACAACTGAAAGGAAACAACCATTGTATCAAATATTGGCCCACCACAACTGAAAGGAAACAAAAATTATATCAAATATTGGCCCACCACAACTGAAAGGAAACAAAAATTATATCAAATATTGGCCCACCACAACTGAAAGGAAGCAAAAATTATATCAAATATTGGCCCACCACAACTGAAAGGAAACAAACATTGTATCAAATATTGGCCCATCACAACTGAAAGGAAACAAACATTATATCAAATATTGGCCCACCACAACTGAAAGGAAACAAACATTGTATCAAATATTGGCCCAACACAGCTGAAAGTTACTAAAAAAATAACTTGAAACATTTGTCAACTACTAAAATTAAACAAAATCGCTTGAAACATTTGTCAACAACTATAAGCAAACAAAATCGCTTGAAACATTTGTCCACATTTTAAAGTAAATAAAATCGCTTGAATTTGCCCACAACAACTAAAAGTAAACTTTAGTAAACGTAGCCCTCGGTGATAAAGTTGCCTACTGCTGTGGTGTTCGGGAAAATGTCACATATTTAAAACAATTGGGCTTGTAAGTTGTTAAAGTAGCTTACCAAGTTCTCGCTCCGGTAGTTGCCAGCTGGCGTTTTTTTGTTTTTTCAAACCAAATGTGAATATTTTTTATTTATTTTTTTTTTTAAGTTATGAAATCTACTTTCGTTTTTGGAATAAAAAAAACTCCGACAATAAGTTGTTTTAAGTAAATTAAGTTTAAAATAACACACACACACAAATATATTATATTTTATATAGATCTAGAATACAACCTGTATAATAATAATACATCTATAATCTATATAAAATATGATATTTATAGGCCTAAAAGATTTCAATCGTAAATCTGAAATCAAGCCTAATTTAATTAATAAATATATATAGCCTAGATCTAGAGTCTAGATTTCTAGATCTAGAATTCTAGATCTATGACTTAAAAAAAAAACCCTCTTGAAAATTCCGACTTGGACAGTAACATACGACATACAGGATTTATTTTTAATTTATAGACTCAAGAGTAGTCTAGAGATCTAGATTCTAGATCTAGTTTCTTTTATTTTACAGTGTAGTTGAGTGGAATTAATTACTAAATTACTAAATAGGCTATTTACTTTAAGACAGGTAGACTAGAATATGTTCAATATCAATTTATATATAGAATCTAGATTATTCTAGATCTAGCGAAGTTTAGTGTAGTCTTGTTGTAGAACTTAAGAACTAAATCTAGAGTGTAGGCAACTGTCGTAATTTAGATCTAGAATCTAGTACTGTGTGACGTCATTTTAGGGGGTGGGGGTCTGGCTTTTTGTGATGATGTGTAGGGGGAGGGGGGGAGGTAAAAATCGTCAAAAAAAATGCGTGACGTCATTTATAGATGACCCCCATGGAGAAGATCCACACAGAAACAGTTGAAGGAAAGGGGCCTAACATTCAAACAGGTAGAGGTACCTACATGATTTTAGAGATTATGTAGATATACATATATATATGTAACGAGTCCCCGAGTCTATCCTGTCCGACGACGCCAATTGTAACGAGCGAACAGTTACCCTGCTCGCAACGCCACATGTTACGAGACTATTTGCCTGTAGTGCCAAATGTAACGAGTTTAACCACTCATGCTACACAACATCGACTACAGTAGAAAGACTCGAAGATGCAGGTTCGCTATTGATCCTTTTATTACATGAATCAAGAAATGCTTCAATATAACACAATGAATCAACAGGAATGCTTCACAATAATAGTCTGAATCAACTGACCCCTAACAGCCCTCACTAGGCTTCATATAACTGAATCCACATGTCTATTGTCCTTCTTAACACAATATAACCAACTTGATATGTCACACAGACTGACTGATCTAAAGCGAGCGATGAAGAGAGCGAGCGATCGAAAAGGGAAGAGGGCGAGTTCAGTCGTCCCCTCCTATTTATCCCTTGTATTCGTACTCGTCTTCGTACTTGTATTCCTCCGTATTCGATACTTGTACTCGATGTCTCCGACTACTAGTTGCGCAGTTCTAACGTACAGTCCGTTTAATAAACATCTGCATCCTATCAATCAAAGTTGACAGGCCGTCTGAATCCCCTCGTACCGTTTCCCAAAATAGCACGCGTTGGCTTTGAGATTGTTATCAGTCCGATCCAATAAGCCACCTGCTATCAGTTGCATCAGACTGTAATACTGCGTCTCGGCTTATCGTTCGTTATCAGTTTTGTAACTAGTAGCTAGGCCTACCCTAGTTACATATATATATATAGGGGGAGGGGTAGAGAGAGAGAGGGTTCATCTGTAAATTGCATCACACATTTTATGATGATTTTTACCTCCCCCTCATAAAGGAGGGCAGTAAAAAGAAGAATGTATGATAGCTGGGTAATCCTAATTTATATAATCAGAATATTGTGGTAAATAAAAGTCAACATATCTAGCCTAACAAAATGCCATGAATTTAAAATATATATTATGACTTAGAGAAAGTTTGGTGAAATGGAAATATCTGCAAATTTGATTTATTGATGATGTGTAACTTGTTTATATTATTCCTTTGGAGCTGATATTAATAAAAAGTTAATGAAATTATAGAGTTTTATCCAATTGATGTTTCTAAAGCCTTGCATGAACTTAATTTAAATATATTTAGCTGCCCAGACAAAGAACCCAATGAATTTTCCAGAATTGGCTTGTCGTTTGACCGATGGTAACAAAGAGAATCACCCAGGATCTTCGCTGATAAGAAAATCTGAAGACATACCTTATTCTTCTATATCTAAATGTGATTTGTCTAATGAAAATATTTATTCAGTGACAAGTGCTAAAGATATTTTACCATTATTTCAAACATCATCTTCTGAAATGTTGTTTTCTATCTCTAAACCTTCCACAATTTCTTCAAGTTTCAATAGATATTTTAACATCATTGCCTACTTCCCACAGTTATGTTCAAAATTTGCAATTTTCTGAGAAACAAAGTAATAATAAATTTGTACCCAGTGTTTTAGTTTCAGCTCCATTAAAATTTAATAAACCAATCAATTTCAAAATTAAATGTTTCTTATCCCATATGAAAGTAGTCTGTTTTATTTAAGAAAAATCACCTTTAAAAAAATTTAATGTTTGAATGTCAATAAATTGTTGACATGGACTGGTTTGCGGGTAAGCTTTTATACTTAGTGTACAATAAAGATTCAGTTTTGATGTCAATATAGTTGCTTCTGAAAGAATTAAACTATAAACATATAGTTTAACAATAGCATTTATATTAATATCTCAATGGCAGTTCAGTATACTTTCATCATTGTTTTCAAATAACAAAACAGAACTACAGTTTTAAAATTGAAAAAAAAAATGAAAAGAATTTCATAAATGGATGGTTTTTTAATTACTTAAAACAGAAGATGCATCAATACAGCATTACAATGTATATAATTAATATTTCTTTTCATGGACAATCATCATTTAAATTCTTCATTAAAAGTTAAATTCAGCTTCCTTGTGTCTAAAAATCCACATCCATGCTGTTCCATTTACCTAGAAATTAAATAAATAATATTTTTAACAACTTTCTGTAATATGAAAAAATTAATCATTGATTAAAACAGACAGCCAATATAGCAGTTGAATTAAAATTCACCTGTTTCTGTGACATTTGCATGTAAAATTAGAGTGTTCAGAGGTATATACCCAGCCACCTTTAATTTCCCTATCTTGAGCCAGGTACTCATGAGAGCTGGTACTCATGAGACTTAGGACATCATACCAGGACTAAAACCAGGGATCTGAACTCTTATCTTTTAGGATAGAAATGTGAAAGCTACTGTCTGACAGTGCCACTATCAAGCCATACATATTAATACTTACAGTAAATAATCTTAGTAGCAACATATTCTTTAAGAATTAGAAAACTGAATCGGTTTCAAACTTGGGCTTAAGCTGAAAAATGGCTTATTATAAAAAAAAATTCAGCTCACCTTTAGTTCAAGATCAGCACCAATAGCCACAGTAAAGTGTGAGAAAATTGCTTGCAAAGTACCTAGAGAATTTAAATATAATAAAGTATTAAGTTTATCCATATATTATATTAAAATAATTATTTAACTAATATGTGATATTAATATATATATATATATATATATATATATATATATATATATATATATATATATATATATATATATATATATATATATATATATATATATATATAAGGTTTAATTTATTGTAAAGGTTCGGTTTTCTATCTACTTAGCTTGTCTTAAAAACTAAAATATCTGGTTTACAATTAACCATATCTTAACTATTACAAAACTATTAGTTTCATTTTCATTACTTGTAACTAAAAATTGGTGTCAATAGATCTAAAACTTAATTCTATTAACAGCTAACTGTAACCGTACTGACTCTGACCAATTTATTAATTTTTATACCATGTAATTCATTAATAATTAGGCTTATACTAAAAGGCCAAAAGTTATCAATTGTAGATTTTATAGTCCCTGGTCTAGACTAACAAGACTAGCCTACAAGTCTAATAGTACTAATACACATGATCTAGTTTCTAAGTTTACTACTAGGCAACTTGCTAGAAGACTAGTACTTAACCAAACTTTAACTTGCTAAAAATAAAAGGGCCAAATAGAATAGTAGATGGCCTAGTAATACTTTTTTTTTACTGTGCTACTTACACTGCTTTTGGTACTATTACTACGGCTAACTAACTACAAACTAAATTCTATTGTAGCTTGATGGAGATCTATCATCTTGCTCTTCTAGTAGTCTACACTACTTACTACTTAGAAAAGTAGTAGCACTACTGTAACAATTTCAAACTAAATTTAATCTATATATTACTAGATCTACTAATTGCAACACTGTAGTCTGACTGATAAGTCTGTAAGCCCTAAATGTATCTAGATTCTAGTCTAATTTAGTTTAAGTCTAGTTATTAGTACCTACCCTCTACACTCTACAATAGTTTACAGTACTGTTGAGTACTCTACACTACACTCTACTACTACTCTACTCACTCTACTGGCTACTGATCTAGTAAATAGTAAAATAGCTAGAGTAGATCTAGTCTAGAAATCTAGATTCTAGATCTAAAAAAAATCGATTTAAAATTAAAAACAGGTTAGCCTTACCTAGATCTAGCTCTTACTAAACTTAACTAGGGTAGGTTTTACCTAAACTAGATCTAATCTAGATCTAGAATCTATCTAGATCTACTAGATTCTCTAGATCTAGATTTTTAGATCTAGGGCCTACCATACTTTTTTACTACCATCTGCATCTAGATCTACTATCTCTATCTATCTACTAGCCATCTTTCTACAAGTCATTAGTCAAACAAAGCTACTTAGTTCTAGATCTATAGGCCTACTTCTAAAATATTAAACAGTAATCACTGAGTAATCAGCACTAGTCTAGAGTCTAGTTCAGTAATCTAGCTAAATCTAGGTCTATTAACATTAACATTGTTGTCAAAGTTCTAGATATCTAGATCTAGTATTCTAGATCTAGACTAGCTCTAGATTCTAGATTCGATTAAGTATTAGATCTAGATTAGTTGTAGGCTGAGTGAGACTGAAAGTGAAAGTCATCCTGTTTACTGTTTACCGTCATCCTTTTCTTAATATTTTTTAATATTTTATCTAGATCACTAAAATACTAGATCTAGAATCTAGATCTAATATATTCTAATTCATGAACTTATACTCTTAGAACTAGATTAAAGCAATGTAGATCTTAGTTGGTAGATTCTAGAATCCAGATCTAATCTAGACTAGGTCTGGGAATCTTGAGTCTCGTAGCAAAGACTGAGTAGAGTCAGACCAGAGTAATGTCCCCTAGCCTTGGACAAACTAACTATCAACAAAAGAAATAAAATCAATATACTTACCGTCACAAAACTTTTATATTCAAAAATGCATACACATGTGTTTGTTCCCATCCATATGAACAAAACAGCGTTGAAAGTTTTTACAATTGTTGCATTTCTGGAACGTTTGATGATTTTGAAATCTTGAAGCGGGACCTACTAACAAATAGCCGCCATGTTTTTTGTTATCAATGGGAATCCCGTTCACAACAATTGATTTAGTTCGAAAACTTTTATCTCTCCCTGGCTAACCAGACATGAATTAACGCGAGAAAGAACGATAAACTTACAAGTTCTATAACACATACATATTTGAATTACATTAATCATCTTTTCCTGTTCGTGCCTAAGCCAAAGGGGGCAGATGAAGTAGAGTCCATCTGTTTCAGTTACCTTGGCATACAGGATGATAATGTGTTAATCACCATACCAAGCCGCTTTAGTTTCCCTAACTAGCGTCATGTACCCATCATAGCAGGATAAACTTCGGGACGTCCTACAGTCATGAGCCCGGGATCAGAAAACATGACATTAGGGACAGAAGTCGTTAGCTCTACTTTCAAGCCAATATGGCCTTAAATATGTTTTATTTATTTATTTTTTCTTTTTTTTAATTTTATTTATTTATTTATTTTTTAATGCTTAATTTTTTTTTTCTTTTTCTTTGCTTAGGACAGGGGTCGGCAACCTGCGGCTCGCGAGCCGCATGCGGCTCTTTTGATGTCAAGATGCGGCTCTTCGGCTCCATGCACAAATATTAATAATTATTTTATTTTATTTTCAAAACTCATAAAACTATTGTTCTGCAACACTCAATATTAAATTATATAATCATAAACATAAACATTAAACATTCTCTATTCTATTAGAATATTTAGGTGCTCCCTATTTTCAATGTACTTCCTATTAAACTTCTTATTAAACTGTTCATCCCGAATTGAAACATTCAACTTTATGGTGGATATCACAAAGAAAATAATCGAGCCAAATGTAAAACTGCAAGGAAAGGAAAACTCAGCCTATGCCTTGCTTGAGAAGTGGGTGTTTCGAAAAAAAAAAACTTTTATATATATATATATATATATATATATATATATATATATATATATATATATATATATATATATATATATATATATATATAATGTTGGCGGCTCTTTAAAAACTGGTAAATTTTGTAAATTGCATCTTTTGGCTCTTCTGCTCCAAAAGGTTGCCGACCCCTGGCTTAGGGCCTAAATTTATACAGTGGGGTACTTTTATTGTGCACCCTTAAATATGTTTTAACGTTGAGTATTCGAGAGAATTAAAATAATTAAAACAAATGACTAGCACCCAATCTTACGGTATTTTAAAAATTTAGCTTATGTCCTATGTTCTGTTTTTGTTTCGTAGTGGCAAATTTAATTATACTAATTGGAGATCAATGTTTTGTAGTTTGTGTAGACGACATATTTTTACAGTTCTGTTATTCACACGAAAGCTGCTCATATTATAGTTAGACGTAAAATATAACTAATTTTAAAAAATCTTCTGACTAAGCTTACAGGGACACAACTGAGTATAAATTCAGGGGCGATAATGATAGATTTCAGTCGAACTATTTGTGTGAAAAATCTCCAATAAAAAAATCAAACCGTCACAAAGGGCAGCATCTATTTATGCCGTCTCACTGTCGTCCCCGATCAGTCGCCCTGTCAACCTAATCGATACACATAATATATCGATTTCCAATCAGACCTGGATGGCTCGATTTACTATTAAGTTATGTTTTTTAAATAAACATTTTGTTCAACGGGTTTCAATGTATGAAAGTTGTTTAGGGTAAGAAATGTGGACTGATGCTAAATAAAAATGGCATTCGCTAGTTCTCCATCAGTTCTGGACCAGCTCACTCCGAACAAAGCAAGGACAAGTTTGGTTCCAATCTTTGACAGTTCATCGATTTCTGATAATCGATTTTTTTATTCCGGTCCTCGTACAGTTACTTGGCAACTGGACAATGGCGATGGTCCCGATAGTTTGAGCCATTGGAAGACAAAGGAACATCGATTTGAAATGTCGTCAAGTTTCTTGAATTGATCGCCATGTTTAAAGGGATATACTACAAGGCTCAGTATTAGAATACGTACTTTAACATTTTGAATTTTGGCGAATTGAGCTTTGAAGAATATATATATATATATATATATATATATATATATATATATATATATATATATATATATATATATATATATATATATATATATATATGAAGGCTATAGGAATCGTCAGAAAATATTTTATAGACGTGTTTGGTAGATTTTGTTTTTTGTACATAAACTCTGCAGTTCTTTTTCGTTCACTTGACTTTAAATTTAAAAAAAACAACTAATTTTCTTTAACGATGGCCTAAGGTAGAAAATTTAATCATTGCTATATAGTTTAGGTTTAAAAAATAAACTTATTGTTTCCTGCGTAACATACTTAGCCCTGATTATAAATTTAAGTGATAGACATTCACACACCTTGATCAAGCCCTGATATTACCAAGTAAGAGATAAACCTTGAAGAAGGACACACTGTAGGAAGACATACAAAACAAACTAAAAACAGATACATAACAGTATACTAGACACAATAGAGAAACACACCACAGAAGGACACACAGTAGGAAGACACACAATAGAAGAAAACATTGAAGAAGGACACACGATTTAAGCATACTAATTGAGGGCAAACAATAGAAGGACACAACAAACTGTAGACACGTTCAACAGCGTGTGAGTAGAATAAAGTAGTGACAAGAATAGAGAAATGCGACAAAAACAGAGAAGTGAGACAAGAATAGAGTGTGACAAAAACAGGTTGTGACAAGAGAAATGTTACAAGAACTGAGATTTGTGACAAGAACAGCCTTACGTTATAACCCTTTGTACAATAATAAAGTCCCATCTGTGGAGACTTTTTTGCTGACAATAAGAGATACTTAGAGAACCTGACTGAAAAAAGGGATAAAAGATTACCTTGAATCAAAATGGCGGAAATACACAGAAGAACCGTCACGACATACATGTACGACTGCATGGTGATGTTGTACATGTCTGAAGCCTGGTCAACTCTCGGCTCTCACACACGAGATGGATCTGTAGGTCAAGGAGAAGAAATTTTGGTTAGGTTTTAAATCATCTTCGTCTACATGCGACTATTGTGAGAAATTTTGGTTAGGTTTTAAATCATCTTCGTCTACATGCGACTATTGTGAGAAATTTTGGTTAGGTTTTAAATCATCTTCGTCTACATGCGACTATTGTGAGAAATTTTGGTTAGGTTTTAAATCATCTTCGTCTACATGCGACTATTGTGAGAAATTTTGGTTAGGTTTTAAATCATCTTCGTCTACATGCGACTATTGTGAGAAATTTTGGTTAGGTTTTATATCATCTTCGTCTTCATGCGACTATTGTGAGAAATTTTGGTTAGGTTTTATATCATCTTCGTCTTCATGCGACTGAGTCTAAATCGGACTGAGTATGATTAGGCATCCATGTGTGAGTAATGTTTTTGTTATTTTTTACTGTCTCGGTTTTCGCTGGTTGCTTTAGATTTCATCGAAGTACAGTCGAATCTCTTGTAATGTATTAAAGATATTTCTAGAACAACTGTGCTCCAGTACAGCTAAAGACAATTTATGTTTTTCTTTCTTATTTTTGTGCGAATAGAATTTTTAAAAAAATTTCATTGATTGTATGTGCTAGAACTACTGTAAAAGAAAGTGATTGCTACATTTTTACTTTCTCGTATATACGAAGTATAGAGAAAGTCTTGTAAACGTGCAAAAAAAAAAAAAATCGAGATTTTTACAAATCTCGACGTTTTACACCTCACTGATACGGAAAAACATAATTTTGCAATCTTGTCCGTATGTCTGTGTGTCTGTGTGTCTGTCTGTCTGTCTGTCTGTCTGTCTGTCTGTCTGTCTGTCTGTCTGTCTGTCTGTCTGTCTGTCTGTCCGTGTGTAAACACGATAACTTGAGTACCGTTACAGCTAGGTTGATGAAATTTCATATATAAGTATTTTATCAAAATCGTAGATCCGTATCAACGTTTGAGCGATTTCCGATAACCGGAAGTGGTACTTTTCCTACTTTGAATTTTTCAAAAGCCTATAACTTGAGTACTATTTCAGATAGATAAATGAAATTTGAAATGTAAGTAAAAGATCTAATTCTCTACCATTTGTTAAATTTTGAGTAATTTCCGTTGACTGGAAGTAGTACTTTACGGTGCTTCCGATTTCTCAAAAAACTAATGTAAATTTTAAAAGTACTAATAATATTGCGCACTATTATGCGCTTTTTTATTTGGCGTTCACTTGGTGTGCAATTAATTTGTCTACGAGATTTTATTCTATTTTTAAAACTTTAAGTATTTAAAATGGATTAAAAATCATGTCTATAGCCCGAGTTCCCATCCCCTGTTATTTTATATAAGAATATTCGAGAAAGTTTAGGGGAGATCACTCCCGGTTTATTTATCCAATGTTTCACATAGATTAAACTAGTTATACGACAAGCAAGCTTGACTGTATATGAAACAGACAGAACCAATTATATTATTATTTACATGACGCCTTTAAACATATTTTAATCAGCACGAGCCGACCCGCGGCATATCATACGCCGCTATTTAGTTGTTGTTTTTTTCTACTTTTCAGTAATTCATAATTTGTGAATTCGACAGTACCAACGCTGCCACTGAAAATATTTCTTTAAAACACTATAAGTAGCTCGTTAAGGACGATAACTCCCGCCTCCTCCCCCCTCCGTTAAAGTAAACTCCACTTAGTTACCCCCCCCCCCTCCCCCCTACGTTTAAAATCGTTTCAAACTAAATTATCTGCCCCTAATAGTCGTCACTAAACCCGGCTCTGTTTGTTAACATTTAGCGTGAACCACAGCTCACCAGACCATGTAGGGGTGGGGGTGGTAGGGAGCGCGCTTACAGCTTGTTTTCTTGCGTCTCCCAGAAGAGAATTATATATATAGATCGATAGATTTAGCGTCTTAAAGTCTTATGAAGGGCATCTTTATTTCTTACTTTCAAAGATACTACCTTTAGTGTTCATGTTTTCTTTACAATAGTTTTTTTTTTTTACAAAAATTATAAATAATTTCTTTTTGTTTTCAGTACTACTCTTGTCTAATTAATTGCTTCAGTTTTTTTGTTTACTCAAATTACAGATTCGAGGTAGGGGGGGGGGGGGAGAGGAGTGGAGTGGATGGTGATTTTACTACTGGCGCTGAGGTACAGGACTCACTGGAACTTATCCCAAATATTCTCTTAACTTATACCAAATACTCCCTCAAATGAAACTTATCCCAAAACACACAAGTGAAACATCAAAAATGCTCACACAAGTGAAACACCTCAAACATACACAAGTGAAACATCCCAAAAATATACACACAAGTGAAACATCCCAAAAATACTCACACAAGAGAAAAATCCCAAAAATACACACACAAGTGAAACATCCCAAAAATACTCACACAAGAGAACCATCCCAAAAATACTCACACAAGAGAAACATCCGAAAAAATACTCACACAAGTGAAACATCCCAAAAATACACACAAGTGAAACATCCGAAAAAATACACACACAAGTGAAATATCCCAAAAATACTCACACAAGTGAAACATCCCAAAAATACACACAAGTGAAACATCCGAAAAAATACACACACAAGTGAAATATCCCAAAAATACTCACATAAGAGAAACCTGAGATATTTTCACCAGTTCACCAGCCACCGTTGACAGAGTCTGTAAACCTCGAGTTGTTTCCCTTTATTGCAGAGTTGTCGCGCCTCGTGTTTCTTGGTGCGTTCTGTTTTTTTTCACAGCTTTACCATAGCCAATCAATAAATCAATAAGACCATCGATTTTTATTGATGCCGATATTCGCGTGAGTTGAAAACCACGTCAGCAACAAACAAAATACCGCCATCTTGTAAATACTAATCATATAATCAAATAATTTTCTTTAAAAAATGAACACACCATGGGCCACGCATTAGCCAAGGATACACATATATAACCATATACCTTTAGCAGTCTTACAATTCCTGTAATGATAAACCTACGTGGCATTGGATGCTGGACAGTGAGATGTCTTCTGTCAAGTGGTTTGTCACGTGATGTTATGATTTGTTGTGATTTGATTGATTTTACGTAACCCTCTTGTCTTTTGTTGTGACACGTGACACGCACTAATTATAAATATTTTATAATTGTGTTGTAGTTTTTAAGATGCTAATTGCTTAGTTTTGTTGTTGATTAAAGGCTGGTTCCAAGTTTGGACCCGTGTATAGCATCCACTGGGAACAGCCACAAGAGTCTAACCACATTTTTATAGATCGGTTGAGTTGTTGTTCAAACGGTTGTGGTTTCAAGAACTTGATTGTGTGGTTTTTATGTAAGATAGAACATATTTTATATACATTCGGTTACTAAACTATTTTTAAAAATTTTATCTTGCCACGTAACTGAACATGGCGTAACTAGGTCATGCTGTCTTTCAGACATTTAGATTCGAAAAAAAATATTGACCAGAAACGCCTTGAGCAAGAAAGTGTGGGACACAGAGCTGAAATCATGAAACATTATTTATCCAGTCTTAGTTTTTAAAAAAAAAACTTCTTCGGTAAATTAAAAAAAATGTCTTCTTCTTGTTCGTTCTTACTTGTTATGTTGTTTTGTGTTTTCTCCAACACAATTACATGTCAACATGGTGTCAACATGGTGTGTACCGTCTAGGTCTAGATTGTGAACTCAGATTTCAGCAACTCAATTACATGTCAACATGGTGTGAACACGGTGTGAACACGGTGTCAACATGGTGTGTACCGTTTAGGTCTAAATTTCAGCAACACAATTACATGTCAACATGGTGTCAACATGGTGTCAACACGGTGTCAACGCGGTGTCAACAAGGCGTCAAAATGATGTCAACATCTAGGCTGTGGACTCAGATTTCAGCCTGCTTTTCTTCCTGTATTTGTTTCCCCAGCCCTCCGTCCGTCCAAGAACAAACTACAAGACAGCAGTTGTTGGATTTTGGAGTTGTCTCTTCTAGACGGAGTACCACAACGACCATTTTTATAACACCGATTGTTAAAATATTAAATTTTAAAAATGTTATTTTTTTTACCTCCACTCCGAAGACATATCGACAATAAAATACTTAAAAAAAACTTTTTAAAAAACCACGTTTTTCTTGTGGACTAAAACGTAGAAAATAACTATTTACATACATTTGATGACAAAAAACGTGGGTACGTTCACCATCAAATTTCCCGACCTATCTGCCCGACCCACGTTTTTTGTCATCAAATGTATGTAAATAGTTATTTTCTACGTTTTAGTCCACAAGAAAAACGTGGTTTTTTAAAAAGTTTTTTTTAAGTATTTTATTTTCTCCTTTTTAGTCCGTTGCTACACATGAAAAACGTGGTTTTTTAAAAAAAGTTTTTTTATATAGTTTATTTTCTACTTTATCCAATGACTTGATTAAGTATGACTTGACTAAGTGTTTATAAATACACGGACTAAAAATCTTGAACGACCAGGATTCGAACCTGGGTTGTCGCGGCCACAACGCGAAGTACTAACCACTATACGATCACGGCCAGCGCGCTCACATCGATTGGGGCCGAAGTAACTGTGTCAATAGGCCTCAAGTCTTGTCGGTATCTTTAGAAATCATGTCCTCAATTTTATGGTCCTTGGGGCGTAATTAAATTAAGCTAATTACGGTCACTAATTGCTAGTTTTTATGATTGCATCTGAAATTGTTAGGCGAAAGTAGCATGCATGCCAAATTTCAGGTCTCTAGAGCAATCAGAAGTGGGCTAATTTTCGATGTGAATTTTAACAACAAACATCCAAACAACCAAACAAACAAACGCGAAGCTGAGTTAAGAAAAACGTGTTAAAAACACTTTTTACTTCAAGTCAACAAAAAACTTTTTAGTTCATGTCAACAAAAAACTTTCGTGGGCCTCACACTAAACAGATTGGTAACCCTGAGCGTAGTTCACGTGTAGCGTGCTACAGATGTGTGTGGATAAACTTAAAGTATACAGCCCTGTGTAGCCGGTGTAATAACAATGTCGTGGTCAACTCCCAACATAGATGACCCTCAAACTTCACACAAAAAATAAAATCTTTTATTTTAACCAATGTCAATATAAAACACAATGCAAACAAAACTGTCAAGTTGAGAAAAAAAACTATTCTTAATTATTTATTATTGTCTTAATTAGGAACTAAATTGTTGTCTTGGGTGAGATAGGTCTACTTGTTGCTTGATTAGTGCTCAGCGAGAGCCGATGACCCCTCTTATTATAATTTATGTCTTTAGTTCCAGAGCTGCAGAGATGCTGTGAGATATATTCAACGTCTTGTTCAGCAGGCTTTATTATATATATATATATATATTAAATATATATATATATATTTATTTAGAATTAGAAATAGCATGTTATAAATTTACGGGTCATCTAGCTATGACTTCCATAAATGAGTCGGTTATAAGCTGTTCCAACTCAGTGTGTGGGGAGAGGGGTCCACGTTGAACATTCCTACCTGCAGTATGTTTTTGGGTTATCAAAACAAAATCCCGTTATCCTGTAAACATCACGTATATCATACTTTTTAAACTTCAGTGCTCGCTTTTTAGCACTATTGTTAATTAAACATTATCAACATTTTAAAATTGGTTGAATTTAGCTGCTAAGAGCTCGAGTTTTGTTTCTGAATACGTCGAGAGCCTCATTTGTCGGAAGCCAATATATCGGGTCCTTTTGACCGAGCTATATTGACCTGGTCGTTTTGTCGGGGGTCGATTTGTCGGGGGTCGATTAGTCGGGATCATATTGACGGGGCCGATTTGACGGGGCCGTTTTGACGGTGCACCGTCCAACAACACATCTGGCAAAAAGCCTGTAATGACGGTCACAATCCGTAGTCCACACGTCTTTTGTTCCTCCGTTGCTGCGTGTTTGACCAATCTTTAGCGACAGCAAGCGACAGCACTTTTAAAAGTTTAGATCTCTCTCACGTGGTACGAACACAAACAAATGTAGTGTATAGTTTTTTTTAACACAAACTGGACTTGCAGGCTGGGCACTTCACTTTTCGTTGAATTTATCGTGCGGAGGGGGGGTCTATCAGCCCGGGGGTACAGGGAGGTTATGCTTGAGGTCCGGCAGGGTTACAGGGAGGTAATGCTAGGGTCACTCTCGGGCAGGAGTTACGGCAGATAGTTGATGGCGGAGAGAGGCCCGTTGTCAGCATAGGATGGGTACAGGTCTGACTCTCCCGCTAGCACAGAGGACATCCCCACAGAGGACATGCCCACAGACGTTAGGTAGTCATCATTGGTGAAATGGTGAGACAGTGCCTGGTGGTGAGACAGAGCCTGATGGTGAGACATGGGCTGCGTGTGATGGTGAACTGGAAAGAAACAAAAAAAAATAGTTTATGATGGTTACTAGCATCACATTCTCTCACATAAAGTGACAAAAGGAGTGACACAAGGTGACACATAAAGTGACAGAGCGCTAGACTGCTCACCCGAAAGTCTTGAGTTCAAACCGGGTTCCTATCAAAGTCCAGCTGTGGTGTGTACCTAACTCACGTTAGGGAATGTAAAGGCGGCTGGGCATAGTGCTGACCACACTATCTCTTCATATACCGAGGTCACAAAAACAAATGAACTCTACTTTACTTGCCCCAAGAACCGTCAGATTCGAAAAGGGAACTTTACTACTTACATTTTTACTTTCAATTGAAATTTTCGGGGGGGGGGGGGGGGGTAGCACATTGGTAAAAGTATCTACTTTCTGTATAAATTCTATTTCGTTCGGGGGGTGGGGAGGGTCGGGGGGGGGGGGGGGGGGGGTGCGGTGCGTAAACATTCTCCGGGTGGGAACTAGTTTGAGTTTTAAACTGCGATCTTTGTTCTTTGTGAACAGTGATAGCCGATACAGCTTGAAGTATCTTACTGTAGTGACCTCTTGAACTCTGGCAACTTCCGGTGGCGCCATTGACCCGGCTGTACATGCTCATAGCGTCCTTAGATACGGAGTGCAGGAAGTCTTTGTTTCTGTAGGACTTGTCCAGAAGGTTCAGGGGGTCACGTGCCTCGTTGTGGAACTGGGAGGGGCTGACCGGAAGTCTGGACTGGATGACGGGAACATGTTCCACCAGAGGTTTTGGTGCCACGTTGAAGGCTGAGTTTGTGTAGTAGTCTGACAACAGAGGACAGGCATATTTTACTGTAGGAAACAGACGTCAGTTTATTTCAGGAAACTTGTGAAAGTATAGCAAGATATAATGACCGATTTAACTGCTCACCAGGATGTGTAAAACAAAACAAATGTCAACATTGACATGTCATGCAATCTATCATGCCACGGGATACATTTTTAAAGAGTATCGAACTAATGACTTTTAAGCTCCCAAATTAAAAACTAAAATACATGACTTATTGTTGTAGTAATCTAATGGACCGCACAGCGGATTGATAGATTTTAATTTATTAAAAGCTATTCTAACATAGGCTTTCGTTTACAAACTGTATCTACTGTAGGCCGTAGATTACTACTCCCTGTTATATTACCTCACAGAATATATCGCGTTTATTAAAGAAGAACTTTGAAACTGTTTAATTTATAAAACAATATTAGATGTAATAACACGAATGAAGTAAACTGTTGACCTTCACCTTGGTTCTGGTACACCGACTGAGGGAAGGCAGACGACTGTTGGACTAGATTGAAAGCACTTCCGCTTGTCTGGCCGCCCCCCGCCCCACAGCCGCCCCCCGGGCCTGCAGAGCTAACCAGGGGATAACCGTGCTGGATGGCTTGACCGTGGCAGAAGGGGGACAGGAAGGGCGTCACGTCGAGGTGGTAGGGCGCCACTTCTGAGTACGACGTCAAGGCGTCAGATTTAGGGTACAGGGTACTGCTGTACGCCCCAGGGTGGTGGGGCAGGAGAGTCCCAGGGTGGTAGGACGGGTAGAGGGAGGGACAGCCGCGGTACGACAGCGGGGGGTTGCGCTGTGTGCTGTAGCTGTTGCTGTCGGGGAGGCTCGGGCTGCTGAGAGGGTCGCTGTTGTCCATGGTCGATGGCAGGCTGCTGCGGAAGGCGTTGCTGAGGTGTGTGGTGGTGGGCGGGTGGTGTGTGGTGGTGGGCGGGTACAGCTGGCCGCCATTTTGTAGGTACTCGTTGTTCTGTTGGCCTGGGAAGTCAACATATAGATCTATATAACAAGCTGAGCAATATAAGTATTTATAACAAGCTCAACATTAAAATGAACTGTGGGAGGGTGGTGTGGGTGTGTGGTGGGAGGGTGGTGAGTGTGTGGTGGGAGGGTGGTGTGTGTGGTGGGAAGGTGGTGTGTGTGGTGGGAGGGTGGTGAGTGTGTGGTGGGAGGGTGGTGTGTGTGGTGTGTGTGGTGTGTGTGATGGGAGGGGGTGAGTGTATGGTGGGAGGGTGGTGAGTGTGGTGGGAGGGTGGTGAGTGTGTGGTGAGAGGGTGGTGTGTGTGGTGGGAGGGTGGTGTGTGTGGTAGGAGGGTGGTGAGTGTGTGGTGGGAGGGTGGTGGGTGTGGTGGGAGGGTGGTGTGTGTGGTAGGAGGGTGGTGAGTGTGTGGTGGGAGGGTGGTGTGTGTGGTAGGAGGGTGGTGAGTGTGGTGGGAGGGTGGTGGGTGTGGTAGGAGGGTGGTGAGTGTGTGGTGGGAAGGTGGTGGGTGTGGTGGGAGGGTGGTGGGTGTGGTGGGAGGGTGGTGGGTGTGGTGGGAGGGTGGTGGGTGTGGTGGGAGGGTGGTGGGTGTGGTGGGAGGGTGGTGGGTGTGGTGGGAGGGTGGTGTGTGTGGTGGGATTAGATTTGCGAAAGTTGCCTGTCGTCATAGACAGACTTAAAGAAGAAAGCCACGGTCATCAATATTGTTTAAAGACAGGGTTTCGATCAATACCAATCTATAATCAAGTTTCGATCGATACCAATCTATAATCAGGTTTTGATCGATACCAATCTATAATCAGGTTTTGATCGATACAAATCTATAATCAGGTTTTGATCGATACAAATCTATAATCAAGTTTTGATCAATACAAATCTATAATCAGGTTTTGATCGATACAAATCTATAATCAGGTTTTGATCAATACAAATCTATAATCAGGTTTTGATCGATACAAATCTATAATCAGGTTTTGATCAATACAAATCTATAATCAGGTTTTGATCGATACAAATCTATAATCAAGTTTTGATCGATACTAATCTATAATCAAGTTTTGATCGATACAAATCTATAATCAGGTTTTGATCGATACAAATCTATAATCAGGTTTTGATCGATACAAATCTATAATCAAGTTTCGATCAATACCAATCTATAATCAGGTTTTGTTTAAGTAACGATCGAAGCTGACAGCCTGTGATACGCGACCCGTAGCGAAGCTAACTATCACAACTTGATTAAGCCAAAGGACCCGGGTTCAAAACCCTACACACTCTTTTAGAAACCGGAAGTGACGAACACAATATAAAGGCTGAAACTCTAGGCAACTCGATACTTTTCCGTTAAAGAGTACCAGTCTCCAACTCGGTATTTGTTGGGTTGATTTGGTTGGGGGAGCTCACCCAGGTAAGTTAGCGACACACGTGTAAAATTGTAAGGGGAGGTTACCAAAGTAAGCTAGAGATGAGTTTGTTTGAGCTGAGTTGACAAATGACGCCATAGGTCCCTGGCTGATGACACTTGACCTTTGACCTGGAGGGTTCGGCACGACGGGTGAAACAGGCGGGGTGAGGATGGGGTTCAAGGTGGACGACTGGCCCTGACCTTGGTGCAAAGGCTGGAAAAGAAAAAAAAAGTATGAAGATAATGCTGTAGCTCCTCAGACTCCATCGGATTCTTCCTTAGAAGTTTCTAGCGACCAGACCGTGCTGACACGGCGTCGTGTTCCCGCTTGATGAAGCCACATACAGCAGACATGTGATGCTTCTGGCACTGGGTGCAGTCTACGGTAATTGTGTAGGTCGTTCTGAAGATAAGTGGAGAAAAAAAAATGTCTACAGAGTTATGTAACTTGACCAACCTGTGGGATGGAAGTTGCAGACGACGGGTGGGGAGACAACCCGAACGTTTCCCGCCCTGAGATCAGCTGCTGGCCAAACGATGACGTCATGCTGTCCCCGTAGACTTCACGTTTGAGCAGGTCAGAGTTGGGCGTCCGGCTCTGGTTGGCCACAAAACACGTGCCTGCCGTCTGCTGGAGGTTTAGCTTGGCGCCCACGTCGTCTGGTAGGGAAAGATACAGTTAGTTAGTGCACGAAATGGCTGGGCTTCTGTGTGTGGTCAGTCAAGGTGTTGGTCAGTCGAGGTGTTGGTCGATCGAGGTGTTGGTCAATAGTTTACAATGGTGTGAGTCATTATTGTTGTTGGTCAATATAATTGTTGGCTAATTAAGTTGTTGGTCAATGTTGTTATTTGGGTAGAATGTTGTGAGTCAGTGTTAGTGCCGTTGTGTATTTAGTGTGAGTGATGTGTGACGAGGCAAAAATGTGATTCTGAGACCAAACGATGTCTGAGCCGTCACATTTTCAGTTCACTATTGACCTTGACCTTTATGTACCTGGCTTCGTGTGCTTCTCCAGCAGGGACTGTAACTCTTGCTCCTTGTCGTTATGGAGCTGACACTCAACAGCCAGCAGCACGTACTCGTCAAGCAACATTCGTATGAGATGGAAGGAGGCTGAAAAAAGCAACTTTCGTATGAGATGGAAGGAGGCTGAAACAGGCAACATTCGTATGAGATGGAAGGCGGCTGAAAAAAGCAACTTTCGTATGAGATGGAAGGAGGCTGAAAAAGGCAACTTTCGTATGAGATGGAAGGAGGCTGAAAAAAGCAACTTTCGTATGAGATGGAAGGAGGCTGAAACAGGCATCATTCGTATGAGATGGAAGGAAGCTGAAAAAGGCAACTTTCGTATGAGATGGAAGGAGGCTGAAAAAGGCAACTTTCGTATGAGATGGAAGGAGGCTGAAAAAGGCAATATTCATCTGGTAAGGGAAGTGGCTGAAAAGGCAACATTAGAGTAAGAGAACTCACCGAAACACAACTTTAAGAACTGACCTCAGAACCACAAGACTTACCGAAACTTTGAGCGTTGTTTAGTGTGAGGTTGTGCATGACCCGAGCGCCAAAGAAAGACCACTTGAGCAGGTAATCCTGGGCTCTTTTCTTGAAGTTTTTCCCGTTTAGTTTACTCGGCTGTATGGGGCAAAAAGCATTTACTTTGTGGAATTAAACAGACTCAAGCTAAAATGTCATTAAACAAGCTTTTTCTAAAATAGACCTAAGTAGATTATAACCAAAAAGGAATAAATATTTTCGTGCAATAAGAATAAACAGATTTTGAAAAACAATAGAGACTCAGCTTTCTAAATTAACTTTGCTATCTATCACATTCAGTGTTGGCGAGCTTACTCTACTCCCCCCCCAATATAATCGTGTGATCACGTGACCAACCTTGATGACCTTTTGCTCTACGACGATGTCCAGCCATTCTGTGAAGGCTTCAACTGTCGCCTGTTTCCTCAACAGCTCCTTAAACTCCCGGAGAACTGCACATTAATACATCAAATGTAACGTGATGAATTGATGTTGATTAAGGTAGTTAAAATGTGGGATATCAGGAAAAGTGGCATTGTGTGTGTATTTGTGAGTGTGTGTGCTTTTGAGTGTGTGTGTGTGTGTGATGACAAATACAAAAAATATTTATAAACGCAGTTAAATTTAAAAACCCATCTCAACACATGTGAAATATTCATTAAAAATAAAACTTAAATCTGACCCTTTACTTCAAATAAAAACTAAGTAGGTTACCTATGTTTATTTAGGTTTAAATCGGGTTTTAAAGACGTTTCAAATGATTACTCCATATTGATTTTCTAATTAGCTAGGTAGACCAGGTGCTCGTTAATTAATCATTGCCCTCTTTAACATTCCAGCACCCAGTCTGGCACTGGACAAAGCAGTGTCAGTCGTGCGTGGCGAGCTATTGAGCCGTGACCACACACGTGAGTCACCGTCTTACATGTGAGCACACACCTGGGCAAAAACTGACATTTACTGGTACACCTGGACCACTAACTTATGGAACATCAAACTACCTGTAACCACACACCTGGGCCACTACCGCACATGTAATGACCCACCTGGACTATCAACTTCCCTGTAACCACACACCACCTACTTACATGTAATGACCCACCTGTACCACCTACTTACATGTAATAACCCACCTGTACCACCTACTTACTTGTAATGACCCACCTGTACCACCTACTTACACGTAATGACCCACCTGTACCACCTACTTACCTGTAATAACCCACCTGTACCACCTACTTACATGTAATGACCACCTGTACCACCTACTTACATGTAATGACACACCTGTACCAACTTACATGTAATGACCCACCTGTACCTACTTACATGTAATGACCCAGCTGTACCACCTACTTACTTGTACTGATCCACCTGTACCACCTACCTACATGTAATGACCCACCTGTACCACCTACTTACATGTAATGACCAACCTGTAGCACCTCCTTACATGTAATGATCCCCTGTACCACCTACTTTCATGTAATGGCCCACCTGTAGCACCTACTTACATGTAATGACCCCCTGTACCACCTACTTACATGTATTGACCCCCCTGTACTACCTACTTACATGTTATGACCCACCTGTACCACCTACTTACATGTAATGACTCACCTGTACCGCCCTTACCTGTAATGACCCACCTGTACCAACCTTACATGTAATGACCACCTGTATCACCCTTACATGTAATGACCTACTTACATTCAGCGTTCAACTGCACGTCCTCATCATCACTGCTGCTAGAGCTGCAGCTGTGGAAGGCTTGGCTGCTGATGCTGCTGATATCGATACGGTCCACGTCTGCTATCATGGCATTCACCAGGCTGGCGTCGTAGAGCACAGGGCGCGCCGTCTGAAACAAGGTGAAGGACACACATTTAAACAGGCCATCCCCATATTTAAAGGTTGCAGCACCGAGCAGCGTGTAAAGCTAGTCTTTTGTTTGAATGCTAGTTTAACGTAGTTATCGGCCTTAGCGTACATCCCTACATCTACCCAAACCTGATTGACCACTGGACATCATTGATATTCTGTAGTCCCACAAACAGACAAACGTAACCCAAGGTCCAAAAGAGTGACCACCTAAACTCTACATATGCAACTAGATACCTGAGCCAAATGGAGAAAGGATGTCTGCCGTTTCAGTGACTGCGCAAACCTCCGCGCAACTGGAAGTTTCTTCTCCAGCAGACGTTCGGGCAGGTGGTCTAGGGCAGACGAGACCCAGCTCTCCCAGTGTTTGGCGAAGTTCCGGATGTCACACAGAAGTCTGGGGAGGGGGGGGGGAGGCAGTTTAGCATCGACGTACGATTCGTTTTAGAAGACGGTTTAGATGTATAAAAGTTTATTACACCAAAGGCTGAAGGCTAAGATATGGTGGACACCAATGTATGTGAGTTCAAAGGTTGAAGGTGATGCTATGGTGGACACCACTGTATGTGAGGTCAAAGGTTGAAGGCTATGATATGGAGGACACCACTGTATGTGGGGTCAAAGGTTGAAGGCTATAGTGGACTTACGTTTCCGGCATCTCCTGCATGGTGGCAGGTATCAAGACGTCGATCAGCACCTGGGTACAACAGGTAAGACAGGTAGGTGGTAAGACAAGTAGCAAAGGTGTGTGTTTACATTGTATTTGTTTTTTTTTCAATATTAAAAAAAATTAGTAGAAATACTACAGAAACTAAAATGTGAAAATTGGATGTGAGTCTGGAATTTGAATATGTCGCCTGGAGGTTTGAATATGTCGTCTGCAGGTATGACCCACTGACCTTGTACAAGATGGAGTCACAGACGCACAGGATGTCTACGATGACGTCACATTCCACCAAACTGAGCAGGTGTTCAGGTAACCCTTGCCAGAAGTGGAGGAGAAAGTTCTGGATCTACAGGTGGAATAAGGTGAGGTCTTTGACACTAGCACTTATTAGTGGGCCACTCTAAGCCACAGGACACATCTACAAACAACACTAATCATGCAGACTTAGAAATTCTTGTGTACACATATAATCACTGTACACATATGGACACACATTGACGTAACACACTGGACACAAGGGCCCAATGGACAAATCTGACACAGCCACTCTGGACACACAAGGACACAGACTCACCTCCTCAAAGTTTCCGTTGATGGCGGTGTCTAGGACACACTGGCTGTGTGTCTTGTACATCATGATCAGTGTCTCTACCTGGTGACACATGACGAGAGACCACAATTTAACCACACCACACACAACTTAGCCACACCAACCACAACTTAGCCACACCAACCACAACTTAGCCACAACACACACAACTTAGCCACATCAGACACAACTTAGCCACAACACACACAACTTAGCCACACAACCACATGACGACTGCTATACCACATCCATCCAAATGTTCTGTATCCCCTTTCAGACAATAGAACTCCCACACCTAAAACAAAAATTATTTTTCTCTTTTATTATTCGCTCTAAGTTGTCCCATCAACTTTTGTAGCCAGCTCCTAGCGACGTTAACGAAACGTGCTCGTGTTTTCATTCTTGGAGAATCTAAAACTCGCGAATTAATTAATTGTTTTAGTGACACTATAAACGAGCTATATTTCCACCCTCCCCCTCCCACCTCCCCAATTACAGCTATTATCACTCTTATCCTAAGTTCCCCCTCCCCTCCCCCAATTTCCCCATAAAAAAACAAGATTAGGCCAAGCCTGTAGCAAAAACTACCGGACGTCCAAATAAAATGACCCTACAACACGACTCACGCCTGACGTCATGTGCTCCAACTACACCCAGCTGTTAGACACGTGACTGGACGCCGCCCACAAATATGGCCGTCAAAACACGACGCTGAAGTTAGCCGTGAGGGTCAATGGTGGTTGAGTGGTTTGGCTAATGCGTCAACCCCCCCCCCCCACTCACCCCTCTCCTCTGTGCACTAGGTCTCCTCAGATCCTGCTTTAGATTCCCCCCCTACCCTACCCCCCACAGTGTTAAATACAAAAAGATACAACCCCAGAAGTCCCTGTCCAGTGTAAACAACACCGCCACTGTATCAACCCTCCCCTCCCCCGCCCTCAAACTGATGTCGTCTGCACCCAATAGGCAGACTTATGCCTATCTCAGCATTGGACACACACAAGCACCTTTCCCTATTGCCTGGTTTAAATTCTGACCGATTGGATGTTGTAGTTGTGTGACACCACTCAACATTCAACATCATGTGTCTGTAGGACACCAATCAACATCTGACATCATGATGTTCTGTAGGACACCACCCACTCAAAATCCAACATCATGATGTGTCTATAGAACACCACTCACCAAACACCACTGAAACCTTTAACCATAAGCCATAAAACCCCAGCCACCCACACCATCAATTATTGAACACACTTAAAAGACAAAAATGAATTATTTACCGATACAAGCGTTCCACCCACCTTATCCCCTACTACCCACGGGCCACACCCACGCAACGCTCGTCTATGTATCCTCCCCCCCCCCCGGGACAAAGGTAGCTCAGGTAAAAAAATTGACCTCTCCTGGAAATGTGCAGAACTCCAGCCTCGGGTCATTGATTTATCGAACGTTAAACTGACAGTTCGATCTCTCAATCAATCGCTGGTCACGGCAGGCGGTAAGACTTAACTGCCGGGACACCCAGACTGTCGTCTGCTAGACCAAAGTTTCTGTTCCACGGGTGGACAGTGCTGCTGCCAACATTACATCGGCTAAATCATCTTAAGGACAATTTTATATCATCAGTTTTTTTATTCTAAGGACTTCTCAATGTTTTATGCTGTAAAAAACTCCGCCATCAAAGTTTACGGCTCCATGGAAGTTTGTCATTAATTTTTGCGACTGTCTTTGTCTGGGTCTTTCTGAAGAACATCGGCCCATAGTAAAGACCTACTTGTCTAAGGAACATCGGCCCATAGTAAAGACCTACTTGTCTAAGGAACATCGGCCCATAGTAAAGACCTACTTGTCTAAGGAACATCGGCCCATAGTAAAGACCTACTTGACTGAGGAACATCGGCCTAGAGAGCACCTACCTGAGCCTCTCAGCGCCAATGAAGCCCTACCTTTTCTCTCGGCACCGTGGCGGGGAGGATGAGGAACCTGGCATTGGGAAACTCTGGCAGGAGGGTCCCAGTCTTGGAGCTGAGTGAGTACTTCCTTGTGAACCCGCCCTGTGTAAAGTTTAAAGGTCAAACACTGGTTCATTTAGTACTTTACTAAACATAGGCAGGACGTTTGGTATCTCTACCCAGACCCTAGACCCAACTCTAACCCTGACCCTATTGTTCTGCTGGAAACTATTAGGGCCCTTGTCAAAGTGCCGTACACTTAAAGCCCCCCCCCCCCTTTGATGTGTGGTGTGAGTCTTATGAAACTAGCAAAGCTATCGACCGGAAACCAATTATTTAAATTGTCATCTATTCAGCTAGAAGGTGTTTTCAATGTTATTTAATGCTAGAATTAGCGGAAGCTAAAATAATAAATCGTGCCTAGTCTTTATTTGAATTTGAAACTATCATTAAAAAAAAAACAACTGGTATGCCACTAAAAACAATTACATTTCAGAAATTTTATTTTTAGCCGAGAAAGTGTCACCCTCTTCCGCTCTGATTTAATATTCAATATTTTTTATCACATTGCCAGATAAAGCTGGCGTATTTTAATCCAAATCTGACAAAACGTCGGTAAATTAAAAATGGTATATTATAGAAGTGACGTATCGGGGCGATTTACGGCTGACACAAGATCAAGAAAAATTTGCGATAAATCAGGGGAGATAACAGGGTCTTGTGTACAGGTGGTTTCTGTGGGTAGACTTTGTTGTGGGTTCTGTGTGGTGGGGTGGGCTGGCCCGACGGTATACCGGGAAAAATTCCGTTCGGCCACCCCTGGTAAAAACCCGGCGCCCCCCCCCCCTGAAAAAAAATCCTAGTGGGGCCCCACCCAGAAGTTTCAGTGGGATCCCAGGAGCTGTGTTGTAATATTCCTGTTAGTGTTTTTTTATTTGAAATATATAATATAATTATTATTTCGCCATTTTACCATTTCAATTCCTTCATACCTAGGCGTAAAATTTAGGATTTGTTGAAGAATACAGGCTAAATGAAAATTTTAACCTGAGTCTTTTAAAATGTCCCTGGCCTCTTGGACTTATCTACCCCACCCTTGTTGTGTGGTTCTTTGGGGTGGTTCACGGTGACGCGACTATTGGGGTGGTTCACGGTGACGCGACTATTGTGATGGTTCATTGGGACGCGACTATTGTGGTGATTCGTCACCTTTAAGTGCAGTTTTTGACCGATACGACATTTAGACGGACCAGTGAAGAATGTAACTATAGAAACTCTAAACACTGACCTCGTTGGTATGCTTGCATCCCGAGAACCTGACAGAAAAAAAAATTTTAATCAATCATTTCCCAAAACAGCAAGAAAGATATTTGTAAAATTTTACTTAAAGTTAGATATTGATCCCTTACTAAGGTATATGGAACTATTTATACTTGTGCAAAACAAATTGGCCTTTTTAGATGAAATATGATAATTGTGTTCTTTGTTTTGGTATAAAAATCGAATTTCAATAATCATTCGTTAACATAAATAACGAAAGTCAGTTTTTTGTAATGTAAACATAGTTCTTGGCCTCATTTAATCGAACCTACCTTTTTCCGTAGAGGGTGGGGGTGGGGGGTGGGGGTGGGGTTGGCCACTTCCAGATATCTAAACCTCTCACCTCGTTAGCCCCTTCCCCGAGTACACAGTGTGGTAATACTGGCTGCTCTCCCTTATGCCAATCCCGTAGTAGTGGTACCTAGAGGCAGGCATTTGATTGTAAGACAATTTCTACATAGAGGCAGACATTTGATTGTAAGACCATCTATACCTAGAGACAGACATTTGAATATAAGACAATCTGTACACAGAGGCAGACATTTGATTGTAAGCCAATCATACCTAGAGGCAGACATTTGATTGTAAGACAATCATACCTAGAGGCAGACATTTGATTGTAAGACCATCTATACCTAGAGGCAGACATTTGAATATAAGACAATCTCTACCTAGAGGCAGACATTTGATTGTAAGACCATCTATACCTAAAGGCAGACATTTGATTGTAAGACCATCTATACCTAGAGGCAGACATTTGAATATAAGACAATCTCTACCTAGAGGCAGACATTTGATTGTAAGACCATCTATACCTAGAGGCAGACATTTGAATATAAGACAATCTGTACACAGAGGCAGACATTTGATTGTAAGCCAATCATACCTAGAGGCAGACATTTGATTGTAAGACAATCATACCTAGAGGCAGACATTTGATTGTAAGACAATCATACCTAGAGGCAGACATTTGATTGTAAGACAATCATACCTAGAGGCAGACATTTGATTGTAAGACAATCTCTAACTAGGGGCAGACATTTGAATATAAGACAATCTCTAACTAGAGGCAGACATTTGAATATAAGACAATCTCTACCTAGAGGCAGACATTTGATTGTAAGACCATCTATACCTAAAGGCAGACATTTGATTGTAAGACCATCTATACCTAGAGGCAGACATTTGAATATAAGACAATCTCTACCTAGAGGCAGACATTTGATTGTAAGACCATCTATAACTAGAGGCAGACATTTGAATATAAGACAATCTCTACCTAGAGGCAGACATTTGATTGTAAGACCATCTATACCTAAGGGCAGACATTTGATTGTAAGACCATCTATACCTAGAGGCAGACATTTGAATATAAGACAATCTCTACCTAGAGGCAGACATTTGATTGTAAGACCATCTATAACTAGAGGCAGACATTTGATTGTAAGACCATCTATACCTAGAGGCAGACATTTGAATATAAGACAATCTGTACACAGAGGCAGACATTTGATTGTAAGCCAATCATACCTAGAGGCAGACATTTGATTGTAAGACAATCATACCTAGAGGCAGACATTTGATTGTAAGACAATCATACCTAGAGGCAGACATTTGATTGTAAGCCAATCATACCTAGAGGCAGACATTTGATTGTAAGACAATCTCTAACTAGAGGCAGACATTTGAATATAAGACAATCTCTAACTAGAGGCAGACATTTGAATATAAGACAATCTCTACCTAGAGGCAGACATTTGATTGTAAGACCATCTATACCTAAAGGCAGACATTTGATTGTAAGACCATCTATACCTAGAGGCAGACATTTGAATATAAGACAATCTCTACCTAGAGGCAGACATTTGATTGTAAGACCATCTATAACTAGAGGCAGACATTTGAATATAAGACAATCTGTACACAGAGGCAGACATTTGATTGTAAGCCAATCATACCTAGAGGCAGACATTTGATTGTAAGACAATCATACCTAGAGGCAGACATTTGATTGTAAGACAATCATACCTAGAGGCAGACATTTGATTGTAAGACAATCATACCTAGAGGCAGACATTTGATTGTAAGACAATCTCTAACTAGAGGCAGACATTTGAATATAAGACAATCTCTAACTAGAGGCAGACATTTGAATATAAGACAATCTCAACCTAGAGGCAGACATTTGATTGTAAGACCATCTATACCTAAAGGCAGACATTTGATTGTAAGACCATCTATACCTAGAGGCAGACATTTGAATATAAGACAATCTCTACCTAGAGGCAGACATTTGATTGTAAGACCATCTATACCTAGAGGCAGACATTTGATTGTAAGACCATCTATACCTAGAGGCAGACATTTGATTGTAAGACCATCTATACCTAGAGGCAGACATTTGAATATAAGACAATCTGTACACAGAGGCAGACATTTGATTGTAAGCCAATCATACCTAGAGGCAGACATTTGATTGTAAGACAATCATACCTAGAGGCAGACATTTGATTGTAAGACAATCATACCTAGAGGCAGACATTTGATTGTAAGACAATCATACCTAGAGGCAGACATTTGATTGTAAGACAATCTCTAACTAGAGGCAGACATTTGAATATAAGACAATCTCTAACTAGAGGCAGACATTTGAATATAAGACAATCTCAACCTAGAGGCAGACATTTGATTGTAAGACCATCTATACCTAAAGGCAGACATTTGATTGTAAGACCATCTATACCTAGAGGCAGACATTTGAATATACGACAATCTCTACCTAGAGGCAGACATTTGATTGTAAGACCATCTATACCTAGAGGCAGACATTTGATTGTAAGACCATCTATACCTAGAGGCAGACATTTGATTGTAAGACCATCTATACCTAGAGGCAGACATTTGAATATAAGACAATCTGTACACAGAGGCAGACATTTGATTGTAAGCCAATCATACCTAGAGGCAGACATTTGATTGTAAGACAATCATACCTAGAGGCAGACATTTGATTGTAAGACAATCATACCTAGAGGCAGACATTTGATTGTAAGACAATCATACCTAGAGGCAGACATTGATTGTAAGACAATCTCTAACTAGAGGCAGAAATTTGAATATAAGACAATCTCTAACTAGAGGCAGACATTTGAATATAAGACAATCTCTACCTAGAGGCAGACATTTGATTGTAAGACCATCTATACCTAAAGGCAGACATTTGATTGTAAGAACATCTATACCTAGAGGCAGACATTTGAATATAAGACAATCTCTACCTAGAGGCAGACATTTGATTGTAAGACCATCTATAACTAGAGGCAGACATTTGATTGTAAGACCATCTATACCTAGAGGCAGACATTTGAATATAAGACAATCTGTACACAGAGGCAGACATTTGATTGTAAGCCAATCATGCCTAGAGGCAGACATTTGATTGTATGACAATCATACCTAGAGGCAGACATGTGATTGTAAGACAATCATACCTAGAGGCAGACATTTGATTGTAAGACAATCATACCTAGAGGCAGACATTTGATTGTAAGACAATCTCTAACTAGAGGCAGACATTTGAATATAAGACAATCTCTAACTAGAGGCAGACATTTGAATATAAGACAATCTCTACCTAGAGGCAGACATTTGATTGTAAGACCATCTATACCTAAAGGCAGACATTTGATTGTAAGACCATCTATACCTAGAGGCAGACATTTGAATATAAGACAATCTCTACCTAGAGGCAGACATTTGATTGTAAGACCATCTATACCTAGAGGCAGACATTTGATTATAAGACCATCTATACCTAGAGGCAGACATTTGATTGTAAGACCATCTATACCTAGAGGCAGACATTTGAATATAAGACAATCTGTACACAGAGGCAGACATTTGATTGTAAGCCAATCATACCTAGAGGCAGACATTTGATTGTAAGACAATCATACCTAGAGGCAGACATTTGATTGTAAGACAATCATACCTAGAGGCAGACATTTGATTGTAAGACAATCATACCTAGAGGCAGACATTTGATTGTAAGACAATCTCTAACTAGAGGCAGACATTTGAATATAAGACAATCACTAACTAGAGGCAGACATTTGATTGTAAGACATTCATACCTAGAGGCAGACATTTGATTGTAAGACAAACATACCTAGAGGCAGACATTTGATTGTAAGACAATCATACCTAGAGGCAGACATTTGATTGTAAGACAATCATACCTAGAGGCAGACATTTGATTGTAAGACAATTTCTAGCTAGAGGCAGACATTTGATTGTAAGACAAACATACCTAGAGGCAGACATTTGATTGTAAGACAAACATACCTAGAGGCAGACATTTGATTGTAAGACAATCATACCTAGAGGCAGACATTTGATTGTAAGACAATCTCTAGCTAGAGACAGACATTTGATTGTAAGACAATTTCTAGCTAGAGGCACACATTTGATTGTAAGACAATCATACCTAGAGGCAGACATTTGATTGTAAGACAATCATACCTAGAGGCAGACATTTGATTGTAAGACCATCTATACCTAGAGGCAGACATTTGAATATAAGACAATCTGTACACAGAGGCAGACATTTGATTGTAAGCCAATCATACCTAGAGGCAGACATTTGATTGTATGACAATCATACCTAGAGGCAGACATGTGATTGTAAGACAATCATACCTAGAGGCAGACATTTGATTGTAAGACAATCATACCTAGAGGCAGACATTTGATTGTAAGACAATCTCTAACTAGAGGCAGACATTTGAATATAAGACAATCTCTAACTAGAGGCAGACATTTGAATATAAGACAATCTCTACCTAGAGGCAGACATTTGATTGTAAGACCATCTATACCTAGAGGCAGACATTTGATTGTAAGACCATCTATACCTAGAGGCAGACATTTGATTGTAAGACCATCTATACCTAGAGGCAGACATTTGAATATAAGACAATCTGTACACAGAGGCAGACATTTGATTGTAAGCCAATCATACCTAGAGGCAGACATTTGATTGTAAGACAATCATACCTAGAGGCAGACATTTGATTGTAAGACAATCATACCTAGAGGCAGACATTTGATTGTAAGACAATCATACCTAGAGGCAGACATTTGATTGTAAGACAATCTCTAACTAGAGGCAGACATTTGAATATAAGACAATCTCTAACTAGAGGCAGACATTTGATTGTAAGACATTCATACCTAGAGGCAGACATTTGATTGTAAGACAAACATACCTAGAGGCAGACATTTGATTGTAAGACAATCATACCTAGAGGCAGACATTTGATTGTAAGACAATCATACCTAGAGGCAGACATTTGATTGTAAGACAATTTCTAGCTAGAGGCAGACATTTGATTGTAAGACAAACATACCTAGAGGCAGACATTTGATTGTAAGACAAACATACCTAGAGGCAGACATTTGATTGTAAGACAATCATACCTAGAGGCAGACATTTGATTGTAAGACAATCTCTAGCTAGAGACAGACATTTGATTGTAAGACAATTTCTAGCTAGAGGCACACATTTGATTGTAAGACAATCATACCTAGAGGCAGACATTTGATTGTAAGACAATCATACCTAGAGGCAGACATTTGATTGTAAGACAATCATACCTAGAGGCAGACATTTGAGGGGAAAAAGAATCATACCTAGAGGCAGACATTTGATTGTAAGACAACCATACATAAAAGCAGACATTTGATTATAAGACAGTCATACCTAGAGGCAGACATTTGATTGTAAGACAATCATACCTAGAGGCAGACATTTGATTGTAAGGCAATCATACATAAAAGAAGACATGTGATTATAAGACAGTCATACCTAGAAGACCATCTCTACCTAGAGGCAGACATTTGATTGTAAGACAATCATACCTAGAGGCAGACATTTGATTGTAAGACAATCTCTAACTAGAGGCAGACATTTGAATATAAGACAATCACTAACTAGAGGCAGACATTTGATTGTAAGACATTCATACCTAGAGGCAGACATTTGATTGTAAGACAAACATACCTAGAGGCAGACATTTGATTGTAAGACAATCATACCTAGAGGCAGACATTTGATTGTAAGACAATCATACCTAGAGGCAGACATTTGATTGTAAGACAATCATACCTAGAGGCAGACATTTGATTGTAAGGCAATCATACATAAAAGAAGACATGTGATTATAAGACAGTCATACCTAGAAGACCATCTCTACCTAGAGGCAGACATTTGATTGTAAGACAATCATACCTAGAGGCATATACTTAGTTGATAATTATTTAAATCTGATGTCTGAAATGTATTATATACTAAGGCGATGGAATTTTCATATTTAAGTTGATATTTTAATGCAACAAAATTTTAATTTAGTTCTACAAACAAAGTGTGAATGCTAATTTAAAATATTTTAAAAATAAATGAACTACCCTTTCTTTTCTCGGTCAAGTAAAAGAACTTATTCCACCTGATCAATAATATTCCGCATAAATTATTGATCATAGACCTACTTGGTTTCTTTTTTTCTGAACTTTATCTTGCATAATTTTTGGTAAACTAGCTGCAACACTACCACCATCCAAGGTAAATTTTAGTTAATTAGCTGAGGCTTACATGTTTGATAATGTGATAGCAATTATTCTCTCTGACCTACACAGCTAACTGGTTTATACAGATATACAAATATACATATAAATTTAATGGCTAGCTGTTTATGTGGCATTGGTCAAGATGAATACATTTTCGTTTTGTCAACCAAAACTCAAATAGTTTTAAAAACATTCACTCGGTAGGAGCAGATTAAAATGTCGCGAGATTTAGAGATAGACGATGGGTTGATATAATCAAAAGCTGGTAAGACAAAGTTTAGAGCGAGATTTAGACAGTTGTCATACAAAGATTGGTACAAGATGTAGACAGTTGTTATACAAAGATTGGAACAAGATGTAGACAGTTGTTATACAAAGATTGGAACAAGATGTAGACAGTTGTTATACAAAGATTGGAACAAGATGTAGACAGATGTCATACATAGATTGGAACAAGATGTAGACGGATGTTAGACAAAGATTGGAACAAGATGTAGACAGTTGTAAGACAAAGTTTAGAGTGAGATGTAGACATTTGTAAGACAAAGTTTAGAGCGAGATGTAGACAGATGTTATACAAAGATTAGAACAAGATGTAGACAGTTGTTGTACCAAGATTAGAACAAGACCTTACTTTGAGTGACCTCTGGTCCCCAGTCTTCTTGTGGTCAGATGTGGAAACTTTTGACGGATGGTCTGCAGTACAGAATACAGAAGACAAAACTTGTGAAAAATCAAAAGAAATTGTAAGGTTACACTCTGTTAGAATTGATGCCGGAAGGTACATGTACATAATATTGTGTCTGAGGATTAGTGTCAGGTAGACTGTGTTTTGGTGCCTAATGTCAGCATGGAGTCTGGAGATTAGTTCAACGTTGATCTACATCAGTTATGGCCCCTTATACACGAGTTATGACCCCTTACCGTTGATCTACACGAATTAGGGCCCCTTACCGTTGATCTACACAAGTTAGGACCCCTTAACTGAATCATAAGTTAGTTTTACAGTACACATCAAACCAATTAAATATCGAACACTTAATATTGCTAGGAACTATTTCATGGTTTGGAATAAATTACGGATTTAAGAAGTGTTTTTATTTTTAGGTATCTTTGTTTCAGTAAAAAAAAACGGACCTGGGAAGAAAGGGATGAAACAAATAATTTAATATGGGAAAAATCGGCCCCACACGCGGGTGCACGGGATGAAAGCAGCCGGCAGATCAAACGGTCACGTGACGTTTATCTGAGTTTGTCGTCTGTTGGACTCAAAACACGGTGTGCCGCCACTGTATGCCGCAGATAGCAGACGTGTGACGTCACGGGGTAAACCGCCTTATCTTAATCCGAGCATTGTGGCGATAGCTGGGACGGTGAGGCTCGGGAACTTTCCCTGGGATAAAATAATGTGCCCTGTAGCACATCGGGGCATTAGTGGGATGTAGTGGGCAGCGGGCATTCAGTAGTAGATAAAACAATGTGCCCTGTAGCACAGCGGGACATTAGTGTGATGTAGTGGGCAGCGGGCATTCAGTAGTAGATAAAACAATATGCCCTGTAGCACATCGGGGCATTAGTGGGATGTAGTTGTGTGGTGGGCATTCAGTAGTAGATAAAACAATGTGCCCTGTGGCACAGCGGGGCATTAGTGTGATGTAGTTGTGTGGTGGGCATTCAGTAGTAGATAAAACAATGTGTCCAGTAGCACAGCGGGGCATTAGTGTGATGTAGTGGGCAGCGGGCATTCAGTAGTAGATAAAACAATATGCCCTGCAGCACAGCGGGACATTAGTGGGATGTAGTTGTGTGGTGGGCAGCGGGCTTTCAGTAGTAGATAAAACAATATGCCCTATAGCACAGCGGGGCATTAGTGGGATGTAGTTGTGTGGTGGGCATTCAGTAGTAGATAAAACAATATGCCCTGTAGCACAGCGGGGCATTAGTGGGATGTAGTTGTGTGGTGGGCATTCAGTAGTAGATAAAACAATGTGTCCAGTAGCACAGCGGGGCATTAGTGTGATGTAGTTGTGTGGTGGGCATTCAGTAGTAGATAAAACAATATGCCCTGTAGCACAGCGGGGCATTAGTGGGATGTAGTTGTGTGGTGGGCAGCGGGCAGCAGGCATTCAGTAGTAGATAAAACAATATGCCCTGTAGCACAGCGGGACATTAGTGGGATGTAGTTGTGTAGTGGGCAGCGGGCATTCAGTAGTAGATAAAACAATATGCCCTGTAGCACAGCGGGACATTAGTGGGATGTAGTTGTGTGGTGGGCATTCAGTAGTAGGCATACGGTAGCATTGGTCCAATAGGACCCCAGCATTGATGTTGACATGGACCAAATTCTTTTGACTTCTTAGAAGTCGCAAATGTTTTTTAAATTTATTAAAACTATTGCTGAAAAAAAAGTAATATTTCAAAAGTCGTTTTTAAATTACAGAGAATTCCAAAGTAGTTCTTGTTTTGTTTTTACAACATTTCAATTAGCATACAGTAAGCCAAAATTTTAATCTGACCTTTTCACCTTTGTAAAAGAAACTATGATTGGATATAATTTAAACAGATCCACCATCATTTATGAGTCATATAAACCTTTTCATTGGATAGGTTCTTTGACTATAAAGCCTAAACACCAATATTCGTTGTACATTTTCAGTCATTTTGTATAATTTATCAATGGCATGACCTAGTAAAGCTTAATTTGTGGTCAGTTGTGATGTGGTTATGAGAAAAATAAAATGTGTTTTTTTTTCTTTTCATTGAAATTTTGTTTTGTTATAGAAGACATTAATACAACACATACGTCTAATCAGTTGATACACCTGCAGACGTGTCATACAAATATTATTTAGCCCAGTATGTCTTATGACGCTGCGCATGATTTTAAGTTAATTAACCTGTACTATAATAGTTTTCCATGTCGATGCTATTAATGAAGGTCAATGAGATATCAATCTTAACGAGTTAATGGTGTTACAATTATTTTTTAATTATATTTTTTTTTCTTTTTGAAACAAAAAAAAATGATTTGAGGGTGGATCGATATAGTTTGAAAAAAAACAACCTTGAAATCCCAATTTAAAATCGTATTTCTGTAGAAAGCTTCAAATACTCGAATTCATTTAAATATAAACAAGTTACCGAGAGAAGTCTGTTAGCACCATCACCAAAGCGAATGTGACAGAATCGACCTTGTCGAAGGTCACAAGCTACCCCTCCCCTCACACCCCCCCCCTCAAACAGCAGTACTGACCTTGCCAAATGTGGCGGCACATGCAGGTTCCAGACGTTCCTTCCTGCAGAAGTCCAGGTAATGTGAGTAGAGGATACACCTGGGCAGGCACACACCCTCACAGATACAGTAGTTCTCATCCAACCTACGACACCAACAGAGATAGGCTTTCAATTAAAGACAGACACACACCCTCACAGATAAAGTAGTTCTCATCCAACCTACGACATCAACACAAATGGCTTTCAAAACAACAGAGATGGCTTACTAAACAACATAGAATGCTTTTAAAGCGACACATCAATTCCTGTCATTAAAAAAGCATCTGATTTTAAAAGGGTCTATAACAAACGCCCGAATGAACATTTGTCTGAGTGCGACAAGTTCATGTGGTGTATTTGGGCAAACGTTCATTCGGGAAAACGGCCTTTAGGCAAACGGCATTTGGACAAGTGTCTTTTTGAAAATTCCCGGTCTGTTTCCCGAAAAGAAACAGTATATATATATATATATATATATATATATATATATATATATATATATATATATATATATATAACAATTTATATATGTACACAGTAATACATCTCTTAATACATTTGCAAATTCACAATAGGTTGGGGGGGGGGGGGGGATATTTGGTTCAGCAATAGCAAAGTTAAGGTGTACATTGAGATGAGTTCAGCTTAGTTCTGATAAAGGGAAGTAACGATCTGCTAAAGGGAGGTAACGAAATGATAAAGGGAGATAAACTATGTTTTATGTATTGAGATAAGGCACGGCAACCACCTGACTTACTGTGGCAGTTCAAGGTTACTTGAGTTTAACAATACGTTTCATATACCTGTGGTCACAATACTTTTCAATAAGTTACTTGAGTTTAACAATACGTGTCATATACCTGTGGTCACAATACTTTTCAATAAGATCTACGTCTGCTCTTAACACTTGAATTAAGGTCTCAGTGTTGTGAAAATATGTTATTTGTTTAACTCAATATTCGCACATCGATACATACAATGTTAGGGTCTAGAAAAGGAAGTGTAACTGTCTAGATGTTTGTTTGTTTGCACCATGAGATTTGTTTTAAATAAAAGAATTTGGTTTCATTGTGCCAAATGTATAACTAATTTCCCTAGCTGAATGTATTTGCAATAATGCTTTAATCTCAAAGCTTGGGTTAGCGCTAATCATTAACCCCGGATATTACAGAGGTGGTGCTACATCGGTGGCTACCACCATCCCCGATATTGCAGACGGTAAGTGCTACCTCAGTAGCTACAACCATCCCCTGATATTAAAGGCTGCTAATCTACAATTCTGGCATTTGTCGCAATCGAGCAAGTGTCTTTTGTGTACTTGTCGTAGACCCCATTGTATTTACGTTACTTCAAAATTGCAAATGGGCGGTGTCTATTTGTTAAACCTTCGTGTAACGGACACCCCGCCCCCCTGCCCTTTAAGCCCACACACACAGATGCACCCCCCCCCCTCACCGCTAAAAGGTGTAAAAGCCGGTAGCATACACACGCCATTAGCTGGCGAACACAAGAGCCATGGAGGGCCAACAAGAGCCATCAGCGGCTCACGTAGGGCCAACAAGAGCCATCAGCAGCTCACGGAGGGCCAACAAGAGCCTAATACATCCTGCATCACGTGACTGGCGATAACAGGAGAGCCCTTGGGCAGTGATCTGACCCTTCAGGAGGGTGCGGCGAGGGGCGGGGTATGGGGGACGGGTGTGTGCTGGCTGCTCCCTCGGACTATGCAATCCCGAACTTGGATTGGATGAAGCCAGATAGTTCTCCAGTGATAATCCATTAATCGTTGGGAGGAAGACTTAGCTAGGTAACCGATAATCCAGTAATCCCATAAGTTGCATGCTTAAAACATGTCTAGACTTAATGGGTTGTTGAAAGGATAGCAGCAATAAGGGCCGACCATAAATGATGTCATCCCGAGGGGGGGGGTAAGCGACTTTGTCTGACCCAGTGACTGTATGGTGTGAGTGCGACAGGGGGAGGGGTGGGTAAATGGGGAAGGGTTATTGCCCCCTCCCCAAAGAGATGCCTGAAAGAAACACTGCTCTCAACCATACAGTAACAATTGCAGTCATTGTAAAAAAAAATAGTAATCGATACACACACAAACAGACTGATCAGATATTTTAAAACATAGACGCCACTCACAGCTTGCTAGAGCATTTAAAAAATGAATGCGACGCCTGCATTTTTTAGGTCAGCTGTAGAAGTTTCTCTAGGCCAACTTTGTATGTTCCCCACTGTGACATTTCTAGTTCAGCTGTAGAAGTTTCTCTAGACCCGCTCCAGAGACCTCGACTTTGTCATTCTGCTCTACTGCAGTTGTTGGTGTGTCCAATACATCAATCAGCCATTAATTATCTCATCGGCACTATCCCTGTCCGTAGCACGCACTAACCACACACTCCCCTCCCTCCCCCCTCCCCAGCGGTTGAACGGCAGCCGGGAAAGTTTTTTATCGGGTACTTTCCTCTTGGTGACACCGGAATTTCGACGCAGCGCCCCATTAGAACTTATCGCAACGGACGAAACGGGTATCGCATTTTTGTTTGTTCGCTTTCGCTTGCGAGATAACATCCGCTAACTTCGTGGCCCAACAGAGAAAGGCTTTCATTACCTGCCTCGTTGGGCCTCTGGGTCAATTCACTCACTTGAATCACTCACTGAAATCACTCACTTGAATCACTCACTGAAATCACTCACTAAAATCACTCACTTGAATCGCTCTCTAAAACTGCTCACTGAAATCGCTCACTGAAATCGCTCACTGAAATCGCTCACTGAAATTGTTCACTTGAATCACTCTCTAAAACTGCTCACTGAAATCGCTCACTGAAATCGTTCACTGAAATCGCTCACTGAAATGGCTCACCGAAATCGCTCACAGAAATCACTCACAGAAATCGCTCACCGAAATTGCTCACTGAAATCGCTCACTGAAATCGTTCACTATAATATGAACAATAAGGGCTATAGCACCTACAATATAATAACACCAGTGATGAAGGTGACAAGAAAACAAACACACACACACACAGAGAGAAACACACAAACTCAAACATACATCGGATGTCACCAGAACTAGTAACGCCACTGTGGACTATGCCATTACATATGTCGAGTGCGCTACGTCTAGTTAGATGAAGGTGGGGAAAATGGCATTACAAATGTTGACCGCTCTAGTTAGATGAAGGTGGGGACAATGGCATTTCAAATGTTGACCGCTCTAGTTAGATGGAGGTGGGGACAATGGCATTACAAATGTTGACCGCTCTAGTTAGATGAAGGTGGGGACAATGGCATTACAAATGTTGACCGCTCTAGTTAGATGAAGGTGGGGACCATGGCATTACAAATGTTGACCGCTCTAGTTAGATGAAGGTGGGGACAATGGCATTTCAAATGTTGACCGCTCTAGTTAGATGAAGGTGGGGACAATGGCATTTCAAATGTTGACCGCTCTAGTTAGATGAAGGTGGGGACAATGGCATTTCAAATGTTGACCGCTCTAGTTAGATGAAGGTGGGGACAATGGCATTACAAATGTTGACCGCTCTAGTTAGATGAAGGTGGGGACAATGGCATTTCAAATGTTGACCGCTCTAGTTAGATGAAGGTGGGGACAATGGCATTACAAATGTTGACCGCTCTAGTTAGATGAAGGTGGGGACAATGGCATTACAAATGTTGACCGCTCTAGTTAGATGAAGGTGGGGACAATGGCATTTCAAATGTTGACCGCTCTAGTTAGATGGAGGTGGGGACAATGGCATTACAAATGTTGACCGCTCTAGTTAGATGAAGGTGGGGACAATGGCATTTCAAATGTTGACCGCTCTAGTTAGATGAAGGTGGGGACAATGGCATTACAAATGTTGACCGCTCTAGTTAGATGAAGGTGGGGACAATGGCATTTCAAATGTTGACCGCTCTAGTTAGATGAAGGTGGGGACAATGGCATTACAAATGTTGACCGCTCTAGTTAGATGAAGGTGGGGACAATGGCATTACAAATGTTGACCGCTCTAGTTAGATGAAGGTGGGGACAATGGCATTTCAAATGTTGACCGCTCTAGTTAGATGAAGGTGGGGACAATGGCATTACAAATGTTGACCGCTCTAGTTAGATGAAGGTGGGGACAATGGCATTTCAAATGTTGACCGCTCTAGTTAGATGAAGGTGGGGACAATGGCATTACAAATGTTGACCGCTCTAGTTAGATGAAGGTGGGGACAATGGCATTTCAAATGTTGACCGCTCTAGTTAGATGAAGGTGGGGACAATGGCATTACAAATGTTGACCGCTCTAGTTAGATGAAGGTGGGGACAATGGCATTACAAATGTTGACCGCTCTAGTTAGATGAAGGTGGGGACAATGGCATTTCAAATGTTGACCGCTCTAGTTAGATGAAGGTGGGGACAATGGCATTTCAAATGTTGACCGCTCTAGTTAGATGAAGGTGGGGACAATGGCATTTCAAATGTTGACCGCTCTAGTTAGATGAAGGTGGGGACAATGGCATTACAAATGTTGACCGCTCTAGTTAGATGAAGGTGGGGACAATGGCATTTCAAATGTTGACCGCTCTAGTTAGATGAAGGTGGGGACAATGGCATTTCAAATGTTGACCGCTCTAGTTAGATGAAGATAAGAACTGACCACTGCAAGGTGAGGTGGGTTTGTTTTTTCTTGTCCTTCATCACTTGAGCCACTGTCTTCTTGGCGAGCAGCTGGTCAGCAGACGTCGCCTCCTTGCTGTCCGGTCCCTCATGGCTGTCCTCCTCCCCAGGCTCGTCGTCCTCATCGACCAGGGCAGCCAGAGGTTTCGTTCCTGGGTCTGGAAGTAAAGCAAGTGTTAAGTGCTGTACCAGCTCTGTCATATACCTGATTCAACGTTTACCATTAGGTGAAAGTATAGTACTCTAATGCTTAATATAAGATTGGAGGTATAGTTTCAGTCGACTCGCTATACATAGACTAGATCCACCAAATCTTCCCCCTCCCCGCCCATGCTCATCCCCCAACCCCTTTTCTTTATACCGACCCACGCCTCCACCCACATCTACCAACACCACCCTTTACACACAAATCGCCACATCATCCCCAAATACGGTATAATAGGATAAGGGAGCCGGACACTTGCCCGAATGGACACTTGCCCGAATGCGACAAATGCCCGAATGGACACTTGCCCAAATGGACACTTGCCCGAATGGACACTTGCCCGAAAGCGACACTTGCCCGAATGCGACAAATGCCCAATGGACACTTGCCCGAATGCGACAAATGCCCGAACGGACACTTGCCCGAATGCGACAAATGCCCGAATGGACACTTGCCCGAATGCGACAAATGCCCAATAGACACTTTCCCGAATGCAACAAATGCCCGAATCGACACGTGCCCGAATGCGACAAATGCCCAATAGACACTTTCCCGAATGCAACAAATGTCCGAATCGACACGTGCCCGAATGCGACAAATGCCCAATGGACACTTGCCCGAATGCAACAAATGCCCGAATGGACACTTGCCCGAACGCGACAAATGCCGGAATGGACACTTGCCCGAATGCGACAAATGCCCGAATGGACACTTGCCCGAATGCGACAAATTCCCGAATGGACACTTGCCCAAATGCGACAAATGCCCGATTGGATTGTCTTTCAATATAGGAACGTTCCGCTACTTATTTACTGTAGAGAAAAGAGCGGGTCGCTCATACAATTTTATCAAGGGCATTCAGTTGCAACTGAATATTAAAACGATCAGCTTTAGCAGTATTTGAGTTTTATGGTATTTATATAAGATGAGAAAATATAGTATTTATCGGTACTTTATTTAAATAAAAATGTTTGTAGGCCTATTTATATTTAGAGTTGTGCCTACCAATTTCTAGACGTTTGTATTACATAATGAATCAATAATACTACCCACTCTTTGCTTGAAAGTCAAATGAATCGTAGTGCGTTGTTATATTTAATGAAAATCATTTTAATTTTCTTCTTTTCTTTGCTTATAGATAAACTTGTTATATTTAATCTTGTGATTTTTTTGCGCTGTACACTACTTATCAATATTTGTATTCCAAAATGGAGGCGGCTAAGTTTGACAATTATTATTGTTGACGTGGATTTTAAAAACCTTGATTTTTTTTTTATATAGATGTCACTATCAAAGCGGCCTTCAAAAATATAAATATAAAAACTTAAACCTGAAAATAATTCATTAAATTTTTTTTAAAGAATCAATGTAATAATTTTCAAATCCAGAGAACTTGAAATTTTTTTTTTAGTTTAAAGCTACATTTCTATTTATTTTATCAAGTCTGTTATAACCGGATGTTTCACTTTCGTAATACAAACACTGACTAGCTGTACAGGGACTCCGTGATCGATATTCTGAAAACCCCACTCAGTAGTAGATCTAATATGTACTCAAAACTTTGCCGATAAAATTTGAAAATATATAAATTAAAATAAAAAAAAACGCATGACACAGTTTTGCCATTTTTGTTGACATTTCCTGTGATAAAATGTAAACAACCAAATTGTTTTTTTCCTTTTAAAAATTGTGTTTAGTTACCGAAACCAATAAAACCTAAAAAATACATCCTATCTTAAGTAAAGTCCTTCAAAAGTTAAACAGTCGGGTGTTTTTAAACTATAGTTATTTTAATTACAACGCACCACATTATAAACATTTAAAGTTTACGAGTTTATACCCAGCGGTCTCAATTTTAAAATAGTTGTTGTGACGTTTGTATTGAGGTTGTATTTAAATTAAAATAACACTTTAGTGGACATGGTCATTATATATCCCATCAATTCAAACAAATTAAAAACACATGATAGTTATGTTTTTTAAAGTTACAAACTGTTCCGGCACTTGTTCGATTATTGATTATTTCTGTCAATTATTGTTGATATGTTATTGATTACAAATGAATCGTACAAAACTGACTGAAAAAATATGAAGGAAATTTTTAAAATCTCTCATTTTTGGACCTATTTAGTCAAAATTTGTAGATTTTTTTTTGTTCTAAAGTTTCTAATTAATTTTTTTAATGAATAATTTTTTATTTATTTAAGCTTTAATTGTTTTTATTGTCTTTAGTTAGAAAATTGAATTTTTCGACATGACAACAACAATAAAACGAAACAACAGTCAACATTTGTGTCAACATTTTGTATTAAGATTAATGCAAATTATTTAAGATTTTTACCAAAGTTAAGAGGTCGATTAGAATAAATCATTAGAGTTGGCGACCTCTTTAATATTTTTTTCAAGCGTGTAAAAAAAAAAAAAAATCGTACGCGCCCAGTAATGGCATAAACCAAAAAAGTTAAAATAAAAAAAAAAAAATGTCTAAAACTGTATCAACTTCACCATGACGTAAGTTTGTGTAGACCTAAACACTGAAGCCACAGGTCACATTTCTAGCGCAATTTTTCTACACACTATGTGTACCTGCTTATGATGGATTTATCTGACCTGTAGATATGTGTGTAGGATTCACTATTTGTATACTAGTTACATTCAATATTTGGTTAAAAATGTCAATTAAACGTTTTAATGCCGTTCCCAGGATCCCTACGTGTTAAAAATGTCAATAAAATAACGTTTTTTTTAGATCCCTGCCGTTCCCAACATATCTACTGGTTAAAAATGTAACGGTTTATTATCCGTAATATTTTTATTGCAAAAAATATATTGAAATATTCAATAACGTATCGAAATTATTAAGCACGGCGTATATTTTTGCATAATAACTATTTTCTAACGTTGAAATATAGTGACCGATGGCTCTATTTTGCTTGATATTCTCGAAATATTCTAATGTTCTACAGACATAAGTCTAAAACGTTCTTTAAAATCGTGACAGTTTTTAGACCAAAATTTAAACTTTTTAGACCTGACGACGTTCTTTTGATGGAACATATTCAGGGGAATATCAAATTTTGTTTTTGTCGTGTAGGGAATTATTGTTACTATTTCATTTAACAAACAAAAATTACCAAACATGTTTTTACGCCAGAATTTGTGTTGATGTTAATGTAAAGCTCAATGTAGGAGGAAAATGTGAGTGAGGTGGGGAATTGGGGCATTAGGGCACATTTTATGGGTGACCTTACACAAATGGGAGTGAGGTGGGGCATTGGGGCATTAGGGCACCACATTTTATGGGTGACCTTACACAAATGGGAGTGAGGTGGGCAATTGGGGCATTAGGGCACATTTTATGGGTGACCTTACACCATGCTTATATATGTCAATATTCCCTCGCCCTAATTGTTGGACTCGGATTGGCCATGTCAAACCAAATACCGACTTCCAGGAAGTGTGAGCGATCTAGTTTTGTTATATTAAGCATACAATCTTGAGATAATCGGCTGACGGTCATTCAAAGCATGGCGGCCATTCAGAGAAATGCTAGGTTAATGCTCCCAGTTTCGAAGAAAATTAACTTAAAATTATCTTATGTTGTTTTAATGTTTGCAGACGTAGATTAAAATTAATGTGTAGTTTCTATCTACAAATAAACAGACAGCTTTTTTCTACGTCAGCCGTCTAAACTAGCATAAGTCTAAAACGGCGCCAACCGACTTGGTAGGAAACAATTAGGGTTTGAGATTATCGAAATTGTTGCACCTTTAGGTCACGGCCGAGTGGCTAGCCAGACCTTTTGTCGCGACACAGCTGACGTGGCTCCCTATCTTGATCCGACAGTTTAGCTGGAGCTTAAGCTGCTCTCAAGTTTAGCTCAAGTAAGCTCGATGACCCCTGTGAACACGATTAGGGGTGGGGGGTCAAGTTAGTACACTGCTTACACTTTTAATTTCGGAATAAAGGCGCCTTCAAATTTTTTTTATAGCAGACGTCGCTCTGTTGTATGTAGAGGTTATTTGATATGAGGAAACACATTTACAAAGTTTAATTATACACGTTTACAAATAAAAATAAATTTGATTGCGCGAAACAGATAAAATAAAAGTAATTAGACTGAAGGCTGAATGGACCCAACCAAGATTATTCACGAAATTATTTGAACGGCTCTTCAAATATTAAAAAAAATCATGACGATACTATTTAAAAAACTAGGCATGCTGCCCAGCTTCGCTTAGGCTTTCGAAAACATTGAGAATTTGAATGCTTAATTAATTCGCCCGAGGGTCGGTCTATGCCCTCAGGAGTTATGAAGAGGTTTCTCCGTGGACATTTTTTTTCGATTTATAGCTCATAAAAGGCGCCGGTCAGTCGAGGTCAGTTTTGACCCCCTCATCGTAGTCTTTTCGGCCAACCGGCCCCCGTGTTCTCTCGCCCCAAGGCAAGATCCTGCCAAATTTGAAGCGCCTGCGGCGCCGGGAAGTGCCCTATTGGGCACCCGACAACTTTGCTTTATATATTATAGAGATTAGCGAATTGCATAGATAAACAAAGATTTCATTAAAGTAATTAGGGCCTGAAATACTTTAGTATAGAAATGTATATTTTGAATAGATTATAGATCTAGGTAGGGTCTACATCTGTGTAAGTCTAGTTTTTCCGTAGATCTAGATAATCTAGATCTAGATCTAGAATATCTAGATCTAGAATATCTAGATTTAGAATCCTAATAGAATTTTTTTTTTAAGTTTAGCCCGAGCAAAATTGTATTGTATATATTTTATAGCGTACGTAGATCTAAATAATATTTGAATGAATAGTTCATTTCTTTTTATTCTAAACTCGGAAGATGACGTCATCAGTTTCGTGCTCTTTTTTTAGCGTAAACAATAAGCGACGTCATTGTTAAATGCGTTCTTGTCCCAAGTTTAAACACTTTTCCGGTTGCATAATTTAAATTGTTTTTCTACATTCGAATACGCCTTTATTTTAATTTTTCTTCTTTAAATAAAATTGTGGTTATACATTTAAAACATCTAACATATTATTTTCAACAAAAGTCCGAATAAAGGTATTCATATATCGCTGAAGATTCTGATGTGATGTCCGGCGAAAATATTTTGCGGACAGAGAGAGAGAAGAGCGCACATGGCCTTTTATATATTAGGATGGTTATAAAAATCTGACTTTCTGATTTTTGTCGGACTTAACTAAAGATTGAATGTATTTTGTGTTTTTAGTATTTTCGGAAACTAAATACAATTTTTAAAAAGCCAAAAACAATTTGTTTACATTTTTCACAGAAATTGAAAATGAAAATGCAGAACCAGGTCGGGTGGTTTAAATTTTTTAATTCTACCGGCAAAGTTTTTAGTACAAATTACTACACGTCTGTGATTTAGGCTTGATGAAAATAATTAGAAATGTTGCCTTAAACTCAAAATATTATTTTCAGTGTTTTATAACATTTGTTTTAAAAATATTATATTTCTGAATTGTTTTCAGGCTTAATTTTAAATGCTTTTATTTATTGTCGCTTTACTTGCAAAATCTAAATAAAACACGATTTTTATCCATGTCAACAATAAGATGGAAGGATTCTCGTCAACTCGGTCATTCAATTCCTTGCATATCTTTACACGGAATGTATCATTTTATATAGATCTATTACACATTTCGGGTACATTTTAGCGGAATGTCTAAATGTTTTTTTTTCTGGAATTTAATTATAACATTTTAATTTTCCAATAATAAAGACACTAATGTTATACACAAACTAGTGGTCACTGGAAGCGAATTGATAAACACTCTTTACAAGTTTTATTTTTATAAAAATTGTGTAATTTTTTTTCTAGGGACCGTAATTTCTTAATGATGTAATTGTAATCCACGAATTTAATGAGAGAAAACATTTTCTTAATTTTCCAGCTATGTCCTGCATTTTTATACGTATTTCCAGCACATTTAACCGGCTATCTCCAGTACGTTTAACCATCTATGTCTGTCAGGTTTGATCGGCTAAGTTTGTCATGCTATAGCCGGCTAAGTCTGTCAGTTTTGACCGGCTATGTCTGTCGTGTTTAGCCGGCCATGTCTGTCGTGTTTAGCCGGCTATATCTGTCGTGTTTAGCCGGTTAACTCTCACCTTGCTTTAGTATAGGGTCCTGCTGTCCTAGCTCCATCAGATGACCTTCACCTTCACAGTTCTGTTGGTCAACAGAGGACATCATCGTGGGGGTCATGTTGACACACGGGCACCGGACACATCACAGTTAGTCACATGACACAATACACATCAGTTAATTAACTCCTGGACACGTCTGTTAATTAATTCCATAACAAATCCGTTGATTAACTCCAGATCACATAACAGTTAATTAACTCAAGTACACATTAGTTAATTAACTCCAGGACACATCAGTTAATTAAATCCAGGACACATCAATTAATTAACTCCAGTAAACATCAGTTAATTAAATCCAGGACACATCAGTTAATTAACTCCAGTACACATCAGTTAATTAACTCTAGGAAACATCAGTTAATTAAATCCAGAACACATCAGTTAATTAAATCCAGGACACATCAGTTAATTAACTCCAGGACACATCAGTTAATTAACTCCAGGACACATCCTTTAATCAATTCCTTAACAAATCCGTTAATTAACTCCAGATTACATAACAGTTAATTAACTCCATGCTCAAGAAAATCACATCCTTCTAGAGGCTGTTCTATCACAGCTCTCTACCGAAATATGACAACTGTCCACTCCACACTAAACCACAGAAACGTGACAACTGTCCACTCTACACTAAACCACAGAAATGTCAAGTCGCTGCTTCTTGAAATATTTGCTTTTTAAAATGTTTTACCAAAAGTTTATATACAATTTGTTTACTTATATATCTGATCTCAGTAGTTTCTGAGTAGTAAACAATCGACTCTAGATCATCATCTAGAGAAAACTAAATTCTTAATTCAAGCATTTCAAATAGGAACAAGAAAACGGAAAATAAATTATCGCTGTGATTCTTACTTCACTGATATTTTGTTTGTTTATTAAAAAAGTAATTTAAATTATAAGCAAAAATGTATCATTTAATTATATATGATAGTTGAAACTGCCGAAAATTTTAATTATTTAAATTAATTCGACAATGAATATACGAGGCTTAGTTTCACAGCCCGTGTGTAGTTTCAAGACATTTTTTTTTAAACTTGATAATTAAAAAAAAAGTAGAATAATTTGAATTCTTTAAAAAGTTAGACGTAATTCCAGTTTAGAATTTGTAAATTATGTGCATTGAATTTCAAAGATATGTGAAACCGACTGAAGCCTAAGTATTTTAGAATACTACAGATGTTTTGTGGCAAAGTGCATTTTCAAGAGTCAATTATTTCTTTTCATGATACAATTTTACGTCGAATAGTACTGCGACTTAGTAATCATCACTGTCAAAATATGATTTCGTTTTTCGCTCGCCTAACAAGATTCCAACTTAAATTTTATATTTTTGTTTTTAATACATGTCTAGGTGAGCACTACAAATTAGATATTTTTAAAACACTTAAATCCACGAGAATGTCTACACACAAGCGAAAGTCCGACACACATGTGTGACTGATGTCAACACACACACACACACTGGCCTAGACATTCCATTTCTCTAGGGAGGTTGTCAAGTCGGCCCTGAGCGTCGACTTCAGCGCGGCATTCCGTCTGTTGTGATAAGTGCTACAGTATCAAGACTGCAACACGTCATGTGGCAGTCATACACAATGCTACAGTATCATACTCAGTGCTACAGTATCATACTCAGTGCTACAGTATCACAGTCATGCACAGTGCTACAGTATCAAGACTGCAACACGTCATGTGGCAGTCATACACAATGCTACAGTATCATACTCAGTGCTACAGTATCACAGTGATGCACAGTGCTACAGTATCAAGACTGCAACACTTCATGTGGCAGTGATACACAATGCTACAGTATCACACTCAGTGCTACAATATCACAGTGATGCACAGTGCTACAGTATCACAGTGATACACAGTGTTACAGTATCACAGTGCTACAGTATCACCGTGATGTACAGTGCTACAGTATCATACTCAGTGCTACAGTATCACAGTGATGCACAGTGCTACAGTATCACAGTGATGCACAGTGCTACAGTATCACAGTGATACACAGTGATACAATACATTATGGGCATATAATCCAAACCATTTTCTTCGGTAAACACGCAACACATTTCATTATATATAGGAATTACTTTTCTTTTCAATTACAGTTTAGCAGACGATTTGACCGTTACTTTACATTTCTCACATATTTGCTATGGTCTAGCTCGGACTCCGAATCGCTCCGCAATTTTATCTCATCGGCTGTTGTGATTTCAATTTACTAAGCAATCAGAAGTCATTTTTTTTTAAACTTTTAAAATTGTGTATGAAAAAATCTGGCATTTATGAGGAGGGTTAAGGATCTTAACTAAAGTTTCGCCAATGAGTACCTTTTCAAAAACAGTTTGCGTCTTTATTACAAATTTTACTTTATTAAAAAAAAATTTTTCTTTGTGAAATTAATTGAGTATAGTAAACGGCTATATAAACAGTGTTTTTCAGTAAAATTTTTTTATTGCTTTCAATTTTGGAGACCGTGCAGTATTTCAAAACAATCCTTCGCAGTGGGATTTTTATTCTTGCGATCACGGAACAATCTTTTACACGCTTACAATTTACACTTACACACGATTACACTTTATTACTCTCATGTGTTTAGCTTGTTTTTGTAAATCTGATTTATTTATTTCTTGCCAATCTATTTATTTATTTTTGTAAATCTTTATATATTTATTTTTTGAAAATCTTATTTATTTATTGATTTTTGAAAATCATATTTATTTATTTTGTAAATCTTTATTTATTTTTGTAAATCTGATTTATTTATTTTTATAAACTTTATTTATTTATTGTATATCTAATTAATTTATTTTTGTAAATCTTATTTACTTATTTTTGTAAATCTTATTTATTTATTTTGTAAATTATTATTTAATTTTGTAAATCTTATTTATTTATTTTGTAAAACTTATTTATTTATTTTGTAAAACTTATTTATTGATTTTTGAAAATCTTATTTATTTTTTTTGTAAATCTGATTTATTTTACTATTTATTTATTTTTTTACATCTGATTTTTTTTTCATCTTATTTATTTATTTTGGTAAATCTTATTTATTTATTTATTTTTGTAAATCTTATTTATTTATTTATTTTTGTAAATCTTATTTATTTTTTACTTTTTTTGTAAATCTTATTTATTTATTTTTGTTAATCTAATTCTATACGCTCTAAAACACCCACATGAAACGGAATGCCCTGCTTTAGTCTAAATTTTTAAATAGGCCTAAATATAAACGATCATTATAATTTTTGCCCAAATTATTCTCTACAAATGTAGACATTTTTCTTTTAGGATATTCACTTTTAAAGCACTGTTTTAAGTTGTGTTAAATGTATACGTTTTTAAGTTTTGTTATTATATTTTTAAAATAAGATTTTTTGTTTTTGTCCATTAAAATAAAAATCTATCATCGACACTCATTAAAAGCTCTAGGTGTTACACTTTTTTAGGTTAAACATTCTAAAATTATTCTTGTTGATTCAAATTTATCAATATAATTAAATCACAGTTCTATATATTTTAGTTTTATTTAAAATGTTTTCCTTAAATTTGACTTTTCTAAATTTTAATATCTTACCTCACTTATTTTTCATGCAAACCAAAAACACGAAGTATTATTTGACTTAAACTACCATTTACTTTAATGATATTAATTCGTCTCTTTTATTATTCTAAAAATATTTGGAAAACAAGTTTTGTTAACGCAGTAGTTAACTATCAATTTATTCGGCTTCCAATTAAAATATTTAAAATAAGGGAATAAGTTAAGTGACGAAACAAAAATGTTGACATTTATTGATGCTGTTTGGTGAAAAAACTCAAGTTTTCGTTTGTCATCGACTACTGTTATTGAAGTCCATCAATTGACAACTGAAATTACTCCTCAAGTAGGAAAACTAATTTTAAATTATTTTCACTTTAAAAGGTAAACTAAATTATAATTTTAAAGGATTTTAAAACAATTGTTTAAAAGTATAGGCTATGCCTATATTTATTTCAAAGAAATAAGAGCAAAATATATAATATTTACTGAAATTACAAAAAGTAAAATTCTAAACTAAATAAAACATCGAAATCGGTTTCTAAAAATATCCAAAGCTACATATAGAACGAATATTGCGACACACATTTAACGAGTTAGCTAATGTTTGCGATAAGCTAATCGGAATATCTAGGGCTAGAAACTGCGAAAATTAATCATTCGTTAATAGAATCGGATGGGCGGGGTTGGAACTAAAACTTTTGATTGGCTGGTAAAAAAAATCGTTAATCGGTAGTTTTCGTTTTTTATAGGAAAAGTGTAATACGTCCAAATGGATAGCAAAATGAGAAATTATAGAAAACTTAAATAAAACGTTGTCGACAAAGTTAATTTAATTAAAAACTTAATGCCCCAGTACTTTAGGAGCCCACTACCTAAACTCTTTTAACCCGCCCCACACTCTAATAATTACATAATTAAAAATGGTGGAAAATTACGACAATCAAATTCTGTATGTAGTTTAGTTTCTACCTGTATAAAACTATTTTCTTTATCTTAGTATGGTAGGTATATGTAGATTTAAAATAATTCGTTTCCTACATCTCTCTTCATGTAACCGACTCACATAGATTCAAATGTAACCTACATAATATAGAGATTTAAATTTTAAATGTTACATACACAAGCAATTTGTTTCCTAGAGACCGCTCAAAGTGTGGCAGTCGACTCTGTGAAATTATTAGAAACTTTTGTCATGGATCCATCGTTGTAGGCGTTTATCCAAACTTGGTTACATTTTAATAATACAACCAAAACAACCGAATATTTAGATCTGTACATTTCTATTAATAATATTCTTCAACAGAAAACACAACCCCGAGTTCGCTAATCAGTAAACACTTTCATAATTCACGTAATGAATCCGGTTTGTACGAGTAGTTTAAGTTATGTTCCTGGAAATACAAATGTGTTTTATATTTAACCCTTTATACCCTGATACCCCCCCTCCACCCCTACAAAAATGATCCGAGAGTCGTCATGCCTTATCAGCAGGCACGTAGGCCCCACCCCCTCCCCTTGTCTGTTAAATCATGATAAATCGA